TGGCCGCACACAGAGATCTGGAGTGCATGGCTTTTTTCTTGGGATAAATTCCTGCAAGGGGCGCTTCTTAAGGCTTTGATACCTGTTGCCAAGTTGCTCTCTGGGAAGATGCCATGACCCCGTCTCCGGCAGCAGAGCACATGGCCTCTGTCGGCTCAGGATCACTGCAAGACAGAAGAGCTTTTTGCCAACTTGAGAAAAGAGAAACCTCCCATTTCAAGAACGTCTCTTTAAGTTGCACAGCCTTATTTAGTGAGGGTGATTGTGTGCTTTTTTTCTGCCAGCTCTACTTCACTCCACGTCATCTACTCCACACACATGTTGGTCTTAAAAGGGTAGAGACGCGGGCTTCTTAGCTTCCTCGCTAGGGCAGGTTTGACAGGGTGGCTCGCAGGCCGCCTCCCCTGCCTGGCGCCCCAGCACCCCTGCGCCCCAGCGCCCGAGCCGGCTCCACATGGGACGTCGGGGCCGACGGGCCGTGTCACTCAGTGCTGTGGGGGACCCTAATGCCTGTTTGTTCTTCTCCCTCAGGAGCAGGAGCAGCTCTACCTGCGCTCAGGTGTGGTGTCGTCCGCTACCTTTGAGCAGCCGAGTCGGCAGGTGAAGCTGTGGGTGAAGATGGTGACTCCGCTGATTAAGAACTTCTTCTGAGGACGACAGGTGCTGTCTTGCGAGGCCACGTGTGGGGCCGGGGCTTCTGTCTCAGGGGAGGGGGTTCCCACGACCTCTGTCCCGCGGGTCACCATGGTTGTCACCAAAGTTTTCCAGGCCTGGAGCTAGATTGGGTGGCCCTGTCACCTCACGCCAGCACTGCGGCCCGGGCTGGCATCACTGAGCGGGCGGCCAGGGCGGTGGGAGCAGGAGGGACGCTCGGTGACAGGATATGCTCTGCCCATGTGGGAGGAGCCTGCCACTAGGGATGGAGGCTTCCGCTTAGCGCCCGGAGCCACCGGCTGTGGCCCACAGTGGGATGCGAGCAAGGCTGACCCAGGCTGCTGCTTGGCTGTGCGGCTGCCGGTAGAGGAGGGGCCTCTCCGAGTGACCCTGCCCGCCCCCCGGATGGCCCCAGAGGGGACCCGTCTCCCAGCTCTGGGTGGGGATGTTGGGCAGCCAGCCCAGGTGCGGGGAAGGGGTGCACACGGTTGCACAGCGGGGGCTCCCTTGGGTGCTGGTGCCGGGCTTCTTTCATTAAAACAAAAACATATTTAATTTCATCATTTAGTTTTTCCTCCATATTTTCATTACTTATTTTATTATTTTATTCCAATAATGTACAAATTTAGAAAGAAATGGTAGAGATCCGACACCGAGCAGCTAGTTCCTGCCTCTCTTGCCTCCCGAGCAGCCACTTTTGACTCTCCTGTTTCTTCTGACATTTGCATACTGGTCTGTATTTCTAGATAATATGCGTATATTGCCACCCCCCCAAATATAAAGTCTCCTAAAAAACCCCACCCCAAACCTTGTACCAGTATTACCCCTGACTGAAACATGAGCAAGAATACCTTAGTGTCATCAAATACCCCGAACGTGCTCACAGTTTCAGTTCGCCTTATATTTTTTATTTTGTTAAAATTTTTCTGTGTGTTTGACTTGAGGTTCCGGGTAAGGTCCAGACCTTGTATGATATGGGGATGTGTCACCTAAGTCTCTTTTCATCTGTGGGTTTCCCTCATTTTTTTTTCTTTGCAAATTTTTTAAGAATGAACCTCATTTTTGTTGCATCTGCCTAAAACATGGTTTGTGTCATCTCACAGCAGGGCATCTTCAAAACACGTAGCATGTAGATTTGTCGCAGGCCAGGGTGCCCCCCTCCCCCCGCCACTGCCCTGTGTCTCCAGGAGCAGATTTCAAAACCTTGCTGCCCAATCTCTACATCTCCAGGTGCTTGAACCTTCACAGAGAAAGACCTTCCTGAGAGAAGGCCTTCGGGCCCCAGGGTATGGCAGCTCCTCCTTTGTCAGGGCGGGTTGCTTCCCACCCTGCACCTTGCCCCGGAAGCCGCTTCACGTGGCTCCCTCCCGAGGACTGGCGGCTGCCGATGGTCCCCTTCGTGGGCTCTGGAAGGCGTGATTGGCCTCGTCCGCACAGCCTGGCTGTGTGCATGGGGCGCTCCAGTGCTGGGAGCCTCGGCGAAGGCTGAGAGCGAGTGCGGCCCCTCCCCGCCAGGGCCGGCAGATCTGCAGGCTTTAGTGGGTAGGAAGCGGGTGGAGTGGTGGCCGTGGCTACACTGCTCTGGGGCAGCAGCACGTCCGTTAACACTGTTTGCCTTCAAACTAGTTATTAAATTGTCCTGTGGGACAATTAGACTAGAGAAGCCAAAAGAATGTGCCAGGGCACTGGGTTTCTGTTTGGAGAGAGGCTTTTGGTAAACAGCGTTCACATTCCTGCAGATTCTGTGGGACCAGAGTCAACATTGTGCCACGGCCCGGCTTGAGCAATCGGGGCCTGTGTCCTCCATGCTCAGCTGCTCCCTTTGTCTCTGCTAACCACCTCAGGCCGGCCCCCCAGGAGGTGCTCCCTTTGTCTCTGCTAACCACCTCAGGCCGGCCCCCCAGGAGGTGCTCCCTTTGTCTCTGCTAACCACCTCAGGCTGGCCCGGCCCTCCCGCCGGGTGCCCCCCAGCCCTCCGGCCCCCCAGGAGGTGCTCCCTTTGTCTCTGCTAACCACCTCAGGCCGGCCCAGCCCTCCCATTGGGTGTTCCCCCCCTCCGGCCCCCCAGGAGGTGCTCCCTTTGTCTCTGCTAACCACCTCAGGCCGGCCCCCCAGGAGGTGCTCCCTTTGTCTCTGCTAACCACCTCAGGCTGGCCCGGCCCTCCCGCCGGGTGCCCCCCAGCCCTCCGGCCCCCCAGGAGGTGCTCCCTTTGTCTCTGCTAACCACCTCAGGCCGGCCCAGCCCTCCCATTGGGTGTTCCCCCCCTCCGGCCCCCCAGGAGGTGCTCCCTTTGTCTCTGCTAACCACCTCAGGCTGGCCCGGCCCTCCCGCCGGGTGCCCCCCAGCCCTCCGGCCCCCCAGGAGGTGCTCCCTTTGTCTCTGCTAACCACCTCAGGCCGGCCCGGCCCTCCCGCCAGGTGTCCCACCCCCCCCACAGCCGTCCGGCCCCCCAGGAGATGCTCCCTTTGTCTCTGCTAACCATCTCAGGCCGGCCCGGCTCTCCCACCGGGTGCTCCCCCCCACCCCAGCCCTCTGGCCCCCCAGGAGGTGCTCCCTTTGTCTCTGCTAACCACCTCAGGCTGGCCCGGCCCTCCCGCTGGGTGTTCCCCCCCCCCCCCCCCGCCCAGCCCTCCGGCCCCCCAGGAGGCAGGGCCTCCAGGTCCCACGGCACTTGCGGAGGCACCGTCCCTGGGTCCCTGTCACTGGATTTCAACCCAAAGGTGAATCATCTCTTGGAAAGTTGGGAGGTCGTTTTGTCAGCTAACCACAGTACGTGTGGAAGAAATTGCTGTTTTATTTCAGGCTCTACAGGCAGAATTGCAAAACCTTCCCATTTTGTGGTTATTACCAGGGATTAAAACTGAGTTGCCTGGTGGCTGCTGGTCGGTAGTTGTCTGTCTAGTCCCAGGAGTGGAGGCCGCGGGCTCTCCGGCTGGAACACGAAGGGCAGCAGCGACCCCTCCTGGCCGGCAGAGGGGCTGCCCAGCAAGCGCTGTGGGAGCTCCACAGGGCAGCCCCAAGGGGCTTGGACTCTCAGCTCCCCCCACCGAGTATTGGAGGGGCCTCTTTCCTTCTCTTTTTTGAGCCCCACCAGGCCCCAGGACTGTTGCGAGTGTTACCCTCAGAGTTAAGTGGAGTCTCCTCTCTGTGGTTCCAGTGAGACTACTTGGAAAAAAGTTCTCACAGAACTTCAGGATCACATTGAACTTAGCCGGAGGCCACATGCTCCTGGAGGGCCTCCTGTGCTCTGCATGTGAGCCCAAGAACATCAGGGGTGTCAGGCTTCTGCTGGAGTTTGCGGGCTCTGCTAGCGGCCTTCACCGTGCTCCCCAGCGTTCTGGCTCCTCCCTCCCTCCCCTTGTGTGTGTGCCGCCGGCCCGGCCAGCCCCGAACGGCAGCCCGCTCACTTGGCTGGAATGGCTGCGGAAAGTCAGGGCCTGAGGCGTCAGCCAGGTCATCCCAGGGTAGCCCTGGGACCAGCACGTGCCGGCCCCCGGGTGCAGCGGGCTGTGTGTGCTTGGGGCGCTTTTCCTCATCGGACCGGTGGTTTTCCTTAGTCCTGTCTCCCTGGACAGGTTCCGGGGCCCGGAACACAGATAGGCAGAGGGCGGGGGTGTCGGCCTTCCCATGCTCGCTGCAGCGCGTGTCCCCGGGGGAAGTCAGGACCCCCGGCTGCCAGGCACTGGCCCTCTGGTGTGGCACTGCTCATGCCCCAGCTTGCCCGGCCACAGTTGGGGTGCGGCGGGGGACCCCCCCCCGGGATGTGGGGACTGCAGGGGCGGGAGGAAAGGAAGGTGCTGTGCCTCCTGAAAAGGGACCCAAGGGCTCCGGGAGTTATTGTGGACATGACAAGCCTGTGACCTCCAAGGACACACGTTAATTAACGGTTGTCCCGGGAACCAAGTTCGTGATGTTCTGTGCGCATGCTCAGAAAGTGGGCCGTTGAAGGTACAAAGTTGCCTCTGGACTGGCGTGTCTCAGCACCCGGGACCTGGGAGGGAGGAGGCTTTGTCTGAATCAAGAAAGGTTCTCTGTCCTTGGGAGAAGGGACAACGCCTCAGGGGACTGTGGAGGTGGCAGTTCCTGCTGGTACGGACGCCCTGGCCCCTCACTGGTGGGTTGCTTGCGTGGCGCATCAGGCCAGAGGCCCACACCTCCGAGCTGCTTGTGGGCCGGCAGGGTTTGGGGGCTGGGCTCCTGGGGGGCTCGCCTCAGCAGCAGGAACAGGGGAGTCCTTCAGCTCCAGTGAGTCAGACAAGCGCAACTTAGTGACTTCTGTTTTAATCCGGCCTGCTCCCCCTCTTGCGCCGCCGCCCCCACTCTCTGGCCCGTCCATCTTGACATGCTTCTAAAGTGTCTGGGTTACTTAGACAAAAGGCAACTATCGGTTCCTATAAAAATAAGGAACAGTGGCAGGGCTGAATTTCTAATTGTCAACCCTGCCCCAGCTATGCTAGACCTGTAAGAGCAGGGCCACGGCCGCCAGGATCCACTTCGCTGCCTTCTCTTTGGTCTTGAGGTTAAAGGTCCAGACGTAGGTGGGGCCGCGGATGCGTGTTTTGTACACAGGACACTCATAGATGTTCTTGGTGTCCATGCGGTCCACAGGAATGGCCTTGATGAAGATGACGGGCATGGCTGGCGTCAGCTCCTTCAGCCTGGCTTCAGCGATGACTCCAGTCTGGGTGTCCCAGCGAGCGCCTGCAGGACAGCACGGCGAGGTCAGGGTGGCCTGTGGGGCCGTGCCTGGGTGTTGCGTGGTGTGCCGGCCGCGAGCTGGGGCTGGCAGGGCGCCGGGGGTGGACTGGCGCAGGCTCGGCTGAAGGTGGGGCTGTGAGCAGAGGACTGGGCAGGAGTGCTGGGCATGCCGGGACCCCTGGGACCCCGCCAGGCGCCTCAGAGGGATAGCTCTGCCTCAAGTTCTCGGGGCCACCCGTTTACATGGGTGGTATTTTCAGAACCTGTCCGTCAGCCTTCTCAGCCTCAGTGGCAGGAAGTGGTGGCTGCAGCTGGAAGTCCCAGGAGGTCACATGTGCATCGTCCAGCCTGTGTGTGCATGTGCAGGGCACGCGATCATATGTGCGCACACACACGGAACTTTGATTTGCCTTTAACCAGACCGCTGTCGTTCCTACTCACCCTGTTAATGGTGTTTGTGTTTCTTGTCTGTCATTCCAAAATAAACATGGAGAGCGGCCTCTGTCGTGCTTGTCTCTGACGTGGGGACTGGGGAGCCCTGAGCCTTTGCCGGCTAAACCCTGACACCCCCACAGGTAAGGGGGTGGCGTCAGTTGCTGAGTGGGACGGTTTGTGGTGGAAAAAGCTGCCTCTCAGCTCAACAGGTCTAAGGGACCAGGCTGCCTGGTGGCCCTGCGGCCTCCGCCGGCTCAGGACAGGGGAGGTAGGGGCAGCTGGTGCCCTCCCTGCTGCTGCTCGCCCGACCACGTGGGGGTGGGCCTGGGGCGGGAACGCTGGCGCCCCCAGCTGTCCGCCTGCCCCGGCTCCCTGCCCCCAGGCCCTCTGGGAGGGCCGTGTTCCTCACCGCCCTGAAACAGGTGCTCACACCTAAGGACGCGCCTGCCGTTTCCGGCCAGGCAGAGCCAGGCTGGCTGTCCTGTGCGGCAGGTTTGGCCTCCGGACTGCTGTCTGAGAGCGTTCTCAGACTCGCGCCACCGTCCAGCTTCCAGCCGACATGCCCCTTCCGCGCACCTCTCCCACCTGCCCCCTCCCAGCTGGTCTCTGCCCTCCAGCCCAGCGGGACTGGCTCTGGAAGCTTCCTCTGACCGGCACCCTCATTACCTTCCATGAAGAGCCCATACACATAGGAGCCCTCTCGGGGCGGTGCCGTCATGTCCTCCCGGTTCTTCTTGGTTACTTCCACAGACAGACACATCTTGTCCAGCGGCCACTCGTTCTTCCTGGCCATGGACTGCATGATGGCCGTGAGGAAGGACTGGGGGTTGAAGAAGCCGGCCAGCCACACGGTGGTGGGCAGGGTGAAGTCTGTCGTCCAGGCCTCGAGCTCCTGGTGGAAACGTGCTTCAGCAGGGCCCAGTGCCCGCTGGCTCCAGTTTAAATGAGGGAACGGGAGGAGGAGGGTCTGGAGAGGGCTTCACATCCAAGGACAATTTAGGGTCCCAAAGGAGGCTTTGACAAGGCGGTTCCCCGGACGGTGCCCCTGGGGCTTTGGGCTCTGGCGCAGAGGGCTGTCGGGCCGCTGTCCCTCCCTTCTGCAGGAAGTGCCTACATTGTCAGGCGTCTCTGTGGCCTGGGCCAGGCCTTTCCGGCCCTGCTCTGATGAAGGCCAGGCCAGTGGGGGCCTCTAGGCCTCTGGTGGGGACACGCTGCCCCTTCACAGCCGCGGTCCTGCTGGCCCTGGGGGGTGGGGGTGTGCTGTGACACCCGGGGACACTGTCCTCACCCTGATGCGGAGCAACAGGTCGGCGTACCAGGCCGCCAGGCCCATCATGGAGGGGTAGGCCCGGGCCACCCATGGGTCGGGCACGGTGTCGTAGAACAGCGCCGTGGACAGGTCTTCCATGTCGGTCGTGATGGTCAGTTCCCCCTAAGGACATACGGATGGGGCGCTGGCAGCCCAGGCCACTCACAGGCACGCGGACCTGGCCAGGCCCATGCCTTGTTTCTCTCACCCCATCCGTGCTGTGAGTCCTCAAAAGTAGCTTGGCACAGACCCTGGGTGTGTGCCCCCCGGCCTGGTGGGCCCGCAGCCCCGGACTGGGGAACCCAGAGGAGGCGGTACGGCGACAACGCCCAGGGCCCGGGCTCTGTGCTCTGCAGCTGGGGTGAGGGGGTCCGCTTGCGGCGGCCCGCCTGCCTCCTAAGTCTTGCCCTGGGTCCCAGCTGACCTGTGCGGTGTTACCTTCAGCCCTAGGCTCAGCTCCTTCAGCGAGCGGCGCATCTCATTGGTGAGGATGTTCATTCTTTCACATTCCTGGAAGGCGACCACCACATAGGGGGTCTTCTCAGCCGCCTTCGCCATGATCTCGGCCATGTTGAACATCTCCGGGACCTTCTCCAGGATCTCCTCCAGCACGGCCTTCACCTGGAAGTCAGTCCCCGACAAGCCCCGTCACCGCATGCGCCTGCGAGCCCACCCCCAGCGTCAGGGTTGGGGAGCCTGCGCCGGACGTTCACAGCGAGGGCTCCTGGAGCAAAGGGCAGTGGAGTTGCCTGAGAATCGGTCCTGGAGGTGCAGCCACACGTCTGACAAGAGGAGGAGATCTTGGCCAACAGGCTTTGAATAGTCTGGTCATCAAAGCCATTGGACTGTAGCCATGGGAGCTGCAGACATTCCCAAATGCATGGCTTCCTTCCCCCGTCAGATCAGCTGGCACCCATAGGACTGTGACCTTCGAGTTTCCCATGGGGGCTTCTTTGGGGACCCTTCTGGTCACACCCTCTCCAGGAGTGGCCCACACGGGGTCGTCTACACCACTGCCGTCAGAAGTCTGATTCTAGTCATTAGACCAAGGAAGGGCTGTGAGCCCTCACAGCACTGAGGGTCTTCTGGTCCAGAATCTGGTCTATCACCAGTAAGCCCAGTACTCAGCTGGCTGTTAACAGAACTTGTCCAGAATTTACTGGACAGTGTAAGGGTGTTAATTGCTCACTAGACGGCAAGAGGTAACCCAGGCAAGTGAGAACGGGTTAAAAGTTCTTAACGCTGAAGTTTTTTTGGTTCTTCGAGTATTAATGGGATGAGCCCCCCGGGGGTCTTCTAAGCTCTCGGGGAGGGGCTGTTCTGATGCCTCTGGGCTGTCGGGTAGGAGGCCCCCCCCCCCCCCACCAGCTGGGCCAAGTTAGAGGCTGCAGGGAGGGAGGCCTGGGGGTGGGGGAATGGCCCCTGGGCAGCACCCCTGGGCCTGTTAGCCAGCTCACAGCTCCACCCCGGTTTCTGGGGGTGCACTTTTCGACTCCAGGTTCCAGGCCCCGCCCTTTGTCTGGCCCTGGGCCGGGTGTTAAGGCTCCTGCCTTCTCCTCGCGAGATACTCCGGTGCCTGCTCCTGAGTCGGTCTCTTTGGGCTGCATTTCCAGGACGGTGCGGAACAGCTTCTCTGACGTGACTGTCAAGAAGCCAATCTCTGCATTGGGGTGCAGGCCGTACAGGTAGGGACTCTCGGGGGGCAGGTTCTCATCGATGTACTCGTGGTAACCCTGAGAAGGGGTGGTGGGTGAGCAGGCTGCCAAGGTAAAGCCGTGCAAGCTGGAACCCGTGTCCACTGATCAAGTGTTTCGGACCGGAATGTTCTGCCCACGTCTTGCCGTCTGCACAAACCCCCACAGTTCTCTAACCCCCTTTCTGGCTGCTCCACCCCCCACCCCCCAGCCACATGAACCATCTCCACGCCCCCTCCCCCCCAGGGGCTGTTTCACGCCAACTCTCATTTCCGTTGCCTGGCTTCTTGCTCAATCACAGATACTCCGTTTGCGACGCCAGGCTGGCCCCAGAGCTGGCCGGGCCGGCATCGCCCTTGGCTGCTGTCGCACCGGGCGAGCTCGTGTCCCTGAGAGAGCGCCCCCCGCTCACCTTGTAATCCAGGTTGGGGGGGATCTGAAAGCCCGGCGCCAGCAGGATCTCGCCCTCCAGCATCTCCGCCCGCACGTACTCTGCCAGGTACGTCCTGCACAGCCGCCGGTCCCAGTCGTCCGTGATGTGGCCGCCGTACATGATTTCTCCAAACAGGTAGCGGAGGTCGTCCCAGGGCACCTGAGAAAGGACGCAAGTGGTTAGAAGCGCCGCCGCCCCTTCGGGGTCTGACTCGGCCGTCAGCCCCCCCTGCCGTCTCCTGCCTTTGGCTCCTTTGGCGAGGGCTGCCTGGCCGTTCCCTCCACCTGTGGCCTGGCCTCTGCCCTGACTGTGACCGCTGGCAGTGTGCTCCACAGGCCCCCCCTGCAGCCGCCATTCGCTCCCTCTCGCGGGCCTCCCATGTCACCCCTGCTCGGAGACGCGCAGCCACCCGTGACTCCGTACGCTGGCCACCTGACCGGAGCGGTTTCCGCGGTGACTGGGTGTCTACTCTTGGGTGCCATTTCTTTTGGCCACAGAGTCCTGTTGGTCACACCTTTACGATGTCTCCATCCGGTGGCCTGCCTTGCGGTCCTGCTGAGTTTACCTGGCTCCGTGTTCCCAGCGGCTCCCTGTACCTGCGCGTCCTGCGGGGCTGCGTAGACGGGTAGCGCAGCGCCGAGAGCGCGGCTGCCTGACCTTGCACTCTGCGCGGGCCACTGCTCCCCGCCACCACCTTCTGAAGCCTCCTCTGCGAAGCCAGGAGTTGGGCTCGGCTGGCAGGTGTCAGCACGGTGCCGTCCAACCGAAGCGGCTCGGGGGCCGCAGACAGCAGTCACGTATGCAATCCCAAATTTGTGAGCAGCCACGTAAGTGAGAAGATTGTTCCAGCAGACGGCCAGCATGAAAACGATGAATTAATAAGCTATTTAACACTCTCACCTGCACCACGCTTTTGCCGTCCAGTGTGGATCTCATGCAGTTCGGATGCCACGTGCGTGCGGTTCGTCCCGCCACTGCCCCGGGCGGCGCAGGCGGGTGGCCTCCTGACACAGTTTATCGAGTAAAGAACTCGTGCACTCATCGGTTGCCTGATTCGGTCTCGTGAATTTCACTCAAAATGTTAATATTCTCTTAATTGTCATTTTGTGATTTAAAGGTTGTTCTCTGCCTGGTTATCTTGGGTACGTGCTGAGCTGCTTTTTCTGTGTTTTACTTGTTTGCTTCGGGGACAGCTCGCTTCCTCAGGCCCCTCTGACCCCCTGGGCCCCGCGGGCTTCCTCCCAGGGACGCCCTTCCCTGCGGGGTGGGGGCCATGGCACTAACAAGCAGGGACGGACACCACCCACCCGTGTTCCCACTCGTGCCGACAGAGTCCTGGAGCACTCGTCAGAGACAGGGCACCTGGCCTTCCCCCAAGAGTCTGCGTGAGTTGGTCTGTGTTCTTAACCAATGCTCTGGACCACGTCCTCTGGTCACTTAACGTTGTCGAGACTGTGAGCTCGGACAGAGGAGGGGTCATGCCACCAGGAGCCTGGTGCGCCCAGCCTGACCGGTCACTGCTCGGCAGGACGTGCGTTCCTGTGTCATTCACTCCTGTCAGGGGGTCGCTGAAGCTCATGGCATGCGTTCTCGAGCCATTTCCTCCCCACCTTGGCTTCTATGTGTGTGTGAATAATGGGGCAAGTGTCTGAATAAACGTCTTCAAAAAACTCGAGCACTGTTCCTCCCATACCAATCTCCCCAGAAAACGTCTCTTAACCAAACTGCTCCTTCACGGCCGCTCCCCAGCATCTCCTTCTTGGCGAGAGCTGGAAGGTAGCTGCGAGGGTTCAGCTCGGCTCTAGGTGAAGCGGACCGCCAGCCCTCCATCCCCGCCACCTGCAGGTGGAGACCAGCTCCCTTCCTGGGGATAGCTGCCTGCTGGCCCCTTCGGCCCTCCTGTCTCTGGGCATGGGTTTCGCTAGGAACCAAGCCTGTGAGCCGTGTGGTGGGCTCAGATTTGGGTGATGGCAGTGTGGAGAGGCCGCCCTGCGGGGTCACAGCTGGGGGAGTGATGGTGTTTGTCCTCAGAGGTCGTCAGACCTTCTCCGGCCTCCTGTGGGGAAGGGTATGCAAGGCTGTGCTCGCCGTCCCGCCCTGGCCCTGGCCTCCTTCGCCTCCGCCCACATCTTGAGCTTTTTACAGCAGAGTGGGAAACAGGCGGGCGTCCCGAGACCAGCACCCCTAGGCCCGGCGGGGCACTTTCCTTGCCCAACCCCTGGAGCTTGAGCCCCAGTGTCCGGGAGGTCTCAGCTGGTGAGAGGCAGAGCTGGACTTCAAGCCCGGGGCCCTGGATCCCAGCACCATCTGCCACCATGCCGCCGGCGTGTGAGGAGGGGCACTGCCTGGTGCCACTGTCTGGCCCTCCCGCCACTGCCCAGCCCGCTTGGTGTCACCGGCGCTGTGCCGCGGTCCTGTCACTGCTGATTCGGGGCCAGTGAGGAGGAGCCGAGGCTTCTGGGGTGCGTGGGCACCTGCCTCCCCTGGGGGTCACAGCAGCCATGCTGTGTCCGTGCCGGGCTCTCCAGGAGTCAGGCTCCCTCCGAGGGGGACCGGGCGCGGCCCCTCTCAGTCTGCGGGCTTCTCCGGCCTCTGAGGCCATCTGCAGAGCACCTCACACATGTATCTCCACCATCAGGAGAATCAGAGCAGCGGTCGTGTGTTCCAGGGAGATGGTTTGGCTTTCCCTCTGGACCTGGGTTCTGTCTGCGGACGCTGCCCATGCACCAGGGAGGCCCCTCCTCGTCCCCGCCCCCCGGGAGTTCTGGGCAGGCCCCCCAGAGATGCCTGCCCCCCTGCATGTGCTACCAATGGGAAGAACTGCCAGATGGCCGACAAGTGCCGCAGGGCTGGTGAGGGACAGGGCGACACTTACCGTGTCCACCTGCTGGGTGGGGTCTCAGGGCTGCTTCTTTCCAGGTTTTGTTTGGGTTACGACACTGGGATGTGTCCTGAGCATGGGCCACTGCACAGTTGACGGGGCGCGGTTGGGGGCGCAGAGCGCCCTGCTGGGCACCAGGCGCACCCTTACCTTGGTGTTGGCCTCCAGGTAGTTGTAGAGCACGTTGATGGAGATGGTGAGGTCCCCGTTGTTGAAGGGGTACGACCTATTCCAGCCCTGGGCCCCAAACTTTCGCCTCTCGGCCACCACGGCGTGAAAGTAGCACAGGGCGAAGAGGATGCACTTGAACTCGATCTCCTTGGTGCACATCTCCAGGGTGTCCTGCGGGAGGGGACCCGAGTCCTGCCTCTGCCAGCTGTCTTGCTGGGGGCAGGAGGGGCAGCGCGGGGTGGAGGGGGGCAGCTGCCGGAGCCCCTGGTCCACGGACTGGAGGAGAGAATGCTTTCTTGTCTTTACTTCTTTCAGAAATGGCCCTTCTATCACTTAAGTATTGATTACAAGTCAAATTATGCTGCTTTCTAATAAAATATCCACAAACACAGGACATTTCAGGACTTAAGGAGAAGTACTGTCCCTTGGCAGCGGTCAGCACCCCTCACGGTGCGCGCACAAACAGTAGCCCAGACTGTTTAGAAACCAGGGCGAGCTGTTCATTCTCAGCACAATGTGCTCCATGAGTAGTCTTTGTAGGTGTTACCAGGCAGTAGGAGTGTCTTCCTTAAAAAGGTTTTAGACTCCACTTGGGAGATAAGTGTGTGCACCCAGAAGGTTCTGGTGCAGAACAGAAGATCAGGTGCCAAGAGATGAACGTAGATGCTAGGGTCTTGCAGAAGGGGGCAGGGCTGGGAGTGGGGCAGGAGGTTTGGACGGGGGGGGGGGGGGGCGGGCCACAGGAGCTGTCCCACTGAAGCAAGGGGGGGGCCTGCTGGGGATTGAGGGAGGCCTGGCGGCAGCCTGAGCCAACCAAGAGCATCTTCTGTCTCCTGAGGAGCCAGAGAGGGGGCCGAGATGCACTGGAGCCCAGCACACCGCCCTCCAGAGCTGGGCCCCTTCCTGAGGGGCTCCAACAAGCCCAGGACCTGCGATGCATTGACCTGTGCTGGCTCGCAGGTCATGAAACTGTCTTTAAAGCTGTAACTTGACTGCATTTCACGCTATGTACGTTTTACTTAGTCTTCCAGGAATATATTGACTTCGTGGTGTGAGGCGTGTGTGTGTGTGTGCGTGTGCGTGCGTGCACGTGTGTGCTGGGGGTGGCGTGGAGCGGCGAGAACCAGGGTGCAGCCGTCCTCGGAGTTCAAGCCTGCTCCCCAGCAGCGCAGGCCAGAGCTGCCTTTCTGTCTGTGGGATACGCGCGCCGGAGGGGAAGCCGCCTCACCTGGGTGAAGAGGTCCAGAGCCTTGTGCAGGTTGGCGTGCATGCCCGTGGGTGGCTCATTGGTGATTTTGATGGCGTTTTCCAGGATGCCCTGGGGGATGATGTGGGACTCGGGGCTGGGGGCGGGCTCGGCGCTGATGAACACGCGGTAGTCCTCGTGGCTGCCCATGCTGTGGTGCTCCACCTTCTTGTCCAGGGTGCTCAGCCACCGCGCCACAAGGTGGATGTTCTGTGGCCAAGACCGGGGCTTAGCACCCACGCGTCCCTCCCACACGTCCCTCCAAGCAGTGCCCACTGTCCGCCCTTCCCCGGGCGCCGGGCACGCCAGCCAATTTCTGCTGAGGCCTGGGAGTCAGTATTCGTGCTCGGTGAATTCAAGACCTCCAGCCTCCTGGCGAGTCCTCCCCGGCCTCCCCGGGCATAAGGCTGACATGATATGGTCCCCATCCCTGCTTTGAGGTTTGGGTAGAAGGAATGGCATGAAGCTGGGGTCTCCGCTCAGGACCAGGCTAGGACATGCCGACCGAGGTCGGCTCACCCTGTGCAGGCCGGGCAGGACTGCAGGTGCTCCTTGGGGTTCAGGAGAGGGCTCGGAGAGGCTGCAGGGGCCCCTGGTGCTTCCCCCAAGCGAGGAAGAGGAGGAGGAGGAGGAACGGCGCTTTTGTCCGCTCTGGAGTTTGGGCTTTATAAGCAGCATCTCTGTAGGGAAACTCTGGCCTAAAGCCCAGCGTCCTCTCACCGAGTAAGGTGGTGGTGACGGCCGCACCACCTCACGGACCAGGCAGAGGGGACGTGGTGTAGGAGCCGCCTGCCCCTCCCATGGGTGCAAGTGCAGGCGCCCCCGTACCTGCAGAATGACCCAGTGTCCCATCTCTGCAGCCATGTCCAGAGCGTCCTCGGCCACCACCTCCTGTCCCTGCCCCAGGGACACGTTATGCAGTTTCCCGTTGTCTATGGTAAATCCCAGCTTTTTCCCTGAAGGAAAGAGAACAGGAAGTGCGTGGGGGCGGCTCTGCCATCCTGCCGGGAATCTCACCCCTCCCCGCTTTGTGTGCTATTGTAAAAAACACATCAGATTTGCCAATTTCAAACCCATCTTCAAGTGTACAGTTCGGTGACATTTAATACATTCACGGTGTTGTGCAGCCATGCTTCTGGTTCCAGCACTCTCCATCCCTCCCATCAGGAAGCCCCACCCCCGCCCCCGGCAGCCGCTCAGCTGCTCCGTGTCTCTGTGGATCTACCCATTCTGGATGCTTCCGATACGCTGAACCCTAGAACAGGGGGCCTTTGTGTCTGGCGGGGACTCCTCTCGGTACAGTGTTTTCAAGGTGTGTCCATGGGGCAGTGCCTCTCGGCACCTCATTTTGGTGGCTGAGGACTGTCCCATCGTGTGGCTTCACCACGTGGGGATTACCCACTCACAGTTGATGGACGTTGGCTTCATCTGCCTTTTGGCTATTGTGAGTGATCAGCCCTATGGAGCATGTGCTTAAACACCTGCTTTCATTCTCGGGGTGTGCACCAGCCATGGGATCGCGGGGTCCCACGGCACCTGCCTGTGTCCCCCGCCAAGGAAGCACCGGCCTGCTTTCCGCACCGCTGTACCTCCTCCCGGGCCTGCGGGAGGCTCATCTCTCTCCCAGGCTCATCGGTTTCTGTTTCCTCACCGGGGTGCAGGGGCACCTCGCTGTGGCTCATGCACATTTCCTGGTGGCCGTCCCTCTCTGAGGCCTCCCTGGCCGGCTCCACTTACCCAGGGCTTCCACGTCTTTGAGGGGGTCAACGCCTGGGGAAAGGATGAAGAAAATCGGAGTAGAAGGGCTGCTCTCCTCGTAGGACTTGGAAAACTCGACGCTCCGGCCCTCCACGAACTTGCTGCCCATCTTCTCCTCCACAAAGTTCCTGAGGGAGACGCGCTTGGTCAGACCCGATGGCGAGGGGGACGGGGTGGGCTGGGACCCCTGGTGGAAGGGCCCCTCTTCTTGGGGGGCTTTCTTTTATTTATTATTTCTTTAAAGATTTTATTTTATTTTTAATTATTTTTTTTGAGAGTTTTTATTTGTTTATTTGACAGAGAAAACAAGCAGAGGGAACAGGAGAGGGAGAAGCAGTCTCCCCACCAAGCAGGGAGCCTGACGTGGGACTTGATCCCAGGACCCCAGGACCATGACCTGAGCCAAAGGCAGAGGCTCAACCAACTGAGCCACCCAGGCACCCCTATTTTTAGTTATTTTTTAAAAGGTTTATTTATTTTAGAGAGAGAGTGCACACACGAGTGGGCAGAGGCCCAGTGGGAGAGGGAGAGAGAATCTCAAGAAGACTCCCCGCTGAGTGTGGCGTCTGATGCAGGGCTTGCTCTCACGACCCTGAGATGATGACCTGAGCTGAAATCAAGAGTCGGACCCTTAACCAGCTGCACCACCCCCTTAAAGATTTTATTTTTAAGTAGTCTCTACACCCAACGTGGGGCTTGAACTCACGACCCCGAGATCAAGAGTCACATGCTCCTCTGACCGAGCCAGCCAGGTGCCGCTTTGGTGGACTTTCTTAAGCAGAGCAAGGTCTCAGGCCCGAAGGCAGTCTTTTCGGGGGCTTTCCTCTTTGCCGGGGGAGGGTGTGGCCGGGGGAGCAGGTGCTTCTCGCCTCCGTCCCTGCCAGGCCCTACAACGTGCCCGCAGGTGAGAGGTGGTCTCCTGCGGCCCCGTTTTCAGAGGCTCCCAGGTCACCTGGGAGGGAACATAAGCCTCAGTGGCACCACAACCCAGGGCATTCTGGGTGAGCACGCCCCAGCACCAGGTGGCCCCTGGGTCCTTCGAGCCGTCTGCGCTTCCAGGCAAGGGGACGGGTTATGGCGATTTCGTCTCCCACATGCTCTCCGTCTGCTGTCCAGCAAGGGCCGCAGGAAGAAGCTGAACACAGACCGTTCTCACCAGTCCTGGTAATCTCCCCGGACTGGGGGTTTGGGGAGGAAGGAAGTTCACGTTTGCAGCCGTCTTGGTGAACTCAAAGACCACAAAACATGGTTCATCAGAAAAATCACAGGGAAAAAAAAAGGAATTTACATAGATACCTGTCTTTACAGAAGCAGCTCTGTTTTCCGAGCCCCTGACTTACTTTCTTGACCCGCAAGAAGTCTGGGGTCAATTGGGCCCCTCTTAGGGGAAATCTGGTGTTGTTTGGGGGTGACCTTTAGAGCTCTCTTCGCCTCTCCATCACAGGGGGCTGAGCTTACCATGTTCTGAGTGATTCACAGGCACTGAAATACTAAGATTTAGTGTCTTTAAAAGCATGTCAGTCTTTGAAAGAACAGTGGAGGGAAGGGCTCCCTCAGAGGCCGCCCCACACCCTCTGGCTCCGTGGGGACCTTGGGCCAGCAGGACTTTCCGGGGACCCTTTTATCAGGACTTGTCTCTCGCTGTGGCCTTTGCTGGCTTCTGTGCAGTTCCCGAGCCAACGAGGGCTCCAGGCGGGGTGTCGGGGGCGCTCCTCCTGAAACCCTCCCCAGTTGTACTCGATTCCGGCCTTGGGAACTGACTCGCAATGTGGAGGCTAGCATCTGTGTCCAGGAAGGACTTCTGGAATGTCCCAAGTCCTGCCCTAGACGGGAATGTCACTAAATCACCGTTGCTAACGACGTTGGCAGGCCACACGGTCATTCTCCACGGGTGAATTAATGATGAACAGCGCACATTGGTTCCCGGCGGGCCCCACCACTCTGGGCACCGCATCCTTGGCAGAGGAGAGCTGGGGTCCGCTCCCAGCCGCTCCCCGGGAGCCCCGGGGTGTCTGTACCACAGAAGCTGGGCTTTTTTGTGGGGGGAGGTAGTTTGCGGGCACCCCACTGCTCTGCCCCAGGCCAGTCACTGCCGTCTGTGGGCCCTTGAGCCTCAGGGGCCACTCGGGGGGGCAAGTGAGCTGAGGCTTTGGTTGGCGCCTGGCACACAATCCACCCTGTTACATTATTCACTGTGGATTTGGATCTCCTTGCTTTTAAGCTGCATGGCTCCGGTAGAATTAGGGAGGTAACTCTGCTTTCCTGGACGCTACAGACATGTCACGGAGCGGGGTTTGGGGTCGCCCAGGCCCCAGCGAAGCACACAAAGGCTCACGCGGTCTGAGGTACTTCATTCAGGGCATCCTTGTGCCTTCACACGCGTGACCCTGAGTGACGTGCCACCATGCGCTGGGGGCTGTGGGCCTGGACACCTGACCGCGCTCCGCTCCCCGGCTGATGTCCCCGCTGTGATGGCCAGGTGTCCTTCCCCTCCATCTTTCCCAGACTTTGTCCAAACTTCTTCCGGCACGACTGTCCTCCATGGTGGGGATTTCTCGTTTCCCTGCACTTCCTGCTGCCCTGCCCGTGACCCCCAACCAAACGGAGCAAAACAGACACGTTTGTGAACAACCAGTGCATGGGAGTCGGGCCTCTGCTTTGTCAGAGGGGAGTTCTGTTAGGGACACAGGTGTCTTTCGGGGCATCTGGCTGCTTTGGGGCTTTTAGGACCAAGAAAAGGCAAAGATGCCGTATTATGTCCCAGAATGGGCGCTGGGCTTGATTCCTTGTCTGCCTTGTCCCCCTTCCTGTGGCATCTCCATCCTCATCCTCCATCCTGTGGCATCTCTGTTCTCCCTTCTTCCTGTGGCATCTCTGTCTTCCCTCCTTCCTGTGGCATCCTCATCCTCCATCCTGTGGTGTCTCTGTCCCCCTTCCTTCCTGTGGCATCTCCGTCCCCCTTTCTGTGGCACCTCCATCCCCCATCCTGTGGCGTCTCTGTCCCCTTTCCTTCCTGTGGCATCTCCATCCTCATCCTCCATCCAGTGGCATCTCTGTCCTCCCTTCTTCCTGTGGCATCTCCGTGCTCCATTTTGTGGCATCTCTGTCCCCCTTCCTGTGGCATCTCTGTCCCCCCTTCCTGTGGCATCTCCGTGCTCCCAGGTCGGCCCCGGGTCAGGAGGGAAACCCTGTCCACTCCAGGAGAGGGTGGATGGGACATCTTAGATGTCACCTGTGGGGACCAGTGCAGTGTTGTGTGATGTCACTGTTCCTGGAGTCCTTTTGTGAAATGGCAGACCCAAATGGGGAGTGAACGGGGGGAGGGGGGGGCTGGAAGGCCACGGTGATTAATTTTCCAATCATGCAGGAGCTTCAGAGGCAGAGAAATTATTCACAAAGTTAGAGTAATTCTCTGCAAATGAGCTGAAGCTGGCCCAACAGTTTACTTTAAATGTAGCCACTGGGGGCATAAAATCCGGATGATGATGGCTTTGCCACAGTTTTCTCTCCACTGTCCTAAAGGACTCCTTGTGGCCTCAGAGTCATTAATGCCCACATTTTGTAGAGAATCTTGGCTCAGGGTTGGCGGGGGGGCATCGGGGGGGGGGGGTCCTGTTTCCCCTCACTGGTCCCTCAGGCTGGCGGGAGGAGAAGGGGCGGGGAGCGCTTGCAGGTGGGGTCCCGTGCCCGTGGGCCCCGTGGGGCCTCCCTCCGCCTCCCCACCCACCTGGGAGGGTGCCACACACTCACTTGACGGCGTAGGTCATGCGGTCTGGCCGCATGCACCTCACCATGCACAGCTTCTGCAAGGACGTTTTGTTCTTCCACTCCTTGGGGAAGATTTCCTTCTCAGGGGCTTCCGACTCCACCAGCTTCTTCCACCGCTTGGCAGACCCTTCGATGTCGTTGTCCAGGTTCTTGAACTCATCCATTTCCGACAGGGCCTGGGGGCAGGTGGCCTTTCAGCTCCCCCCGCGCCCCCCTGTCCCGATGCTGGGAGAGGGTGGGCCACCTGGCTTGGCGCTAAAATGAGCTGCTGGTGCCCCTGAGGGCCAGGAACGTGGATGGAGGGTCTAGCGTAGGCATAGGACCCCAGCTGCCCCTCCAGAGGGCTGAGGGACCGGGGCTGCTCCCATCATGGGGGGGCTGCCTTCTTCAGGCCTTCTGACCCAAGATGCTGGGGGCCCCTGAGTGTGTGGGCCCAGATTGGAGGAACCACCTGGACACTTGCCCGGGATTGGGAGGGTGGGCAGCGGTATCGGGCGGCCCTGGACCCGCCCTGGGGCCTGTCGTGGCTCAGCTCGTGGGGCCGTGTGCGGGTCGGAGTGACCGTTGTGTTCGAACAGGAAAGTAGAGATTTCTGCGAGCCGGCAGGAGCCCTCTGCACCCCGGCCCCACCTCTGGGGTCTCCCCGGGTCACTGGATATCCGGCTGGTGGTAGCGCCTCGCAAACATCCCCGGCGTGAGCCCCAGACCCCCCACAGCAGGGAGAGAGTCCCAACACCAACCTTGATGCCGCCCCATCCCTGGTGCTGCAGGAAGTCCACCGGCGACTGGACCCCTGCCTTGAAAGGGAACCGCAGGAGGAAATCCAGCTCGACTGGGTTCAGCTCTTTCTTCATGGACAAGACCTGAGGGAACATGGGGCCGCTCAGCGTTGTCCCACAACAGTGGGGGAGGGAGGGGTGGCCGACGGCCCCCATGGGAGCGCCGGACGCCTTGGTCACGGGCGCGGGACAGGCCGAGGTGCTCCCCCCCCGCCGGCCCTGCAGAGGAAGCGCTGTCCTGCCCCCTGGGTCCAGGCCAGACTTTGGATTCACCTTGGTTTATTGTCGTGTTTTTAAATTATGATAAAATACACATGACATTTACCATTTTAACCTGATTAAAGTACGAAATTTTAGTAAATTCATGTCATGTCCAACCATCACCACTATTTAGAACCAGAGCTTTTTCATCTTCCCAAAGGGAACCCCCTGAGCAGCGCCCCCGGATCCGCCACCAGCCGAAGGCGCCCTGGGTCTGTGCCCCATCTGTCCAGATCTGCCTATTCTGCACATTCCGTGTCCAGGGAATCCTACAGATGTGGCCTTTCCCCTCTGGCTCCTTTCGAGGTTCATGTACGACGTAGCGGGTGTCAGAACAATAAGGCTCCGTTGTGCGGAGAAACCACGTCTTGTTTATCCGCTCATTCTTTGATGGACATTTGGGCTGCATCCACCTTGTGGCAGGTGTGAGCAGAGCTGCTGAGAATGTTTCTACACAAGTCAATTCTTTGGGGGCATATACATTTTCTGGGGGATCTTCTGGGTCATGTTCTGGGTCTCTTCATCACCCGTGCACACCAGCTCTCAGGGCGTCCAGCCAGTCGTGTCTCGGGTCCCAGATGGACGGCAGGTGAGCCAGGGCCACCACGCACATAGGGCCCCACGCAGCTTCCCTTGGACACTGCAGAGCAAAGACTTTCGCCTGAGTCAGACTCCTGCTTTTTTTTTTTTTTTTTTTTGGTCAAAAGAAAAATTCTTTGGAAATTTAGGGGGACCACCAAGGAAATCTCCTGATGCCCTTTCAGCAGGAGAAACCTCACAGAGGGGCTGCCATTCAGGGATTCACAGATAAAGAAAAACCTCCTTGATCTGGACCCTGGTGGACAGTTTGAGTTTGGATGGAAAGCAACCTTCTAGAAGCTCTCTGGAAATTAGTGTTTCCCACCATACTTACAAGATGGAGCAAACCAAATGGTGGATGGGCTGTTTCATCAATTTAATGGAACAAAAATCTGAAATATTCCAGCAGGTCCGTATGAACAGGAGGCATATTTATTTCTTTGTACCTGTATTACCTTAAGAAATGTATTCGGCATCCACGGTGGTTGACCACTGACGCGGGACTGCTTAGCAGGCAGTCCGTAAATGTAATTAGAATGACCTTTCTTTGTAACATTCTCCTTAACGGACCTCCCCTTCAGTGCCTCCTCCTTAAAACTGTGCCTGATATCAACGAAAGAGAGTCCCAAGCACATCCCATGGCAGTGACAGGAAGGGCATCCATCACCGGGCAGTCTGCACTGGGGACCAGCCCTCGGGCGCTGCTGCTGCCGGTTGCGGACCACGCTTGGAGCAGGGAGGGCAGACGTACCTGGAAGGCCACCTGGGCCAGGAAGATGAGCTTGTCCCGCTCGAAGAGCCCGCGGGCCGTGTACATGTAGACGGAGTAGGTGATCTCGTCCGTCAGGTTGATTACTCGCTGCCTGACCTCCTCTGCGGGGGTGGTCTTCTGGATGGCCTTCTCGAATACCACGTTGAAGGCCTGGGGAGGGGGCACATGGAGGCTTGTGGGGCTGGACTCCGAGGCCACCCCATGCTGCCTGCTAGGGCTCTGCTTTGTTTCCGTGGTGGGTGGGGGTCTGGGGCACCAGGTGAGGAAGCCCCTTCCCCGGGGTGCTGGCCTAGGGCAGATCCCGCACCCTGGCTCCCCCTTCCCACCGTCGTCTGCGGCCTGGACCCCGTCTGTGCTCCCAACGGCTGGGGCTCTGTGGACGCCAGGGCCCCAGCCCCAGAGCCCGGCCGTGACCACACCTTGAGTGAGAACTGATAGATGGGGTTAATCTTGTTGAGGTCGTTCAGTATGAAGTACAGCAGGGACGCCCTCTCTGCGGCTGGCCGGTAGTTCTCTCTGGCCTCATTGATTTTAACCTCTGTGATTTTTGCCTCTTTCACCTTAAAACAATTGGGACCAGTGGGTGGACAGCGCCGGTGAGCAGTGGGCCCCCCAACCCCTCCCCCACCGCCCCATGCGAGGGACCCTCCACTGGGCCGCAGTGTGCTGGGTGGGGCGCGAGCCCCTGCTCCCTGCCCTGGGCCCCAGGGGCACGCGTGGCCCGGTGGCTTCTCTTCCCAGCACTGTGGCAGGCCCTCGGTGCCCTATGGCGGGGAGCGCAGGGCAGGCCCTGGAGGTGGTCTCTTACCTTCTCCTCGATCTCGCTGGCCGTGTGCTTGGTGGTCTCCAGATTCTCTACTAAGGCCGTGTCCCCCAGGAAGTTCCCTGACGCAGCCGACAGCCGGGCCAGCAGGGAGTCTTCCAGCTCCTTCAAAACAATCTTGAATTCATTTTGGGACTTGGTGAGGTTCGCCTGCGGGAGGGACAGAGCGCCAGGAGGGGAGCTCAGCCGAGGCCCCAGCTGGGACGGGAGGAGCACCACAAGCCTGAGAGGCCAGGGCATGGGGACACTCTGAGCCCATGTGTGCAGGCCACCGCACGCAGGGGCCCACAGCAAAGACCATGCCCACGGGGCCGCAGTTTGGTGCGTGGCCGTCCGGGCTCCGCTGAGACTCCTCTTCCGTCAGAGAAGCGGCTGTTGGATTTGGAGTTCGGTTTGGGAGGCCTCTGGGGAGGAAGAGTGGCTCCTTCCGTCGCACAAAATCCGACCTGTGGGACGGGCTGGGGCCCCTGGAGCCACATCGGGGGCGCAGCTGCAGCGTCAGAAACCTCGCGGCGACCCCAGCGGCCCGCCCTGTGCTGCGTGACGGCGGCCCCGTACCTTCAGCTGCTCTAGATCCGGGCGCTCTTTGGCCACCACAGCAGCCAAGAGCTGGTCCTCGAGCCCGTCCCTGGTGACCAGGAAGTTGATCAGGGTGCACTGGGCTTGCATCTCGGGCTTGTAGTGTGGGTTGAAGTGCTTGGTGTGCAGGATGAGACGGAACTTGGGGTGGTACTCCACCTCCTTGTCGCCGATCTTAATGAACCTGGCCGTGAGGGGAGGGAGAGGTCAGAGGGGCTCGGGCAGCAGCACCAGCAGCCTGGTGCCCCACCCCCCACCCCCGGGCCTCGCACCACCACGAACCCTTCTGGTCACCGGGAAAGGACTGTGTCGCTTCTTGCTCTAGTCTTCCTCTCTGGCCTATGGCCGGGACCTTCTAGAAGGTGCACCTGCTCTCTCTCTGGCTGGTTTGTTCTGGTCTTTATAGGCGTGCTCACTCAGCTCCCACTGCACATCATACTCCCCTGGGAGCCGGTGCAGAAACACACCACCTGGGCCCCACCCCAGAGCCACGAACGTCAGAAAGACACGGACACCCCGATTCAGAACACCGCTAAATTCTGGAAGCTCCCCGGGGGAATCTGAGAGCAGCCAGGGCTAGAAGCTGGGTCTGCGGGTCCACTGTGGGGGAACCTCTTCTCTCGGCTCCCACTCTTGCTGGTTAAGCTCACTTTCGGGAGCCTCTTTACCCCTTGGGTATCACCACTCATGTCAAGCTCTTCTCAGAGGCTAGGACGTCAGCACGTTTATTGGCCACCTCTGTTCTGGGCTTCGGCACGCACCCCCTATTTTTTTTTTTTTAAGATTTTTATTTATTTATTTGAGAGAGAGAATGAGACAGAGAGAGAGCACATGAGAGGGGGGAGGGTCAGAGGGAGAAGCAGACTCCCCGCTGAGCAGGGAGCCCGATGCGGGACTCGATCCCGGGACTCCAGGATCATGACCTGAGCCGAAGGCAGTCGCTTAACCAACTGAGCCACCCAGGCGCCCTATTTTTTTTTTTTTAAAGATTTTATTTATTTATTTGAGAGAGAGAGAATGAGAGACAGAGAGCACGAGAGGGAAGAGGGTCAGAGGGAGAAGCAGGCTCCCTGCCGAGCAGGGAGCCCGATGCGGGACTCGATCCCGGGACTCCAGGATCATGACCTGAGCCGAAGGCAGTCGCTTAACCAACTGAGTCACCCAGGCGCCCCAACCCCCTATTTTTGTCAGTGGCTCAGACCAGCTCTGATGTTTCCATTTTAAAAGTTGATTTAATTTTTTTTTATATTAGAAAAGTAATACAGGCTCAATGCATCAACCAGTGAATGGATAAACAGAACGAGGCACACCCATCCGGTGGACTCAGCCGTAAGAACAACGCGGTCCTGCCACGCTGCCGCACAGATGGGCCTTGAGCACACGGCGCCCAGGGAAAGTGGCCAGACAGAAGAGGGCACACGCCACGTGATACCCTTTAAAGGACGTGTGTCCAGAGCAGGGAAATCTGTGGAGATGAGAGCACATGGGTGGGTGCCAGGGTCCGGCAGCTGGGGGTGCGGGGAGCGAGTGCTTGGTGAGTACGGGGCCTCCACGTGGGGCGATATTTGCACAACACTGTGAGTATACCAAGTGCCAGTGCATTGTTCACCTTCAAACGGCTAATTCTGGGTAAGGTAGATTTCACCTGAATAAAAAAAGAAATAGTACTACAGGCTTAGGATTTGTAAAATGCATAAAAACAGAAGAAAAGCATGACCAGTGGGGCGCCTGGGTGGCTCAGTCGGTGAAGCGTCTGCCTTCAGCTCAGGTCGTGGTCTCAGGGCCCTTGGATCAAGTCCTGCATCAGGCTCCGTGCTCCGTGGGAGTCTGCTTCTCCCTCTCCCTCTGCCCCTCCCCCTGCTTGTGCTCTCTCTCTGTGTCAAATAAATAAACAAAATCTTAAAAAAAAGAGAGAAAAGCATGACCATCAAGGACAGCCGTCCGCAGGCGGTCACTAATAAGGTGTTGGCGTTGCTGTTCTTGACTGGGATGCGGTCCCACAACTTCCCACCTCTCCTTGCGGACCGGCATTTTGTCGCAGACCCTGCTGCCTACCCGAACGGCGGGGCATTTCCCCACACCGCCGCCCTGCGCAGAGGCCACAGGCCCCACGGAGCATGTTCACATGGTTCACGGGGGCCAAACCGTGAAAGTGGAACCGGAAACTCACTTTCCCTTCTTAATGGTGTTTCTGCCGAGCAGCGGGTCCAGCACAGGGTCCACGGTTTCGCCAATGTTCTCGATGAGCAAGATGTCCCCTTCGGAAATGGCCTGCTCAATGATGTCCAGGTAGCTGTGGGCACGACATGGGGCCAGGTAAGGACGTGGGCCCAGAGAGGGCACCGCCGGGTGCCCCAGAGGCAGCCCTTGGAGCGAGAAGGCACCAGAAGACAAGTGGCCGAGGGGCCAGGAGCTCCTTCCCTGTGGGGGGCTCTGGGGCACCTGTGGTCGTCTCCCCTAGGAGCCCACGGGAGTGCAGCCCCCTTATGGCGGCAGCCCTAGATGTTTTCACACCTGTGTCTGGTCCCAGGTGCCCGGGGCACCAGGAAGGCACGTGGGGTGGCCTTAGTGACCACCTGTGTTGAGGAAATGCGTCCCACTAGAGACGAGAAATGCGAAAATGACTGGCCTGAAGCCTTGTGGCCGGCAAGTGGCCAGGTGGGACTCGAGCCTGGGTGAGCAGCAGGTAGTGGGGGGTGGGGGAGAGAAGAGCCCCGAGGCTAATGCTTTACTGCTGGTGCTGTCCCCCAAAACCAAATAGCGGAAAACAAATCCACCTGTGAGCCAGGAACTGTCCATAAAGACCTGCCCGCCCGTCTAACACCTCAGGTGTGTTTGTAAGCCCAGGGGCCCAGCCAGCCAGAGGCTGCCTTCCGAGCCCCTCCCCACACCCCGGCCCCGCCTGCCGCCGTCACCCACCTCTTCTGTCCCAGGCGGATGGCTTTCAGTTCACTGCCATATTTGTTTTTGATCCACTTGATTCCTTGCAGCTGGGCATCCACGATGAGGGGCCAGCGCTCCGTGTTGCACAGGATGGTGGCATTCTCAGTGGACATGCGGTCGCTGGGGAGGCCCTGGTTGTTCCAAGTGGCCACGTCTGCGTCATCCGTCAGCAGGCTCAAGGGGTCCAGACCTTCCGTGATCGGGATGGGGACCTGCCAAGAGGAAGTGCTCCGTCTTAGGAGGGGCGGGTGATGTGGCCATACTGCTCCAAGGGAAACCGCTCTCCCAAGTGACACGGCGGGGCCGTGGTTAGACCACGGGGGAGCCGTGTGGTCTGGAAGACCACCACTCCCAGCGCCCTGACGGAACACCTTGGAACCTCCCCGGAAGGGCATCCGCGTTGGCCAAGCTGCGCCACAGTTTAAACCCGCAGTGGCCAGAGCGTCCGTGTGTGTGACGTTTGGCTGGGTCTGCCCCACCCCAGGGACCTCCCCAGATTTCCTGACTGATGAATGCAACCAAACCTCTTACCTTTAACTGATTTATATAAGGGACCCAAAATTTCTCCATCAGCTCGTTTCGGTATTTCTTGGTGAAGTAGCCCACGTAGGATACGAAGGCGGAAATCAGCAGGACGTCCCCACACAGAGTGACCCCCTGGCTTTTGAAGTTCTTCACCGATTCAGCCCAGCGCACGTTCTCCGACGCTAATCCCCCTACCAGCCTAAATGTGAACACGAGGTCAGCGGGGGTCAAAGGAATGATGGAGGGTCGCACCCAAAGACCAGCAAGCAGCCTCCACCTCTCAGTGCCAGGAGTCTGGCGTTTGCAAATCCTGCCTTCGCTCTCTGCTTCAACATGGAAATGCTTTGGGGGAAATTCTTGGGAATCACTGCATTAGGGAAGCAAAACTAACGCTTTCTGGAGGCACCTGGGGCCTGAGCTCCCCTGCCCCAGCCGCCTGCTCTGATATCACCTCTGTGCTGACCTTATCTGAACATTTCGCCCACGCCAAGGCTGCTGCCGGGACACCACTGAGCTCAGGCTTTGGCTAGTGGGAGGTCTCGGTAAAGGTGGAGTCCGGGTGGTGGCCACAGTGGCCACAGGACAACATGGCATCCAGAGGGCACCCGGCCCCACGTGGAGCAGGGACTGCAGCGTGGGCATCATGCAGTTCAGGCCACGAGCCTGAGAACTGGCCCCTGGCCCCAGATGTGACATCATCGGTCTGCGATGTTTGTAGAAAGCACAGTTTGCTTGATTAGGTTCACTGAGGTCTGTGAGCATCACCGGAGGAGCCCTTGCTTCCCGAAGACCAAAAGACGACTTTGCTATTCTGGGCGGGGACAATCTAGTCCCTCAAACCCGGAACGACGTCCGCACCCTGCTGGAGGCCGTTGTCACACGGCCTGGGGACCTCCCAGGATCCCTGTGTCTCACTGACAAACCGTCAGCAGTTGCCAGCCCGCTGGGTAGGAGGATGTTTGACCAGAAGCCATGCCCTAGGACCCACTCCACCTGCAGCTCTGTGCCAGGCTCCCGGTGCTCACTTTTGGAACCTCGAAAAGACAGCTCTGAAGCCTCGCTGTCCATGCGTGTAGTGAGCACCCGAGGCGTGGACGGTCTGAATTGGGATGTGCATGGGGATTTCCAGGACTCAGAGTGAAAACGTGCACGAACCCCCTCAGCGATCCTTCTCACAGCGATCACATATTGAAAGGATCACATTTGGGGTTCAGTAAGATACATTATCAAGATTGGTTTCATGTTTGTATGGTGCTGCGGGGGCAACAGGACATTGTAGAATGATGGGTGTGGCTCGAGCCACATTCCCGCTGGGACAGCGCTGCCCTGGAGTCCACGGGCATCAACAGACATGAAGCCCCACGCTGGTGGAGGCCCCGGAAGGCCGTACCAACAGCACAGCGCGGTGGGAGCGGGTAGAGGGGGATCTGCCCGAGCGGGCCCCTGTGGACACCACCTCCCAGACAGGTGTGGGCAGGTCTGGGTTGGGGGGCTTCCTCGCAGCCAAAGGTCCCGGGATGTGCGGGCGCCCACCACGGAGGGCTTCCAGCTCCCAGAGGTGGAGACACTGGCTGACAGCAAGTCACTGGGTCATTCTCATGACTTTGTGCAAGCAGGGTACTGCTGCCTCCACCCCGGGCCGTTCCTCCTCCTCCAGGGGCTGCTCTGCGGGCCCGGCCCTTCTGGGGGGCTGAGAAGGCAGGAGGGGTGCCCGCAGGGCGGAGCGAGCTACCTGTTGGCCAGCGAGATCACCCTGTTGGTGGCGTCGGCCTCTTGTTGGCACTTGATCTTCTCTGCTGTTGCCTTTTCAAAGGCCGACGTGAGGTTGCTCAGGTTGGCATTGAGTTCCTGGGCAAACACGGAGAGGCCCAACAGTGGGGCGGGGCCTCTGGGGCTGGGCGATCGGTCCCTGCGGCTGCCTGGGCTCCTCGCTCTGCTGAGTGATCCAGGGCAGCCCCCGCTCTATGGGACCCCGACCCGCGGCTCTGGTGCTCTCCTCGGTGCGGGCGGGCGGGCACTTACCGCAATCTTGTTTTTGATCCGCGAGAGCTTCTCCTGCGCCTCAGCCAGCTCGGCGTTAGCCTCCTCCAGGGCCTGCCTCTTGGGGGCCACGTCGCAGTACACCTCGTAGAAGCGGACGATGTTGATGCACCAGGAGCATAGGCCCGCGGCCGCCGTGGACTTGGAGCGGATGAACTCGGGGTCGAAGGTCGGGTTGCCTTGGTAGGGCCTGCAGAGGGGACAGCGGGCGCTGGGGCGGGCTCCGCAGGCCTCCCCCGCGTCTCCCCCTCCGGCCTTCAGCGCGCCCCGGTCCGCAGCTCTGGGCCGCTCGCCACAAGCAGTTATGAGGGGAGCGCAGTGAATTGGGGCTTTTTGGGAGGGGGAATATCTTCAAGATGAAGAAAAGAATGAAACAGAATTCTGGCCCCAGAAGCGGAATTTGGGGTGTGAGGCGAATGGCCCTGTGCTCTAGACAATGGCGGGAAACCAGCATTCCTTGTCCTCTCTGTTCCCGGAGTTTCTATAGCTGGTCCAGTTTTCATTCTCCAAAGACCCCACCCATAAGCAAGAAAACTGGGGTTCGGAGGGGCTCAGCAACTTGCCCCAAGTACTACGGACAGGAAGCAGTAGTTCTGCCTGGGGCCGGGGGTCAGGCGCTGTCCCGAGAGCTTCCGCCGTGGCACATATCGTCACCCCATGTCGCTCTGGGGCGAGAGGCCCAGAGAGGCTGAGCATCTCTCCCAACATGACCCAGCTGGGGGGCGGGGGGCAGTGCTGACATGCACCCAAGACCCACACCCCCAGAGACCCCCACCTCCCCCTCCACGGCGTCATCTCCGCTCCCTGGGACACCACGTCCTGGGCGTGCTAAGGAAAATTGCCCGGAGATGCACTTTAGAAACCAGTATTTTAAAAATGACAACAATGTCGTGAAGCATAACACACTGCACTATCTGCAGAAAGAATTTCCAGCGCGTGATTCAAGAGAATGACCGAAAAGTGGTCTGAATTCAGGCTGGGAGCACGGCCCATCATCTCCTCCCTCTGGTTTACTTCACGCTTTGTTTAGGTCGATGTTAGGACGGGTTTGCCTCTCTCGGCCCACGTCAGGCACGTGGGGGCGGCCGTCCGGGAGCTGGCGGAACCCTCCACCGTGCGCGCGGAGCCACGGACGCGCCGGTCCGTCTGCCACGGGATTGTCCGACAGCTACAGGTCAGGCTGCTGACGTAGAGGGGAACGTTGTTCTCTCCCCCCAGGTTGTCTAGACGGCGCCCCGACAGTCCTGTGTACGTACAGTACCGTTTCAGCTGCGCAGAGACCAACGCGGCAAGGAGGCCCCTCGGCGTCTGGTCCCACGCGCACCCCGCAGCAACACTGCCCACCCGCTGTGCGTGTCCCTCCAGACGTGGCGCGCTTAAGGTGACAGCAACGGAAAGAAGAAGCCACGCCTGATGGAGCCCGCACCGGCGGGTGCTCACGGCACACGTGTGCACGCGTGTACATGTACGGCGTGTGTGTGTGTGCGTGCATCACCCATGCTCATGCGCACACCTGCTCTTGCCTCGGAGGGGCACTGGTGGCCTCTCTCGTGGGCCTGCAGCTCCCAGCGTCCTGATGGCCGCGTGCAGCGTTGCTAGACCCTCCCGTGTGCTGTGTGGGGAAGGGGTGCCTAGACTTTGAGCCATGGGGCTGCCCGCCTGCCCTGATCCTTCAGGTGGGGCAGGCAGAGGGCGATGCAGCCGGGGCCACGCTTCACCTGGACATCTGGACTCCGGTGCAGCCAGATCTCCCCAGGCTGCTGCCGCCCCCGTCTCTGGGGTCCCACCTTGCTCCCCTGCCCGCCCTGGCGAGCACAGGCTGCCCTTGGGAACGGGCCGCCGGCTGGGGCGGGCTGGAGAGGACCGGGGGACCGCGCAGCGCCGGGGGGGACCGCGCTCCCGACAGAGCAAGAAGCCAACGGAAGCCCGCGGCGCGGCCCAGCGCGGACTCACTTAAATGCTTTCAGGCAGGCCTCGGGGATGTGCTCCTTGTCAAACTTTTTCAAGGAGTCCAGGAAGGTGTCCACTTTGCCCATCATGATTTTCGCAGCTTTCCAGCTCTTATCCTTGGGGATCTTGCCCCCGGGCGCGGTCAGGATCATGACGGCAGCCGTGACGTTGACCACGGCATCCGGGGGGGACCCGAAGGACTTCAGCTCTGTCAGGTTGTTCTGCAAATGACAGGAAGCAGCTGGGAGGGGACGTAGCCCTGCACACCGGACCCAGAGGCCCCATGGCAACCGCGGGAAGCTGCCGAGAGCCTGCGGCCCCCTGCGCCAATGCCATGGTTTTCTCCTCCCGCCGGGGCCGGTCCTGTTTCTTTCTTTCCTGCCCTCACCTTATTCAGAGTGTCGAGAGCTTCCTGCGCGGCCAGGAGGGCTGGCTCGGCCTTGGCCAGGTCCGTTTCACAAGCTTTTTGTTTCTCTGTGACATTCTGGAAGGAAGCCACGCAGGAAAGATCAATGCGGGGTGGGAGGTGGGGGGAGGGGGGCTGCGCGCAAGTGTGTGTGCACGTGCGTGTGAGTGTGTGCGTGTGTACATGGAGCCCTGGGCAGCAGCGAGGGAGCACGGACAGGAGTGAGGAGGGTGGCCTTCCGCCCGAAGCCCAGGCACAGAGGCATGTCCCCCATGGTGCGTCCCCCATGGTGCATCCCCCATGGCAGCAGCAGGGCTGTGTCCCGTGCTCCCCTTCATGCCCCGAGGTCTCCACCCACTGCCTGGATCCTGCCTTTCTCCTCCCTGCCACCCAACACTCAGGTTGGAAGAAGCCGTGCCGGGGCCGCAGACTTGGGATTCTGGAATGGGAACCGGTCCTTCTATGGGCCCAGCTCCCAGGACTGGAAGGAAAACCTGGGGCCACGTGGACCCCACACCGCTGGCTCTGAGGCCTTATGGTCTCTTGGTGCCATTGTGTAATCTGTCCAAAATGGAGCACAATCGGAGGTAGAGCTCACCCTCCCCTTAAGAAAGTGAGAGCATCTTCATGCATGCACGCATTCCCTCCTGGGGTCCCGAAGAACCCCTCTGAGCCTCTGGATGCCAACCACAGAGACCAGTAACAACTTGGTATCTATCAATGAGGAAGAGCCTCAGGGATGAAGCCAGGAGGGGCTGGGGGGTTTTGCTGGGCTCAGAGGAGGGAGGACGGAAGGGACAGGGTCTCTGCAAAGCACCGTGTGGAGGGTCCATCCAGCCGCCGACTTTAAGGACAGCGTGGGGCCCGACTGCAGGAATGGGCACAGAAGGTGCGGACGTGGCTGGCTTCTTCCCTGGAGCCCCCCCTTCAGGGGGCCGTTTCCACATACAGGGGTTGGAGAGGGATGGGCACCCAGACGTTAACAGCTGTGTGTGGCATCAGATGGCAGGTCACAGTTTGGGGTGTGGATGTGGGTCCCGGCTCAGATCCTGACTCCGCCGCTGGCTAGCTGCTGACTACCCTGGGCCTCTGAGGGTTGGGTGTGCGGGTACAAGGAGGAATGGAGGGGGCTCCTGCCACCCCGCCTGGCCCGCATCCTCCTCCTCCAGCACCTGGTGCCAGCATCAGGCCCCTCCTAGAAACCACTTGCTACCATGCCGTGCTGCATCTCAAGAGATAGCAGGCAAGTCCTGGAACGCTCTTCATTTAAACACTCATGCAGGTGCACGTCTGGGGCATCAAAGGCATGCAGGGAGGGGTGGAGAGAAAGCCGTTCGGCGAGGTGCCCCCCCAGCCCCGGGGCCAGAGACATCAGCACCTCCGGGGGCTCCCGACGCAGCGGGTCTGAGGACCAGGGCTCCAGTCCGAGGCGGGCTTCTCAACCCTTAATGTGCTGGTGGGTCACGGGCATCTTGTTAAAATGCAGACCCGAGAACCTGCATTTCTCACCAGCTCCTGGCAATGCTGCCACCGCGCCCTGGGCCCTGCACTTGGAGGAGCCCGGCTCCGGGACGGACGTTTCTCTAAAGGACAGCCCTCCTCTGAGCCGGGGGCCTCGTGAGTGGGAGCAGGGGCTCCTGCAAGTTTGGGAGAACCTCCCAGCCTTTGCCTGGGCCTGGAGGAGGTACCGAGTGCGCCGGGGAGGGAGGCCCGGCCCGGCAAACCCACGAGTGGCTTGGGAGCCGTGCTTATCCGCACCTTGTTGATGACCTCCACCTTGGCCTCTTCCTCGTCGGCGATGGCTTTCTCTTTGCTGACCTTCTCGGTTTCCACGCCCACCACGTGGATCAGCTTGTCCGCATTCTCATTTTTCTGCTTGAGTTCGGCCTCCTGAATCGCCAGCGTGGCTTTTAAATCATCCACCTGGGGGAGGAGATACCCAGGATGGGCAGGCGTGGGCCCTGGCCGCCACGCACAGGCTGGTGGGGCAGCACCAAAAGCTTGGGGCCGGGGCCAGTCTGCCCGTGGTCGTGCCAGGCGGGAGGGAGTGCGGGGAAGGAGTGAGTGATAGGGTAGGCTATGCCGCCCCATTCTTGATGGTTTCTCCCACGAGGAGGCCCCTCAGTCGCTGTAACAGGACCATGTCTGGAAGGTTCATCTGGGAGAGAAGCAGCAGCCTGCTTGGCTGGGCACCTCCCTATTCTTTTCTGCACGATCTCTCTGGGTGGGAGCACTCCTGCTTGGCCCCTCTAAGCTCTGTCTTCCTGGGACACCCCCTGCCATCCTCCCCCCTCCACGCCCCACAGGGGTGGCCTTGACCCTTGCCACACCGCCTGTGGTGGGGGCAAGCTGGCCTGACTCTGGCTCATGGGCTCGGTCTCCCTGGGGGCAGAGGCGGGGCGGCCCCAGCTGTGCGGGGTCACACCTGGGCAGGGAAGCGGGGACGGGGCTGTTTTCCGGGCTCCCTCGGGAACACCAACAGTGGGCAGTGAAGGTGATGGGGCCGGGGCTACATGAGGGAGGGCACCTAAAGCCAGGCAGAAAACTGGATGGCAAAAGCCTTTCCATCTGGGCACCACAGCGTGCAAGGCATCTGGGAATGGACGCGTGGCCACGGACGCACTAGACCCGATGCACAAATCCCGCTGGGCTTGGGCCCCCACGTAAAGCGCCCGACACAATGACAGCATTGCCAAAGCATGTTGAACCCACACGTTCTCTGTGGTTTGAGAACGGAAGTGTCTCCTCCAAGGCAGGAGTCCTGTTTCTCTTGCTTAGGGGACGGTTCTGGGACCTGCCGGCAGAGCCTCTGCCTTCCCTACCTGGGACGCCGTGCTCTGCAGCTTCGTCAGACCATTCTCCAGCCTCTCAATCTTGGCCACCAGCTCCATTCTCTTCTTGGCCAGCAGGTTCTGGTAGAGTTTGATCTGCTCCAGGAAGGTTTTGGGTGTGGTGTAATTGGAGCGCCTCTCCGTGGCCAAGTACAACTTGGACATCTCGTTGACCGTTGTGTGCACGTAGGACATGAAGAGGCTGATGGAGGCCTTGACTTCTGGCTGCAAAGGCGACAGGGGGCCCCTCGTTCCTGGTTCCCTGGCGGGAGGGAGCGACCCCACTCCCGCGGGGAGGAGGAGGCTGCTGGCCACCGCGATTCAGCAGGGCGGGTTTCCCGTCCTCACCAGGACCCCCATGAGATGCGTGCCCTCTCTCAACCTTGGCCATTCAACCAGCAGTGCCTGCAGAGGCTGTCCTGGGCACTTGACATTGCTCCACCCGGACGTGGCTAAGCACCGGGGACAGGGCACAGCGTTCTTCCTGTGATTCTCTCTCCCTGACTCACATGCTTGCATCCCTGGGAAAGGGCAGGGCCTGACAGCAGGTTTGAGCAACCCGGGTGATCCAGCAAGCATTTACTGCGCTGGGTCCTGGGGTTTAGCAACTCCCTTCCCACACCAGGGTCACGGCCACCGCCATCTGGGCCGCCCCACCTGCCCGAGGGCTCTGCCCCAGGAGCTGTCCAAGTGATACCGCCTAATTAGAGTTGATTTGGGAGTGTGTTCATCCAACGCATGCTTCTTCTTGGGCATCTACTCTGTGGCCCTCCCTGGTACCAGCAGTGGGGCCATTCCCCAATCAGGAGGCTGCTCTCTTGGGGGCTGGACACCCACGTCTGTGCTCCCCAGTGAAACGTGGGAACTGCAGTGTTCTGAGAACGGCCCATCCCAAACGTGGGCGCTCTAGCGATGACAAGCAGGGGATTTTACCCATCTCTAAAACTAAGGGGAAACGTTAATTTCAGGTTTATTTTACCCTACTTCATAACCGAATATGTGTTCACAATAAATAAAACGTGATAACCAAGTGTGATTTATTGTAGGGCTGCTCATCCCTCCCGTTGGCTGGGTCAGAGTTTAATGACTGTTTCGAGGCTGGCAATTAGCTCATCATCATCTTCCTATGAAAGAAAGCCCCGGTACCCATCATACTTGTCGTGGCCTGTAACAGGGGCAGGTCAGAGGTGAGGAAGCGGGCCCGGGCGGAGCTGTGTCGAAGCCCGGGGCAGGAGTAAGTGCAGTGCTCCCGTCAGCCCTGATCAGGGACTGTGTTTAAAGCCAGCCTTGCTCAATCTGTTGGCACATCGGCGTCAACCCTCTTGACCCGGCCCTGGTGGGCGGTGGCCACAGGGGTGCGGCACCCCCAGCTGGTTGAAATGGGTGTCCCCTGGCCATGAAACCAACAACCAGCAGCTTATCTTTGTTTACAGTTTTGTTCACTGTGAATCATCTAGCATTAATTGTGATTTTTAGAAGTATCACATTAAGACATCACTGGTCTTGATTACTGATGTCACACCTCCTCCTCCCCCCTCTTTTTTAAAATTATTATTTATTTATTTATTTGACAGAGAGAGAGATAGTGAGAGCAGGAACACAAGCAGGGGGAGTGGGAGAGCGAGAAGCGGGCTTCCCGCCGAGCAGGGAGCGCGATGCGGGGCTCGATTCCAAGACCCTGGGATCATGACTTGAGCCGAAGGCAGACGCTTAATGACTGAGTCACCCAGGCGCCCCTCCTCCCCCCTCTTAAATTTTGCACCAGGGTGAGTCCTCACCCGGCTCACGCTTGCCCGGGCTCTGGAGGCAGAGGGTGCGGGGTCCTTCTGTTGCAGGCCGCAGATGCCCTCCGCCCCCTGGCTCTGTGAACACCAGCAGGGGGGATGGCGGACGGGGCTGTGCCCAGTGACTCACGTGAATGCCCTCGGTTTCCTCGAGGAAGCGCGCGCTCACGGACACAAGGGCATCTTCCGGCCACTCGTGGAACCAGTTGATGGCCGTGCAGTTGACGATGGCAGGGAATTTCCTTGCCCGCACGCGCAGGATGGAGCCCACGGGAGAGAAACACAAGATCACCTGGAGGCGGGACACAGAGGAGCTGCTCATGGGGATGGTGGTGCTGAGGGCCAGGCTCACTTGAGCAGAGAGCTCGATCGGGAGGAAAGCTCCCTGTTGTCTGTTTCCACATGTCTGCGTACCCCTGCTTCTGGGTTTCCCTCGCAACCAATGAATGTTCCACTGACTTCACGCCTTTCGTGAGAGATGGGGGAGTGCAGAGGGCACCCCAAGCCTTCTGATGTGGGCCCCGCAAGAGGGGGAAGAGAAAGGCCGGGTGAAGGATAGAGTGGGCAGATGAGGCCCAAGGACAGGGAGGGGTACAATCCCTTCAGCAGGGCCGGTTCCCAGGGACATGGGACTCATCCCCAGACAGCTGGGACTCCCCAGGATGCCGTAAAGACGGGGCTCCTACCTTAAGCTGCTTGCGCACTTTCTCAATGAAGAATTTCCAGCATGCTTCCCGAGTGTCAGTCATGCCGAGGGACTTCACTTGTGGTCGCATGGAGGAGATGATGTTCTCCACCTCGTCGTCCGTGAACAGCCCAGGGATCTCCCCCGAGGCCAGCAGGTCATTGATCAGCACCAGAAACTGCTCCTCGGCCACCTGGGAGTCTGTCATCAGGAACACCGAGGGGACGCTCTTCACCGCCGACTTTATGTACTGTGTGCTCAGGTCAACCTGGACCCAAGGAGGACATGCTCAGAGTCTGACAGCCACCCAGGAAGGGACAGCTGGGGGTCAGCTTTGCAAGGAATATGCAGGGTCTGTAGAATGGGGCCCGGGACCTCGGGCTCACCGAAGCCCACGTGTCCGTCAGCCGACCAACGGACAGACAAGATGCGGTCTCTCCATAGGATGGATTACTATTCAGGCTTACACCGGAAGGACATCCTGACCCATGCTATACAACAGGGCTGGGCCTGGAGGACGTGATGCCGAGTGACGTCAGCCAGTCCCCAAACGACAGATGCAGTAGGAGTCCACATGGGTGAGGCCCCTGGAGCAGCCGGACCAGTGGGGGGTGGGCGCCAGGGGCTGGGGGCGGAGGTGGGGCTAATGTGGGCAGATGAAGGAGCTCTGGAGACCGGGGGTGGTGGTGGTGGTTATAAAACACTGTGAACATACGTAACGTCACTGACCTGCATAGTTACAACAGTAAATTTTGGGTGAGGTCCGTTTTACTACCAAGAAAAGAAAAAGGAAAAAAACACAAAACCTCAGAGACCCTAAAAGAGGTCTCGAATAAATGCACCACGGGCTCGGGTCTGGAGCTGGTCCGGGACTGAGGACCCTGCTCTGAGCAATCCCTACACTCAGCGCGAGGCCCGACCCGTCCCTGATAGGATTTAAACGAACAGCTCACAGAATAGCTGCATGGTCGTGCTGGAAGAATACATGAAGGAGAACAGTAAAAAGGAAAAAAGATAAGCACATCACACAGCAGTATGGAGAGTTGCTCTTCTCCAAGAATATGCCAGCGCACACGCACCAAGTGTAGGTTTGTGCGCAGACCGTCTGGCGCAGCCGAGGAGTAATGTGCATGTGCGGGGCTTGACGACTCGATCTCTGTAATGTCTGAGTTTCCCGTAAGTTCTGTGGGCCCTGTTTGTTTTCCCTTGCCCACCCCCATATTCCCACCTTCCTAGGTTACCGGGCCTGCCCTGGGGTCTCCACCTGCCACCTCCCAGCACTTCCCAACCCCCCAACACGTCCTTCCTCTCCCCCAGATTCCTCGGACACCCCCATACGCGGAGTGGCGTTTGTGACGCGGGTTCCTCCTGGCCCTTGTGACTTGGCTGCCCTAGGCCCCCAGCCCAGTCCTGTCCCGTCCTCATTTCCTGCCTGGCGGGGGGCACCACCCTGCTGGTCCCTGCTGCAGGTGCGGACATCACCGTCAGCTCCGAAAGCTCAGATCCTGTTGAGGAGGTCAATGATCACCTGCATCCAGGTGGATCTAGGGATCGGTGGTGATGGAGGGGGGCACAAGCTCCCATCTCTGGCTGGGAGGTCCCTGGAGCTGCTTATTAGACCATGGGCTGGCCCGGGGAGTGCAGGGTGTGGGGCGCCAGCCAAGCCCTGTCTCCACACAGTCCCCCTGCACAGGCAGAGCCCTCGGGGCCACCCCTAGACTTGGGCCTCTCTCTCCCACCTCACTACACTGTCCAGTCCCAGCCTTCACGGGGTCACTGAGTTCTCCCACACCTTCCTACTGGTCACCACGCACCACTCTCTCTGGTCCTCCAACCACCCTTCACTTGGTCCTCTCTGCTCAAACACTTGACGGCATCTCATTTTCTGGGGACCAAGGCCAGGATTTTCCACAAGGCTCAAGCCGTCCCTCGGGGGGCAGTTCCTGACCCCTTTCCTGTCGCATCCCTGACCCCCCAGGGGCGTCCATAGCTTATGCCACAGACCATAGAACAAGGTCACGTCACTAACAGCACGGTGCAAGGCCCACTAGCCCGCTTTGTCTCCTTCCTTCCTTCTGAACCCACAGCAGCTGCTTCATCAGGGACAGGGAACGGTTAGCACAAAACAGCTCCGTGTGGGTAGTGAGAGGACAGGCCTCGGTGTGGCTGCAGCCGATGCCTACGAGTAGAATAACACTGCTCAGACTCAACACCCACAACTGACCCTAAAGTGAGGAACCGGGGACAAAATCCGCACAGGGACAGAGCAAGGGACAGGATGCAGTGGTAACATTAACCCATTATGATTTGGACAATAGACTAAAAACTTCTCAGCAGAGAAAACCCACTGAGACAATATAGCTTAGATGCGAGGGTCCTAGTTGTGCTTGAGCGCAGAGCGCACTCGGGAAATCAGTGTGAACTAACGTGACTGGCTAAGCTGAGAGCCGATCGGGGCAGGAGGCAGCGTCTGGGAGAACCCACGAGGAAGACCCTTCCCTTAAGGCAGGGACTTAAAAAAACACATTGGCTAGTCCTCTGATAGAGCAGAATCCATCGGGGACAATGACAACCAGGAGCCAGATGCGGATCCAGAGGTTGCAGTCCCTGGCTCAGCCCACCTGGTGTTGCTGGCAGGGCACTGTCCCCACTGTCCTTCCTGGGTTCTTGGCCAGCAGACCACCTCCTCCCACAGAGGATCCAGAATGCTGTGCCCTGGTGGGGCTCCAGATCGCCCCACTAAAGCTGCCCGCCCGTGGCTGCCGGGGGGCCCTGTGTGGTGGGGAGGGTCTCGCCGGGTCGGGCACCGTCCTGGCCTGAAGAAGCAGCCCCGGGCACCGACGCAAAGAGAGACGTGCTCGTGGAATGTGGTCGAATCAATCTCCGCTCCAATCTGAAGCGCTACGATGATTTGTTCTGGGCTAATCATGTTTGACGAGCATACAGTTCCCTGACAGAGCAAATTTTCGGGAAAAAGAAATCAATAAAAAGCCTCGGCGGCATATCTTGGGGATGGGAGACCTGTTTACGCTAATGTTTATTTAATTAACTCAAAAAGCAGCCTTCCCGAATCCAAGTTAGTCATTAGAGACCCAGTAACAGCCCTGAATTATTTAATCCGGCGAACGGGGAGCGACTCAGAGCAGCCCTGTGACCGGGGGCAAGAACCAGGGCCTTTGCTCTTGTCTGTGCTGTCACTGCAGACCCCAGCCCAGCGGGAACGGAGACCCACACATCCTCTTGCCTTTGCCACGTGGACCTGGGCACTGCCTGAAACGTGTCCTGGCCCTTACTTTGTACGACGAGGACCCTGCGGTGACATTCACTTTCTGTGTGCCGGACATGCGAGTGGTCAGAGTTTTCTCTACAACCGCCGCCCCCCCCGCCCCCAGCCAAGCGCGGCTTGTCGGCAAGCCACGTCTCACCTTGAGGTCCGGGATCCCGTAGCCCTTCTTGAGGGTGATCTGGAACACGTCCAGGGCACTGATGTAGGCGGCCAGGCGTGAGAGGCTCTGCTTACCGCTGCCGCCCACGCCCACCAGCAGGGCATTCCCCCGGGGCAACTCCAGGATGCGGTTGATCCTGCAGATGTGAGCCACCGCATCTTCAAACAGCACCTGCGGAGGCCAGAGAGACACCTCAGCATCCCAGCGTACCTGGCCTCAGCTCCTTCCACGGCACAGACTCTCCTCTCAGACCCGGCGGTGTTTGCTGTGAATCACGCCGCCCCAGAGCGCCATTAAGGGGTTCAGAATGAGAAAGGACAGGAAACCTGGGTCCCAGCCCCTTGCCCATGCTGTCAGCTTGAACACGACTCACCAAGTTCATGACTGCGTTGACTTCATTGTAACTGTCTAGGACGTCCACTAGGAGCTTGTTCAGATGAGCCAGGTTGGTTACCGAGAGGTATTTGGGCTCGCCGATCCCGTGAGAAAAGTGGCAGAAGAGATTTGGTTTGGCAAATAGGAGCTCATCCCCAAGATCCTAGAAATAAGAGGTAAGGCACTTCTGTTGTTGGCCACCATGGGCACAAAGGTCATTAGTGGTAGCCCTGGCACCTTGCCACATTGGCCCCAGGTACCAAACCACTGCTGCCAGGGCTTGCTCTGCTGCCAGAAATCCCTGGGAGGATGGTCCAATGCCCATCACATCAAGAGAAAGAAATGAATCTGCCAAGAAAGCCCAGGACGTACCAGCAGAGCACACTGACCCAACCAGGCCTTTTTCTGCCCCAGATGGATGGATGGAGGTCATCCCATCCTGACCTACTGAGGAGTCAATCCCTTCTCCCTCAGATGCACACTCACTTGACAGAGTCAATTCTTGGGACCCAGTGTGGTCCTTCCCATCCTCACGTGAGGGCCCTTCCAAGAGGGCTGGCCTTATCATTGACCCCAGAGACTCTGCCCTCTTGGAGGCTCTCTGGGCTCATCAGAGGGACTTGGTGGCTTGACTTACATCAAAGAATTTCTTGGTGGAAGCAATGGTGACCCTGCGCAATGTTTCTTGGTCTTTCTCGTCAACCATTTTGTCCCCATACACCCTCTCAGCTTCGTGCAGCCAGAGGCGGACTAGGTCAAGCGGTATTCTCAGGATCTCCACTGTGGAGAATAAGAGTCCCTGCCCCAGACACAAGTGGTCAGCGTCTTTAGCTGCGCTACGAAGGCCAGCCAAGTGCTGTTCACAGATGAAGCAAGAGAGTAGTCACTTGCCCGGACAGTGATCTGCCAAGCCAGGGAAGCCACTGATGGCCAAGGCCATGCAAATCCTGGAGGCTGGAGGGTGTGTCAAGGAGAGAGATGTAGGGGGGAGTTCTCACAAGACAGAGCCAGGGGTTTCATTCTCTAAGGGCGTAGGTAGTGGAGAAGGGACAAGGGAGTATGACCCTGGCGGGGAGCCAGACTATTGAATCAGGCCACAGAGCAGCGGGTTCTGAGCTGGGCTTTGCAGCAAGCCTGCCCATGTCTAGTCCTGCTCAGCCATTTGCTGACCAAGTGCCCTGGACACCTTCAATAGGTTCTTATTGAGGGTCTGCTGTTTTCCAGGCCTTCCCTGGGACTCTGGGATCACAGCAACAAGGTAGGCCCTGCCTTCATGGAGTCCACATTCTAGTGGGAGATGCAACCAGGCAAAGGTAATTACGCATTGTGATGTGGGCTATGAGTGACATAATTGGGGGCAGCGAGATAGCATAGAGATGAGGAGGGGCCTCTAGAGGGCATGGCATTAGCTGAGCATGCCTTAACCTCCCGGAGTCTTAGATTCCCCTTCTCTAACAGGCGGATATAGGAGCACGTTACGTGTGTTTTGGAGGAGAAGATGGGAGTGTAAGTGGCCAAACCTGGTGCCTGGCTCCAACTAAACAGTCAATAAATAAGAGAAAATATCATCACTGTCATCATCACCACCATCACTGTCATCACCATCATCATCACCATCATCGTCATCACCAGCATCACCATCATCATCATCATTACCATCGCCATCACTACCATCATCATCACCACCACTGATATCATTACCATCATCATCACCATCACCAACATCATCACCAGCATCATCACCACTGACATCATCACCAGCATCATCATCACTATCATCATCATCATCATCATCATCACCACCATCATCACCATCATCATCACCAGCATCACCAGCATCATCACCACTGACATCATCACCAGCATCATTATCACCACCATCACCATCACCATCATCATCACCATTATCATCATTACCACCATCACCACCATCACCAGCATCATCATCACCATCTTTCTGACATCATCACCAGCATCACCAGCATCATCATCATCCCTATCATCATCATCATCATCACCACCACCATCACCATCATCATCGCCACCATCACCACCATCGCCATCATCACCACCATCATTATTGCAGTCATTATCACCATCACTATTGTCAGTCCATACATCACTGCGCTTTCCCTCCTGAGAGCAGCAGAGGAGGAGAGCACCTATGATCAGGGACATGGCCCATAACAGGCTAGAAGAGCAGTACCTGGAAAATATTGGAGAGATCCCGGAGATTGAAGACATAGTGAAATTTAATGGCCGTGGGAAGAAATGTTGCAGTGACTTTCTGATGCAGGGCTGTTACAGGAAAGAGATACATCGATTCTTAGGTGCTCTTAATGGCCTCAGAAAGTGCAGAGCTTAAGGTATAGTTTCTAAGGCAAATGGACTATGAGATAGTGACAATTTAAGTAAGAAATCTGCGCAGCTGTCAAGGGGGGAGGTTTGCTGCTCTACTCACATGTAAATCATTTCTGTACACTGAGTTTCCTACCCCCTGCCTTCCCCTCAAGCAATCGTATTTCAGAATATCTCCTGCTGAAACATAGCATCATTTAAAAATATTGATTTGAAAGTATAAATAAAATATTTACCAGGGGAAACTATGAAGAAGCCATCAGCCCCATAAAGCAGTAGGCTGTGCCCACAGGAGGGGGGGATGAGGCTGGTCAGCTTACCCAGGGCCGAGGCCACGAGCTGGCTGCTCATCCTCTGAACCACCATGGGGGCCGAGCGGAAGGCCAGGTGCTGGGCCAAGATTGTGTTGTAGATGGTGGTGAGGGCCTCCTGGCCCGGGAAGCTCACAGCAAACACACAGAAATGGCGCTGTCCGGAACGACACAAACCCCCATCAGGCAGCCCGCAGGGACCAGCTTGTGGCCGGGGCTGCCTTCTGGGGGAGCAGACTCTGTCCACCGCCCCTAGTGTCTTGTGGGCATGGTCAGAATGGACAGCTGTCCTCCTTGTGCCTTACATGTGCTAAAACCCCATCAAATATTGAGCATATCCGAAACTGCCAAATCCACGCGTCATGCTCTCAAGCAAAATTTTGGTGGAGGCAAAAGAGTGTCTCAGGGCACAGGCCTGGTTTTCTATTCTAGGTCCCCATCTGCTTAGATACCTCAGAGGGGAGGTCCTGCCTGGGTGGGTCGTAGATATAATCCAGGATATCCTGTGACATCTGAGTTTCAGATACACAACAAGTCATTGTTTTCGGTACAAGTGTGTCCCAGATACTGTACAGGACATGCTTACACGAGGCAAGTATTTGTCGTTGATCTGAAATTCACATTTGACTGGCCGCCCGTGTTTGCATTTGCTAACTGGGGCGGCCCTGTGGGGTCTGAGGGAGGCTGGCTCGCGTCGCGTTGCCCCAGGGAATTCCCTGACGCACGCAGGCTGCAAGGTGAGGGAATTCTCCGGAGAACGTCGGCCCGCAGCCCTGACAACACCCCAAATCAATGCTTTTATTTTCTTGTGCCAAAGTGAGCCTCAAACCCACGGCGGCTGGCTAACCAGAGTTTGATCTCTGCCTACCTGGAGTCTGGGATCGATGGTGAAGGATCCGGAGGTGGGGTTCATGCAAGCCACGTACTGGCAGTTATGGATGTCCTTCAGCGTCAGCTTCTGTCTGTCATACCTGCACGCGGGAGACGGGCACTACGTCGTGCCGCCGGCCTGGAGGAGCCATCCCCGGGCCCCCCAGCCCACCCCCAATCATTTCTTGCATGTGCAGATAAAAAAAAAAACACCTCAATAAATATCGCTTACAGGTGAAGCGGCCAATTTTGCTTCATGTTTTCAAGAAAAATTTTGAAACAGGAGGCATCGGAGTGGCTCAGGGTGCAGGCGTGAGCTCAGATTCCAGCTCCTCGAGGGGGGCCGCCCTGCACCGCTTTCAGTGCCCGCTTACCCCGTGGCCTGGCTGTCACATCCCCTGGGGAGCGGTCCCTGACACCCTGTCCACACATTACCTGCCCCTGCTCCATTCTGACCTTCCTGGCTTCCTACTACCTGTGAGCCCAGCGTGGTGGAGCAGGGACAGGGCAAGTGATGGACGTGGGTGGGCTTGACCCTTGTGAAGCCCTCTCTGCCTCTAGTTCTCGGCAGCAAGGGGTGGGCTTCATGCCTCCACGGTCTGATTTCCGATGGGAGCTCTTGGGTTCCTTCGGTCTCAAAACCCCCAGGTTTGGCCTGGGCCACTGGCCAGGTCGTTACAGGACCCTTGTGTCAGACACACTTAGGTTAACTGCCCTGAATATTCTTTTGGTCTTTCCGAACTGCACCTGTAAACATGCCACCCGAAGCTTTCTGCTGCCCGTGGGAGGCTTCTCGGGCCAGCACAGGTCTTGAGGTCTGGCTGTAGCTGCCCTGCGCGCCCTCTCCCTCTGGCTCTCACGCTCCAGCCACGTTGGGTCCTCCTTGTGCCATGCTTCCCCCCCCCCCCTCCACAGGGCCTTTGCATGTGGCATTTGCTCTGCCCAGGATGCTCTCCCTCCCAAGTCCGTCCCATGACTGATCCTGACTCTGCCTCGAGCTTTCAGCTGCAGGGCAGCCTCCCCAGATCTGTCTCTGTCCCAGCTGGGGGACTGCTCTGGGGCCGCACTGGGGGGCTCGCTCAGAGCTCCCCCTGCCTGTCCAACTGCACCTCTTTGTCTCCCCTGCCAGAGGGACCCTCGATGGGAGAGGGACCTGTCTGTCCTCCCTCCGTGGGTGCTCTTGGCCACGGCTGCCTGCCCAGGGCCTAGCAGATGGATGTAGGGGGAGATCTGATACACCCCTCCAGCCCTGAGGCTCCACCCTGGTGGTGTGTGTCACGGTCCTGCCCCTCCCCGGGCCCCCCTCCCTGCCCACTCACCAGTGCCCGTGGTCCATGTGCTGCCGGATGAGCGTGTGGGGGGCCACTGTCCCATACTTGTCCACCTCGGGCATGTTCATGTCGTCAATGAAGTAGATCAGCTTCTTGGTGCCTGGGGGGCCGTAGTTCCTACCGGATTTCTTCTCCAGTGGCTTCTCAAGAACCCCTAGAGAAGGGAGCTGGTTGGCTACCACCATGCCTGGTACATCCTGCACCCCTGCTCCTGGCCCCAGTTCCACCCTGTATCCTGGCCTACCCCCCACCTTGCACCCCTGCTCCTGCCCCTGGCCCCCACTGTAGTTCTGCTCTTGGCTCTGGCCCCACCCTCCATCCCAGCCTGCCCCCCACCCTGCACCCCTGCTCTCAGCTGCGGCCCCCACCCTGTAGCATGGCTGAGGTCGTGTAGAAGTTGAAGGGCACAGCCTGAACTAGGTAGTCGTCGGTGTTGAGGCTCTGCAGCTTGTCCCCCATCAGCACGGACTTGCCCGTGCCCGCGTTCCCCACCAGCATCAATGGCCACGACTTCTCCATGAGCAGGTCCATGAAGTAGCGGATTCGGATGGTTTCTGTGGTGTGCACCAGAGAGGCCTGGGGGTGGGGAGCAGAAGGACAGGAGGGGAGGGAGGAGCCCTGAGCCTCAGACACACTGAGCCTCCGCTTTCCCCCTTCCAACTGACTTGCAGACCTGAACAGTTTGTTCAATCTCCAGGTTTACTTAGAAGGTCCTGCTGTTGAAAATTGTTTGCATCTGGTCGTCCGTCATGAAGCCTGAGACGGGACGGGGAGTCCTGCTCCTAAGTCATCAGTAAACTGTCACCTGTCTGGGGCAGTTACCTGCAGTGGGACGTCCAGGTCCAGCTCAAAGGCAGGCACTTTTTCCGTCCACGGCAGGAACTTTTTAGTGTCAGGATCTATGTAGTAGTCGAAGATCGTTCCCTGCGAGGGGAACTTGATCGTTTTAAATTCATTGATCCACCATTTGCTGAACTCGACTCGATAATCTACAAGCTGTTGAAGAACAAGAACAACAAGCAGGGCCCAGTTGGGGGCGGCCAGAGACCTCACGTGGGCGGCGGGCTCCCCCGTGGCCGGCTGCTCACCTGGTCCTGGAACATGGCTCCCCCGAAAGCCCAGAAGCAGGCAAACACAAAGTAGAGCTCGTACAGCTCTTTGGGGGAGTCGGGTGGCGCGTTCTTCTCTGTGAGGAGGCACTCGAGCAGGTACAGGATCATCTGGGTGACCGTGATCTCCGGTATGGGCGTGATCTTCTTAAACCCAAAGCGCAACTTATCCAGGCACGTGGGCAGGTACTTGTCGAAGAGGATCATCAGGTTGGCCTTCTCAGACTGCACCTTGCGCCTCTCAATCCAGCTGCTCACCACCCTGGGGAAGACGGGGAGGCACTGGGTGCTGGGACCACCATGTTGGGTCTGCCTGGCAACCCTCCCCTTGCTGAACACCCCTGGTGTCTCTAAGTGATTCTGGTGATAGGGCCAGATGCAGAGCTTCCGAGAGTCTGATGAGGGTGCTGGGGCTGTGGGGGTGTGCTCTTTCTCTGGCATTCTAGCTATGCCATAAGCTTAGAACAACTGGGAACCACCTTTGCTACCCCAAATGAAGCCAATGCTGAGGGCAGCAGAGCTGGACATAGGGGAAGAGAAAAATCCCATGACACATCATCAGGGTGGGAGGGGGAGAGAAGGGATAAGAGGGGAAGAGAAGGGCGAGAACGGGAGAGGAACAGGGACCTCTCATTACATCATCTGAATTCCTGGATCCAGCCATGCCTGAAGCAGTTTTGGTGAATTGAGCCAATTCTTTTTTTTTTTTTTTTTGCTTTAGCTAGTTTGAGTTGAATTTGTCACATTCCATGGAAGAGTCCAAACTAATGCAACAGGTAATCCTCGAGGAGCCATGTTGGACTGTCGGGCGCCCAGCTGCCTCTGGAGTGGGCTGCCCAGAAGCGGCCCCCCCATAAGCGTGAGGGCACAGACTCTGGGGCCTGCTGTCTGGGCTTGAATCGACTCCACTGTGGCCAACAGCGGCTTGGGCGAGTTACTCAACACGTCATCTATAAGTGTGAGTGACAACAATGACTCCCATTTTGAAGGACCACCTGGGCTGATATTTTTAAAGCCCACAGAAGGGAGCCTGGCCCACCATGAGTGCTGCATGAGTGCCTGCTAAAAGCATAAATGGTGTCCGGCTCCCTCCGGGGTCAGTGAGTGTGTCATTCCCAGGACGCCCCGAGCCGAAGCAGGAAGCTCGCGTTGCCACCCACAGCCGGAGGACATGCCTCTCCGTGAGCGAGCCCCCACGCTGGAGGCTCTAATCCTTACTGTGCTCTATCGGGACAGAGAACCGAGAGCTCAGACCTCTGCCCCATCACGCCCTGGACTGTCCACAGTAACAGAGTCATCCTTCCCACAGTCTGCGTCTGTGGGCAAAGCGTGGTAAGCCCTGTGCCTGCAACGGTTAGGACCTGCCCTCCGAGTAGAGCAGGTCTTCAGAGTGGAGCCTGGTTTGCGAATCTGTGCACAGACTGCTGTATTTGCCCTCTCTCCGGAAGGTGTTTATGTCAAATTAAAAATGTTGCCTTGGTTAGAGTCATCTAGGGCATGCTGGCTTTGATGGGAAATGCAAGCCCAGGGGGACACACACACTTGGGAGGACGAGCCGGCCTGGCTCCTGCCCGGCCCCCAGAGGCAGCCTCCTTTCACTTCCCGCTCTGGGATGTGCCCTGTGGTCTCCTGGCCTCGAGTCACTGCTGCCCCTGGGGGAGGGCTGCCTCCTTCCCGGGGGGCCCTGTGCCCCCAAGTGCCACACGATCCCCGCCCCCTCCTGGTGCCCTGTGTCCACAGCTCCTGCCTTGCCTGCCCACCCCGAAAACTCTCACATGTGGTGATAGTGGGCAGAATGATGACTCCCAAAAGATAGGTCCACTGAGACTGGGAAATGTGACCTTATTTGGAAAAGGGTCTTTGCAGACAGACATAGTCAAGGTAAGGATCTCAAATGAGATCGTCCTGCATTAGGGTGGGCCCTAGTCCGAGGACTGTCCCTACAAGAAGAAGGGACTGAGGGAAGACCTCGAGAGACACAGAATGGTGGCCGTGTAGAGGCAGATGCAGGGATCGGGGGATGCATCCAGAAGTCAAGGGACGCCAGGGATGCCCCGGAGCCACCAGAAGCCGGGAGAGAGGGCCAGAAGAGAGGCCTGGGACACGTTCTCCCTTGGGGCCTCTGGGAGGAACCAGCCATGCCCACACTTAGATTGTGGACGTTGGGTCCCCAGAATCAATGCCACATCTTCTATTTCTTAAGATTTCAAACATTTCTCACATCTTCCCTTCATCTCTGTCCCCAGGGGCCACCCATGGTTCCGTATGGGCAGGCTGGTCCTCGCCGGCCCCTTCCTGCCAAGAGCATCTTGGGGCTTCATGCTCCACCCACAAACACCTAACCACCGCCCGGACCCCGCAACCTCCCACTCTCGCCTCCCCCGCCGCCGCCCGTGCCCCATCCAGGCTGGTTCTCGCCTGGCGTGCTCCCTGCAGTTTTCGTCCTCCTGGAAAACTCCCTCTCCCGCCAGGTGTCAGCCCTAAGTCTGCCTCCTCTCGGGAAGACTGCCCATCTCGGCGACAGGCCCGGACCCTCCTCCGTCCCCCTCAGGGTGCCCGCTCTCATCGCCGTGCCTCACCCCCACAGTCACGGGGCTGTCTCGCATCCTGTCACTGCTGTGACCCGGTGCGTGGGGAGCACCCCATCTTATTTCCCGAAGGCCTGGATGCACACCCACACAGGCGACTCTGAAACGCCCCCAGCCCCATCTTCCTCCGCCAGTTTGGACCAGGAAAACGAAAACCCAACTCACGGGTTCCACCCCAGATCTGCGGGGTTGATGTAAAGAATGCCGGCTCTGGAGACGGTGGCAGGGGTGGCCGTCCTCAGGTGGCTGATCTCGAACACCAGCCTCATGGTGCGGTTTAGGGGGATTCGCTCATTGCTGGCCAGGGTGAGGACCTGGGAAGGGAGGCAGGCCTGTGGGTTTACAGGGGCCACGTGCCATCGTCCTGATGGGTCGTCACACGGACGTGTCTCCGAACGACGAGGAGGAAGTCTGGGACCTGCGCACCTGTGCCCGCCACCAACCAGCTTCTCCCAGCCCAGCCTTTCCCAGACATCCTTGACCGCAGTCCCACGTCTGCCCCCGCCCACCCCAGGACAACACACGAGGCTCCCGGATGTGCGCACCATGTAGGATGTCACTGGGATGTTCAGTTTGCTTTCTGAAACCATGATCCCCGCCCCCTTCCCCGGGGATTCTTGAGTTCCCTCTTCCACCCAACTGAGAATCAATTTCTTAAGCTGCTTCTAGATCATTCTGAAGACTGTTTCTGCCTTCCAAGATATGAGATGTTCTGCCATGTTATGTCACATGCCAATTAAGCAAGAATATTCTCTGTATCTGCACCCTTCACCCTCGCTGCTGCCCAAACATATCTCAGATGGGGGCATGTGGAGCTGTGTCCTACGACACACACATCTTGTGACAGGGAACTTTCCCTTGTTCATAATTTTCTGTGCAGAGTTCCAGACAGACCCTCACTCTTCTGGTTCCAGTCTAGGGCAGGTTCTCTCTGTTGTCTGTGGTGGGTGGTGATGTGTGGCCCTTCCCATGAGCCCCCTGCCCTGCCCTGACCCAGGCCCTGGGGCCATCACTATGGCTTTGGGGGTTAGTTCTGGAATCCAGGAGCCCCTCGAACCTTGTTGTCATCCATCACAGTGTTGAGAGATTCAATCCACATTGGGTCTATGTCTCCATCCAAGACAATCCACTTGGGGCCATCATGAGTGATGTTGGCCAGATCCCGCATTATGGTGGAGAAAAGGCCTGTGAATGAGCAAGGCTGGTGTGAGCAAGCAGGGCTGGTGTGAGTGAGCAGGGCTGGTGTGAGCGGGGCTGGTGTGAGTGAGCAGGGCTGGTGTGAGTGAGCAGGGCTGGTGTGAGCGGGGCTGGTGTGAGTGAGCAGGGCTGGTGTGAGTGAGCAGGGCTGGTGTAAGTGGGGCTGGTGTGAGTGAGCAGGGCTGGTGTGAGCAGGGCTGGTGTGAGTGAGCAAGGCTGGTGTGAGCAGGGCTGGTGTGAGTGAGCAGGGCTGGTGTGAGTGAGCAGGGCTGGTGTGAGCGGGGCTGGTGTGAGTGAGCAGGGCTGGTGTGAGTGAGCAGGGGTGGTATGAGTGAGCAGGGCTGGTGTGAGTGAGCAGGGCTGGTGTGAGCGGGGCTGGTGTGAGTGAGCAGGGCTGGTGTGAGCGGGGCTGGGGTGAGTGAGCAGGGCTGGTGTGAGCGGGGCTGGTGTGAGTGAGCAGGGCTGGTGTGAGTGAGCAGGGGTGGTATGAGTGAGCAGGGCTGGCGTGAGTGAGCAGGGCTGGTGTGAGCGGGGCTGGTGTGAGTGAGCAGGGCTGGGGTGAGCGGGGCTGGGGTGAGTGAGCAGGGCTGGTGTGAGCGGGGCTGGGGTGAGTGAGCAGGGCTGATGTGAGCGGGGCTGGTGTGAGTGAGCAAGGCTGGTGTGAGTGAGCAGGGCTGGTGTGAGCCCGGAACGCCTGCTGGTGACCCGCCCTCACTCAGTCCACCCTGCCACAGCTCCTGTTACCGTCTTTCCACTCCCTGGTGGCCGGGTTGATGATGCCAAACAGCTCATCACAGGTGACAGCCTTGGGGTCCAGGTCCACGGCAACCGGCTTCCTCTTCATGTTCTGATAGGTCTTGTTGAGAGACTTGAGGACCTGGTGTGGGGGTGCGTTGTTCACATGGGGCTCGGGGGCCGCCACTCCTGCACCCACACCCGGGGACGCACCATGCACAACTCCGAAGGCCTTTTACGAACCCCACCCAGAATTCCTGCTCTGGGCCGGTCCTGCACTGGTGACATGCAGGTTTGAGTTTGCGCCCCCAAACTGACCGAGGCAGGTGCCCGGGGGATGGGGAACGCACGGCAACCACCCCTGTGTGTGGACAATGGAGCGCCACGTGCCCTGGGACCAGGCTAAGATCAGGAAAAGTTCACAGTAGTTTCTTGATGACAAAGGCAATCTACGCTCACTGGTAATTCCTCCACCCAGAGAAAAGGATTTTGAGGGACATTTGAGGATGTTTTCATATATGTATATGTGTGTACAGGCGTAAAAATACATACATATGTACATATTCTTTTTAGAAGATCGGGTTCATGCAGTTGCTTTTTTTGGGGGGGGGTGGAAAAAGGTGGTTTTATTAAAGCCTGGGGACAGGACCCGTGGGCAGAGAAAGCTGTTGCCAAGTTTCTGTCTTTTTAAAAATTACTTGCTGTGAGCACCCCCATGTTATTAGTCTTTGGAAATGATCTTGATTAATAACACAGTGGTCCATCCTGCGGGCTTCCAGCTCAACACTGGCTGGCTTAGAATCTTCCGATGTCATAGGTGTCAGTTGTATTGGCCACCACCCTCTGCTTCTCACCATGCCCAGGTAATGGCAGGGGACAGGAGTTTGGGGGCTGACACAGGGGGCAGGTGGGGACAGAGGGCGGGGGTGGGGGGCTGGCCGTAGAGGGCCAGGTGGCTGGTGTCCAGGGGGAAGGAGCAAGAAGAGAGGAGAACCTAGGAGAAGGCCCTCATCAGTGGGACCAGGGCCTGCTCCTCGCTGCCCCTGCCCCCGGGGGTGTGGGGAGGTGACAGAGGCCAAGCCTCTGGCAGCCTACAGGCCTTCAGGGAGGACCGAGGGGTGGACAAGAGTGGGGCATGCCTGAGATTTGCCACTGCCCGCGTTCCCGATGACAAACACCGAGTGGCGCACTTGGAGTAGCTCCTCGAGCTGCACGACCTTCAGCACAAAGCTGTCTTCTGCCTGCAGCTTGAGCTCCACGATGCTCTGCTTGATGATCTGGGGAGGGGCACACAGGAGGGGGTGTTGGGCACAGGGCGCAAGGACAGGCAGTCGTTCCAGGAGGGGGCTTTGTGGGAGATGTTGCAAGGGAACAGTGGCTTCTGGCGTGGATGTGTCCCCACGTTCTGCCGGTGATGCCGCGGAGCATCTGTGCAGGCGACAGGTCTGCCCGAAGCCCCTCTGCCGCCCCCCCATTCCTCCTGAGATCCGCCCCATCCCCAGCATTGAAAGAGGTGCTGGATGGGGCTGGAAGGTGGTTTGGGGCTTCCGGGTGTTTCTCCCAGCAGCGGAGGGAGAAACGTGTGGCTACCATCTGCCCGATGCTGCACCTGCCACCGAGGTGTGGATCTGACCCGAGGGCCCAGTAGTTCCTACCTTTTCAAAATTCAGGTCCCGCTTCCGAGGCACGTCCAGGGCAGGGAAAAGGTCCCCGATCAGCCCCATGAACACGGGCAGGTCGTCGGTCACGATCTTGGGGATGTTGAAGTCTCTCAGCGCCCTCATGAGCACCTGGTCCTCTGCCCGGCTGGGGTCGCCCCTCTTCAGGGAGCCGGCCACCACCAGCACAGACTTGATGGCTCGCAAGCCCCAGTCGTAATGATCCTGGGGAGGGGAGGCATGGGCGAGCAGGTGTGAGCACGCCTTCCCACCCGGGCTGGGGCTAGGGAGGGTTGGGGCCAAAGCCGGCATGCCACCAGGGGCACATGGACGGCACCCTCCCGTGCCGCCCTGCAGCCCCAGACACCGTTGGCATGCACCTGCTTCGACAGGAGCTCTTTGCACAAGGTATAGAGCGTGATGAACTTCCTGGCCAGCAGGCGGGCTTCCAGAAAGCCCTCGGCCACCAGCATGATCTCACATATCAGTTCAAAGTCGGGAACCACCATGGCGCAGGGCCTGGGGGAGATCAGCGGGGTCTGCTCAGGCTTCTCCCCCTTCCTCCCACAATCCCGCCTCTCATCAGCTAGGTGCACACCTCCCGTGCCAGGAAGCCCACAGCGTCAGGATTGCAGGGGCATGGGGTCGGGTTCCCAGCATCCTCCTATGCCCTCTGCCGTCTGCAGGGCCTGGCACCAAGCCCCACACCCGCTGTACTGACTCTTCTCTGAACCCAGCCTTCCGTGGTCAGGGGCCTCCTCCCCCAGGAAGGCAGAGCGGGAAGATTACTGTCTGCTTTTTAAGGAGGCCTTGCCTGCTAGACCCCCTAACTCAGGAGCCTCGCTCCCCAGCCTCCCTCCCTCACTCCCAGCTCGCCCTGGCTTAGGGTCCCCTCTGCCCTCCTCTGCCCACACACCTGAATAAGGCCTTTAAATTCTCGGGCAGCTCGGTGCGTCCTGCATACCCAGGGTTCATGGTGATGAAAATGCCCACGGTGGGGATGAGACCTATCATCTCTCCCAGGAAACTGAACGTTTTTTTCTTGGCCCGAATCGCATCTTGGACACATTTAACCTAAACAGTTGGCACACAGACGTGTCAGCGTGGGAATGCCCAGCTTCCACGGGCCGGATCTTCACTGGTGTCAAAGCCTGTGGCTACGCGTTTGCAGAGGACACTCCTGGTCTCGCTTTCTTTTTAATTAAACTTAATTTTGAGACAACATAGACTCACACGCAGTTTTAAGAAATAAGGCAGCGGACATGCCCCTGGGCCCCCCGCGCGCCCCTCCCCAGCGTCCCCTAGCAGGAGCATCTTGCACGACGCGAGGACCCCTCTCGTCCCCTGCTATAGTCATACCCACCTCCCCCTGCCCCCACCCTCCCTGTGACCCCGGCAACCACTGGTCTGCTCCAGACTCCCGTACCTCTGCCCCTTCATGAGCGCTGCTGTGCGGGCTGGTGCAGCATGTCCTGGGCGCGTCACCCAGTAGAGCACCGGGATCGAGGGTCCCCCCACCCGGCGCCGGGACACCCCTGCTTGCCCCGCACTATCGCTGAGCGGCGCTCTGCTTCCCGGCCGCTCCGTGGGTCCCGCTCCCGCTCTGGGTGCCGCGTGGGGGCACGTCGCAGCAGCGGGCTCTGTGTCTGCGGTCTGTGAGAACGGCACTGGGTGAATTCTAAACCTGGGGGCTCAGGAGCCCGTGGGATCTTCCGCTCCTGCCGACTGGCTGCCAACCTGTGCGCGACCACGGGAGGGCGCCCCACGATCATGGTTGAACCTCCCAAACGCCTGCCTTGAATTCAAGGTCTCCCCGCCTTTCTGAGCGGGGCCTGGCCTTTCCTCCCTGGCTGGTCCGCAGGGCCGGGCTCCCCGGGGCAGGCCTGGCGGCTGGGGCGGCGCACCTTAATTTCTTAATTTCTTTGCTGCCTCCCCGCTATGCGAAGCCTCTCCTAGCATCCTGGCCCAGTTCTTGATGGTCCATTCGAGTCAAAAACCACGTTGGGGTCCATTTACCGACTTTGGGGTGGGGAGTCACTCTGCTGCTGCCCTGGTGGGGCTGGGGGACCCCAAGGCAGCAGCCTTCGTTCTCTCTTTGCCTTACTGGCCTCCAGCCCAGAGCTCAGGGACAGCTCCGTGTCGGGAGGCTAACAGGTGGAGGGTGCCGGCCACCTGCCTTCACCTCTAATGGTGTCAGCAAACCTGAGTCGTCGAAGCCATTTTAGGGATTAGGGAGAGTTGAAATCACGGCCAAGCACAGAGCTGGGAGTCCAGTGAGTAAGTCTGGAGCAGGCGCTACACCCAGGCTGTGGGTCGTGAGTGGCAGGGGCTGGTTTCAGCTTGGCTCCCCTGGCTCTGCCCCCCAGCCTCCCGTGTGGGCTGGAGGCTCCGGCTGCAGGGAGCTGGTCTCTGCTTATCTATCTGTTGCGCCCGTGGGAAGGAGGGTCCCAGCACCTGCACCGGCCTGACCTCTGGGTCCTTTTGGAATATTCAAGTTGATTCTGGACCTCGAGCTTGGCCTCGGCTCCCCTGAGAGAGCCCCGTGGTTCTCACCTCCGGATCCGGAGGGTTCGTGTGCAGTGTAGGAATGCACCTCCAGACGTGGGGGCGGGTGCACAGGCAGTTTGCAAGCGGCCTGGGGCTGTGCCGGCATGGGGCTGTCCCCCCTCTGAGGACCTTACTCCCACCGCGTCCCGGCCTCCCCATCGTTCATGCCCAAAGCACACGGGCCTATTTCCTCCCTCCCGTCTTCTCTCCCCGCCTCCTCCCTGTCCTTCTTCCAGCACTGATGTCTAATGCATCCTTCGCTGACACCGTAACCTCTGTCCTTGTCCTCCAGGCAGAATTCATTATCCCCTCATGTGTAGCTGGTTACACCTAGGCCTGCTGCGTCCGATTCTTCTGTGTGCCCACCCGGACTCCGGGCCCCTGCAGGACAGGCCTGGGGTCCCTCACCTCCGTGCCACACCACCCTGCATTGCACGGCACACTGGGGACAGGCAAGGAGGCTCACGGGGCTGAACGGACTGCCTGGTGTAAGGGCTGACAGGAGAGCTGACAAGCCCCAGCCCCTACGTGACCCACAGACCATGGACAGGACCCTACCTGCACAGCGATCACGGACAAGACCTCCACCGAGATTCGGTTAAATTCATCAAAGCAGCCCCATGCTCCAGTCTGAGCCAGGCCCTTGTAGATGTTCCCACAAGACTAGGAAGGGTGAGATAGGGGAGAGGAAGAGACTCAGAGGGCCGACCAGAGTCCTGCCAGGCGCCCCCCACCTGCCCCTTCTGCTGGGTCACAGTCCTGTTCACAGTCCACTGACCGAGGGTCAGGCTGGGGAGCTCTGGGGCCTGGGGGAGGCCGGCGGGCCGGTGCATGCCGTGGAGGGCTGGCTGCCAGGAAGAGCCCAGCCTTGGCCCATGACCTCCCTGGTGTGGGGGCTTCCCTGGCCTCCGAGCTGGATGGCTCAGACACGTGCATTCGTGTAAAATGCAGCCCCTGCTATTTTTTTCTTGCACTCAAGGGAGGGGCTTCTCTCTAAGATGGGGGGTGGGCATGCGTGTCAGATTTTCTTCTAGATGTTTGTGTCTCTCCAGTCCTTAGCTGGGTGATGAGGATTCTTCAGGGTCTCCGTATGGGATTCCAGGTGAGTGTTAAAGTGCTCCTGAGATACTTTTCTGAAATCCAGAGGCTGGTGTGGTCTGTGGCCTTGACTGGGAGAGGGGCAGCTGGCCCCACCTCAACCTCAGGAGGGTTGGGCTTTGGGGCTCAAATACAGGTGGGGAGGGGACCGGAGGCCTCCTGCAGGCCCAGGCTCTGATGCCAGGCCCACCCCAGCCCCCCACAGAGGCTGCCCTGCTGGGCCTCCAGGAGGCTCTGCTCTCCCATGGGGCCCGTGGAGAACCCACAGCATGCTGCACAGTCTCCAGGGATCGCTGGGGCCTGGCCTGTCCCCTGGCTCCCCTGCTCAGCCTGCCTGGACTCGCTTTGACCCCAAAGCCCCATGCTGAACCACGACAGAGGCGCTCATTCTGTCGGGAGCCCCCAGCCACCTGGAGAGAGCTTGGAACAGAGGCTGGGAGGAGGTGACCTCCCAGGGCAGGACAGGACATTTGGGCCTGGGTTTGTTGACCCTAGGAGCCTCTTCTGGACATGTTTGTCACTTCCACGGGGCCCCAGCTTCCTGGGAGGGCCAAGACCACTGGCAGGGATGCAGGGCAGAGACCGTCAGCAGACTGGGAACCCAGTGCCTCCTCCCCCAGTTCGAACTGCAGTGTCCAGACATCTAGAACACGCATGGGGCCCGGGGATGCGGTGTGTGGTCCCCACAGGGGCCTCTGGCCCCCTCCAGGCCTGGAGCGCACCTTGTAGTCCATTTGCTCCGAGCAGTTGAAGACATACACCATGGTGCCCAGGGCCCTGCCCAGATCCTTGGTTGTCTCCGTCTTGCCGGTCCCGGCAGGGCCAGCGGGGGCCCCGCCCATGATCAGGTGCAGGGACTGGGTCAAGGTTATGTAGCATCTGCAAGGGACCTCTGATTATCCTGCGTGCGGTGACCCCATGGCCACCCCCTTCCCTTTCACGGTAGTGTCAGCTCACCGTGCCCAGGTGACACGCACTCGGCACCAGGGAGACACAAGAGGGACGTGAGATGGAGCCAGAAATGGCACCCCCACTTGGCAGGCCCTCAGATGGGTTGAGCAACTCCTCCAAGACCACACAGCTAGCGTCGGAGTGATCCGAGGCTGGGTGCCCGGCAGGCGGCAGGGGTGAGTCTGGACACAGGCCTCCCTGACCGCCTGCCCAAGGCGGCTGGTGCGTGCCCTCACCTGTCCGTGAGCGGGGTGATGACCAGCCGTGGCGTGTTGCCCAGGTATTCGTAGGAGTACTGGATTTGGGCGTCACAGATGTTGGCAAAGCAGTGCTTCTTCTCTTCGTCCCAGCGATGCCGGAGCTGGGACTGCCAGGTGAAGGCCTGGGAGCTCTCCACCTGCAGGAGGTGCCAGACCCTCGGCTCCTCTTCCAGGACCCATGTCCACCCCAGTGCTGCCCCCAGCCAAATCCCATGGAGGAGCGGGCCTTCCTCTGACTGCTCCCCAGGGCCGAGTCTTCGTGAGGGGTGGGGGCTGCTACCAGGAACAGAGTCACGCCCCCCCGCCCCGGGAAGAGGCACTAACAGGGGCCAGCCCGGTTCCCGGCCCTTCCCCGGCGCCCATGCCTTGGCTGTGATCATTTTGGCGACCACGTCCCGGGCATGCACGTCGATGGTGCAGATGGTCATGATCTTCATCCTGTCGCCGGCACTGAGGTTTCCAATGAGCAGGGTGATGAGCGCGTTCAGCTGGCTGATCTGCAGGAGCAGAGGCACCTTGGCTGGGACACTGCGTGCACCCCGCCCTCCCCCGGCTGCGTGGGTCCCCTGGGAGCCCACAGTGGCGGAGGGAAGACCACCATGCTCTTATTTACAAAAACGGAGCACAGAAAAATTCTCAATATCCCCCGGCTGGGGGTGGGGTGAGCAGCAGAGCAGCCCCCGACGGGATACCATGGAGCCTCTGAAAATGACATCGTGTGAGAAAGTCTAACGCCCCGGGAAGACGGTGGACATTAAGTACAAACAGGGGATTTTTAAAGCCATGCAGATAGTTTCTACAGTATTGGCATGTAAGTCCATGATATGCACACAAATTGATGATTTGCTGATTTCCAGACAAAAAAGTGAAAGTTGTATATTTCCAAAGCGGTTACCTTTGGGCGGAACCACAGGGGGTTGCTGAGATTTGGCCGCTTTTGACCAACCGACAGAAAGGGCAGGGTTTCTGACGGACACGCACCTGCTTTTTGTTGTAATCCTTGATGGAGTTTTCATAGCCTTCCTCCAGCCTCGAGAATGCCAGGCCCACCTCGGTGGTCCACCAGATCTGCGTGCACGTGAGTGCAATCTGCAAGCAGACGGGCGCCCACCAGGCCCCCCTGCACCGTGAGCGTCACCCCCCGATACAGCGGTCCCTGCCGGCGCGGAGGCTGGTCTCCGCGGGACCGACCTTGGGGCAGACCCCGCCCCCCACCCCCCGCCCACCGCCGCCCAGGACCTGGGCTGGGTAATCCAAGATCCACTGCTCCCTCGGCTTTTCCTCGTACGTCACCACGGCCTCTGGGATTTCATGCCTCAGAGTAGCACACATGCGGTCCAGCACTCGGTTCAGCCACACTTCCACCTGGGGACGGGAGCCACATTGACCAGACAGGCCCTTGCGGCGAGTTCCAAAGACTTGCTTTGTCATTAAAAAAATAAATGGACCATTTGCCATCATTGTCATCCCAGGGGTGGAAAAGTCAAGGTTTTGTAGAGCAGTAAGAATGACCCACTTAACAAATGTGGTTGGGAAGCCGGGGGGTGTCCCTGCAAGACTTTTGCCTTGGGCGTTCACGTGCTTATGCTATTTCTAGGAGGACAAGGGAGGGGATCCAGAGAAAATTCTAGAAGAGAAGACAGGCTACATCGGAGCCCCTGAGGCGCCGTCTCTCAAGTCCCTGGCAGGTTCTGGCTGCTCCTCGGGTGCCTGGTCTCAGGGTCCCAGACAGTCACACAGGACAAACCTTCTTTGTATTTTATTTGCAGACAAGCCTTCTTTGTATTTTGAAATACAAACCCTTCACTAGCCACTACGGGTTGGGCGGGGGAAGACCCAAACAGGACAATCGGCTTGGTTTTTCTTTTAAACTATAAACACAGTGCCCGCGGGTGTGAACACACCGTGATGACTGGGTTTCGCCAGGGCCCCCACCAACCCCGGCCGCGCCGAGCAAACCCGCCAGGAGCTCCGGGCCCACGTTTCTGAAGCTCCAGTTTTCTTGCGTGAGATTTTCCTCTTTTTTCCCCAGCTGATTTCTCTCCAAATTACATTTCACTTAGGAAAATGTCAAAGTCAATTTGGTTGCTGAGTTGGGCGGTGAGATGGGGGAGAGGGGCTGCGGGGCCGCTTGGTGTCGGCAGGAGGAGGCCGCCTCATGGGTGGCTGGGGACGGGAACGGGGCCACCCGAGGTGAGGAGCCGATTGTTCTGAACAGGGATTAGAAGGCAGCGGTTCAGGCGTGTGGGGGCCCCTCGAGGCAGTCCCCTGGCAAGCCCAAGACAGCCCACCGGCATCCATAACCCTCTCCGCTCCCCTTCTTCTCTGTCTGTTTTTTTCTCAAGATGCACCCGGACTACACGGGTCAGGCTGTGCTGGAAATTCTCTACGGAAGCTGTTGGAGCGCTTGCTGGACCGAGGGACAGTCCCGGGCTGGGTGGCCGGGGGGCGGCCCGTCCGCCCTGGATGTGCCCCCGGCACTCACCTGCCCTGAGAGGTCACACTCTTGGTCGAAGTCCACGTACTCGTCCTCCTTGCTGAACATGCCCAGGCCGAATTTGAGAGGCTTCTCGTCGGCATCAAGGCGAAACTTGAGTTTACACAGGCTGTCGAAGAGCTTGGCCAGGTGGCGGCTCACCTGGGGTGGGGGTGGGGCAGACACGGGGTCACGGAACCCAGGGCCTTGGAGGGGGTGCGGCGCAGCCGGGTTTTCCTTGGGTGGTTTTAAGCGTCTTTCTGATTTTTGGAATTATCCCCCCCACCACCCCGTCTGACTGGTGTTAACTAACGTGCTTAACCAACCAAGGGGCATCTCAGAGACCAGCCCCGGGATCCCAGGTCTGTTCCTGAAGGTGACAGGACACTTTTCCTTGACAAGCTCGGTCCCAGGCCCTGGGCCCGTTTCCCTGGGCCACCCTGTGCGTCCCTTCTGGTGTGTGTTGCAATTTTAGGATTCGAATAAAATATAGTGTTTTCCTTTCACCTAGTGAGTTAAGCCCTCTCTCTTTTCAGAAGAGCCTCGAGGAAACACCTCCCCCTGGCTCTTGGGGTCCCGGATCTGTCAGGATGACCCCGCAGCCACCGGGCGAGCGGGCGTGTCTCCCAGAAACAGCGTCTCGCCAAGCTTCTGGCATCTAACCCATTTTCCAGATGAGGAAAATGAGGCAAGGGGTCTCTCTGTCATGGCCGGGTCCCCTGGCGGTTTCTGGGGCCGATGACCTTGTGGAGGCGGCCTGGGGACCTCCATGCGCAGGGCTCCAACCGGCCAGGGCCACCGAGACATGGGGGCGAGCACGGGGCCACCTTCGGGATGCCAAGGGCCCGCCTACCTCCACGGGGTCATTTCCGTTAGAGAGGATGTCCAGGAGGTCAGCCGAGGAGACAAAGTAGAACCTCGGGAAAGCCAGTCTTTTTGTCTCTAAATATTCCGCCAAGGCCTTCTCGCACACAGCCAAGCTAGGAGGGAGGAAACGGGGAGGTCGAGGCTTTCTGCAGCCCATCCTGTCCTCGCCAGACGGACGACAGCCCCAGAGACACCCGGTCTGCTGTTCGCAGCCCCAGTTGGATTCAGACCTTGGAACCTGACCCGCCGTGTGGGGGTCCCTCTGAGGCTGAGGACACGCTGTGTGGCCAGCGTGGCAGCACGTGGCCTGGAGCACCAGTGCCCAGGGAGGAGAGTTTGCCCTGTCCTGGGTGGCGGGGGCGGGGGGGAGGGCTGCTGGCTCGGGTCCCTGCCACCAGGACACCTCCTGGTGGCAGGGACGGGGCCAGGCGTGGGGCCAGGCGCGGGGACCCACCTCTTCTTCAGATTCTCCAGTTTGTCGTAGAGACCAGGCTTGTTGGTGGCTTCTACCACGTTGGGGGTTTTCACCGCCTCTTCCATCAGGGCCTGGGAGGAGATGGGCCCCCGGGGCGTGAGTGGCCACGTACTCTCCAGCGTTGCCATTTCTGAAAATGCCCAGGGGGAGGCGGAGGGCTGTGCTCACCTTGAACTCCATGTCAATGTCGTCAAAGCGCTTGGAGTCCTCCGGCAGCTGGGCGCGGATGTCCTCGGAGCCGATGAAGATGCTCTCCAGGTGGCTCCAGGTCCTCTGGACCTCAAACCAGATTGAGATGACGGAGTCCGCCGTGGACAGCTTCTGCTGCCAGCTCGTCACCTCCTTCAGGAAGTGGGACAGGTACTTGGACATCATCAGGTTCTGCAGCTGCACCTGGTTGTCTTCCAGGGTCTCCACCAGCACCTCGTCCGACTTGAGCATCATGGTGCCCATGCGTGGGTGTGGCTCGTGCTCAAACTCCATGGTGGACCACGTGGCGTCCAGGGCTTTCAGCACCTTTCGGGGGACACAGAAACGACGTCACTCGGTGGCTGGCGGGAGGGGCCGAGAAGGACCCGGGACAAAGCCCTGCTTTGAGAAATCCAGAACATCATGGACAGTTGCCAAAAGGTAAAAATGACCCAAACGTCCGTCAGCAGACGAACAGATACAATGGACAGGTCATCAGAATGCCGTTCAGCCATAAAGAGGAATGAAGTTCTGACTTAGGCTCCCACATGGATGGACCTTGATGACATCACGTGAAGTCAAAGAGGCTGGACAGACAAGGCCACATCCTGTGAGATTCCATTGACATGAACTGTCCAAAACAGGCAAACGCATAGGGACAGAAAGTGGGTTAGTGGTTGCTTCGAGGTGGGACGGGGATGTATGGGAAGATGGGGGGGTTTCTAGAGGGAATGGCTTTCTTTTTGAGTTGGTGAGAACATGCTAACATTGAATAATTCTCCCACGTGATGGTTGCACACATCCACGAATGCACTAAAAGTCACTGAATTGTACACCTTAAATGGGTGAATGGTATGGTATGTGAATTATAGCTCAATAAAGCTGTTCAAAAAAAAAAAAGGGAAGATAGGGTGCCTGGGTGGCTCAGTCGGAGAAGCGTCTGCCTTTAGCTCAGGTCATGATCCCAGGGTTCTGAGATCGAGTTCCACATCAGGCTCCCTGAGCAGGGAGTCTGTTTCTCCCTCTGCCTCTGCCCCTTCCTCCTGCTCATGCTCTTTCTCACTATCTCTCTCTCTGACAAATAATTAAATAAAATCTTTTTTAAAAAAAAGGGAAGGGCGCCTGGGTGGCTCAGTTGGTTAAGCGACTGCCTTCGGCTCAGGTCATGATCCTGGAGTCCCGGGATCGAGTCCCGCATCGGGCTCCCTGCTCGGCAGGGAGTCTGCTTCTCCCTCTGACCTTCCCCCCTCTCATGTGCTTTCTCTCATTCTCTCTCTCTCAAATAAATAAATAAAATCTTAAAAAAAAAAAAGGGGGGGGAAGAAAGCCAAAATGTGAAGACTCACACTCACCGAACAGGCGAGGCGAGAGATCTGAATTGCAGAAGAAGCCCTCCTGAATTTCCCTGTGTCCTGTAACTGTCCCAACCAGTGGCTCATCATCCACCCTGATGGCCAGTCCTCCCGCCTTCCCTCCTTCAGCCTCTTCTCCAAAGTCACAGAGAAGGGCGCTCCACGAGAGGAGAGTTCAGTTTCAATGTGCACAGTATCACATGCAGGACACAGAGCTAGAGCCAGGGGGATCCTTTCTCCAGTAATACATTCTGGAAATTTTTTACAAGATTTCCGTCGTGGGTTGGTTAAGGGAAAGCCTACCAAACTTTGTTTTTGTGTTCAGCAACCGCTGGACCCCACATGAAATGAGATGCTCATAGGCGCTGGGCTGGTGGGCCTGCTTCAGCATCATCCCATACAGAACATACTTTGCTGTCGACAAAAACAAACAAACAAACAAACAAAATACCTTTTCCATCCCAGACTCTTTCACAGCCTTGTCAACGATATTTCGGACCTCATCCTCGTATTTGTGGAGGTTCAGCTGCAGTAAATCTGCCAGGGTAGTCTCATCTGACATTCTAAATTTCACCTGGGGGAGAAATAGGCATGTTCCAGCTCAGGTCATTTGTACTGGATGGACATCTTTGTCCTTTGTGGAGAGCCAGCAGGTTGGAAGAAGCTCTGTGTCGCCATTTCCTGGCTCCGTGACTTGGGTGAGCTACTTCTCCAGGACTTGCCTTTCCTCCCAGTAACGCTGTGTAATAGCAGAGCCCACGTGTAGTGCTTTGAAGTGTTTCTCCCAAGTTCCGGCCCACCCAGACCTCAGAATATGACCTTATTTGGAAATAGGGTCTTGGTCGATGTTAAGGATCTTGCGATGAGATCATCCTGCATTATCCACGTGGGACCTAAATGACAGCCGTCCTTATAAGAGGAGAGGAGAGGAGAGGAGGATTTGAAATGCACAAGGAAGCCATGCGGTCGCAGAGACAGAGATTGGAGGGATGCAGCCACAAGCCAAGGGATGCCTGGGGCCTCCACGAGCAGGAGGAGGCAGGGGAGGACTGTCCCCAGGAGCCTTCAGAGGGAGGGACCCCTGCCCACACCTTGATTGCAGACTCGCAGCCACAGAGCCACAGAAGAATACGTGTCTGTGGCTTTAAGCCCCTCGTTTGTGGTTCTTTGTTGTGGCAGCCCCAGGACGCTGACGCGTTAGGCTCAGGGATTAAGGCTACTGACGCTGTGTTACTAGCAGGCACGGCTGAGTCTCGGGCACTGTTGCTCTGGTAACAGTAGCAGGTGCCCAGGGCTACCCAGGCCTCACACCCCTTCGACAACCCCTCTCCTACAGTCTCACCATCACGTCGACATTTCCGAGTACCGGTCCTGAGCCCCCACGGAGCCTGGTTTAGCTAACTGAGAGAATCAAGTGTCTCTCCATCACATTTGGGAGAACGTCTGTCTGGGTTTCACTACGGCCTCGGCTGGGACATTTTAGTTGCTTTTTCATCACCGGTTGGGGGTCTCTCCCGGGGCGCCTGGATGGGGCACACGAGCCTGCTGTCCGGCTCAGTGCTCGAGCACTCCAGACAGCCCAGCCCTTCTGCCTGTCTTGTGTTTCTCTCCCCCAAGCCTCAAGCCACACTCCGCATGCCCCCGAAGCCTCTTCTGTTCTTCCTTCCCCTTGGAGGCCACGCCTCCTCCAAACTCTTAGAATCTCCACTGAATATCCCGCTCAGCATCTGGAACATGAGCATCGCACGTGCTGTTCTTCTCTCTGCTTCCCTGAGGGCAGAGGCTCTATTCGCCCTCTCTTTGTATCCGTGGCACCTCTGGGGGGCCTCTCTGCAGAGTAGCTGTTCAATAAAGTTTTGTTCAATGTTTGCTGACAGTGGGGAGTGTTCCCATTTGCCTCCTGGGGATGTCGATGCCGGTAACACCCCCTCCCCCAACTAGGGGATATCCCTGGGAAAATTTGGGCACTAGGGCTTTGTGCTCCTGGGGGGCATGGGGAAAGCCAGGGGAGATGTTCATCCAAGCCAGAATTCCTGAACCCTATGGACAGTCAACCTACAACCAAAACTGGCTACATAATTTCCAGTGCAAAATGAAAACGATGGGGCCCTTTGTTAAAAACATTATTAAGAATTGGGGTGCCTGCGTGGCTCCGTCAGTTAAGCGTCTGCCTTTGGCTCAGGTCCTTATCCTGGAGTCCCGGGATCGAGCCCCACGTCGGGCTCCCTGCTCAGTGGGGAGCCTGCTTCTCCCTCTCCCGCCTGCTCACGCTCTCTCTCTCAAATAAATACATAAAATCTTAAAAAAAATTATCAAGAATGCCCAGATGGCAGCAGCAGAGCACTCCAGCCAGGATGGGCGCCCTCTGAGCGCAGCGCCCCGTGTGGCCCGGCCCAGGTCACAAGCGCCCGAGGCCAGGCCTGCCCACACCCAGCTTCGTCAGCCAAGGGCCAGCCCATCCGACGGCGAGGCCGGCCGGCCGCCAGGGGCGGTACCTGCGTGGCCTGCATGAGCTGCTGCCAGTGGCGGTCCCGGATGGCGGGGTTCTGCAGCTCGCTCACGGCGCGCAGGGATGTGATCATGTTCTTCACGGTGTTGTCCAGCCCCACGAAGGCGTCCCAGCTCTTCATCTCCTTGTCCAGAGACCTCACGTCTTTGGCAAACTTCTTACAATCTATGTCCATCTGCTCAACGTTGATATCTTTCCACTTGGTGGTCTTCCAGTTGTCAATGCTGGTGTTCACCTGCGGGGAAACACTCACTGAGGGTTGGGGAAGACATCTGTGTCCCCTTACTGCCGTGGCTCCTGGGGAGCATGCATGCGGACAGAGGGTGGTACGGTGGACGGACACAAGGGGGGAAAGCCCAGTTGCAAAGATACAACTCAAAAGTCAGCCGTTCAACTCTATTTTGGCAGAATCCCGTGGAGGGTGCTGCTACCGCTCACCGGGACCCAGGCCCCTCTACCCCGTCGTGGGGCCATGTGACCTGCTTCGACCAGGGAAACGTGAGTGACGCCGGGAACTCTGGGGCAGAGAGCACTTAATTGTCGGTGCTTGACTCGGAGCCCTGTCGGCCTTGGCGGTCACGGAAACGCACGGGGCTACACAGCCTGGAACAAGGGGCTGCCCAAGGGCTGCCTGGAACCAGCATGTGGACTTTGCATGAAAGAGAGATATATTTTTGTTGTGAACTACACAGAGGTCTTCTTAGGGCTGTTTGTTAGTGCAGAGTAACCTAGCTTCTACTGACGGATGACCATGTATTAGAAGAAGCTCGAGGACACAACAGAATCTCCCCGGGAAGAACCCTGCCAACAGTGGACATGGAAGGCCACAAAGCCTGCGGTCTTCAGTTTGGTGTGGGCTGGAAATGGACGTGAAGCTGGGATGGATGCAGAGAGATTTCTGGTACCAGTGTTCGAGGCCCGGAGGTCCGGGCTGGACAAGCCTGCTTGTTGCATAAAGGCAAAGAGGGGCGGCTATTTACAGGAGATCGGCCTTGAAGATGCTAAGACACGAAACCTTAATGCCCCGTGGGCGCCAAGTCAGTGGCTCTTTTAGGCTTTAGCTTATTCTCTATCCTGTTTTCATAAAAGTGTCCTGGGCAGTGTGTTTTGGAGGATTTTCCTTGAAATATTCTGGCTGTAAATGCTAACTCCAGGCTTTATTCTCTAGGTCTGTGCGGACTGTTGTTTATCCAGGGCACGGGCAGCCCCCCGTCCTCTCTGGCTTTACCAACTCTGTTCCGGAATGTCCCTCACACACAAGAGACTCGTGTTCAGCTCCTTGTGAGAAAGTAACTATCAAGAGGCTCCGGTCTGTCCTCGAGAGAGAGGACAGAGCTTGTGACTCGGAGACGCTCTCTTTCCCCTCTGTAAGAGGCTCAGTGTGGTCAGAAGGAAGACATGTCCAACATTTTACTATGATGTACTGAAAAAAATAGGACAAACGGAGAGGCGGAGCATGCTCGTGTGCAGGGAGAACCCCGATCAACACCAGGAGGGCAATGCTCCCCAGAGTAGCTCACGGAGAAAATCCAGTTCTGTATAAAGTCATAATGGTTTCTCTTGGAGGGGAGGAGGATTTGACAGAGATTCTGCAGTTTGTTGGAGAGAATAAGAGGGAAGAGCTAACATCTCTCTGGAAACGGGGGAGCTGGGAGGAGAGGCCGGCTGAAGCCAACACGTGCCCGAGTGCTACCCTCCTTTCCAAGAAGAGTGTGACCCAGCGCCTCCCCTCACCCCCCACCCTGGGTCCCCGCAGTGCTGGCCCGCCCCACCCACGCCGGGAGACTGCCATCGCCCTCACCATGACGATCATGTCCCAGAGCTCCTTCAGCAGGCGGACCTCCTTGTGACAAGCTTTGAGCTGCTTGTAGTCTGGGACCGTGACTTCGAACAGGCTCCCGGACTTGCACAGGGCCTCCATGGTGCTCTCCATGGACGCGATGCTCTTTTGTTGCTGGGGGCGGGCGAGGGGGGCGGTCAGCAGCGTGGCTCACGCTCAGTGCTGGCCTCCCTCTTGCCCTCCTCTGCGTCCTCACCGGCCAGGTGCTGTGTTCTGACCCCGCGCACCGACCGGCGGGAACTGTGCGCCCGCCCCCTCCCGTCTTCCCAAGCCCCCTGCTTCTGTCGCACGGCCAGTGCGCCGGCTTTGGGAGTTCAGGCGTGAGAAGTGACTTTAACGGGCCTGGCATGAATGCCCGATTTCCTCCGGAGGGGTTCAGGATGGCTCAATTCTCACCCCCTGTTTTTTACCTTGTTGAACATTAAGGAGGTAATGCTTGATTGCTTTGAAAATGAGAACAGTCTAGATAAGAGGAGGAAAGCAAGAGTCACTCCAAACCAGGGGAGTGAGAGTGGGGGCTTCGGGGTCGAGTGTGGGAGCGTCTGTGTGTGTGTGTGTGCACGCGCATGTGCGGGATGTGAAGATGGGCTCCCTGGGTGTGCGGGCGCCTCCAAGAGGGCTTTGGCACGCACGGACCCGGTTCCTAAACAAGCTCACACCGGATCTCTGCAGAACCCAGCCCGGGCACTGCGGGCTCCAGGAGAGACCGTGCGCCTCCCTGCGGGGCTGGGGGAGTGGGACGTGAGAAAATGACCCTGACGAACGGGGAGGATCTTTGGGAATGGTGGCTTCGAAGCCGTGTGAGAAGAGCAGAGGCTGGGGGAGGGCACGTGTGGGGGACCCTGAAGGGCATCTTGGGGCCTTTGTGCTCATGCCCGCGTGCCTCACACGCTCCCCTGCGAGAGGGTTGTCAGGCCCAGCCCGGTGGTACTCGTACGCTGGACGCTGGTTGTGGACTTAACATCGGGAACAGAAGGGGACATGGTAGGGCTCGGCCACGCGCTGCACACGGTGGCCAGGGAGGGGAAGACAGCGGCACAGAGGGGAGTGCCAGGCCGGTGACAGGGAGCCACTGGGTGAGAAGGAGCCAGGGACGAAGGAGGCACAGCGGGGCTGAGCAGCTGGGCTGGATCGCCGGGCTTGGGGGTGTCCCCACGCCTGGGACCCTCGGCCAAGCCGCACCCCACAGCACGGAGGCCACACGGGTGTGCGTGGACACCTGTATGCATGTGCGGCCCCGAGGCCAGGCCCCTCGAGGCCAAGGATGAGAGCTCGAGGAGAGGCTGGGAGGGCACCGGGGTCCTTGACCGACCTACCTTATTCAGGGACTTGTAGGGGTCGGGGTCGGTGAAGCTGAACGGGGCTTCTCGCCGGAACTTCTCTCTGAACTCCTGCTGCTTGAGCTGTGGGAGAGGTGCCCATATCACCCTCCCCGGCGACACCCCGGCCTCCCGGGGGGCAACACGGCTCGGCCTGCCAGGGCGGCGCTACCTCGAACTGCTGGCACTTCCGCCGCAGGATGTTGACCTCGTTGGCCTGCAGGGGCGCCACGTTCTGCTTCACCTGGATCGCCAGCTTCTTGGTGTTTGCCCACTGCTCTGGCAGCTCCTGCAGCAGACAAAGGCCTCCATCCCTTCCTTTTCCTGTTCTTTTAAACGCTTTCCATCGTGAAATAGTGTGGACTCACAGGCAGTTGCAAATGTAGCACAGAGAGTCCTGTGCGCCCGGCGCCCCGGGAGGCGGACCTTTGACAGGTGCAACCACTAGCCTGTCCCCCATTTCTGTAATTTTGCCAGAACGGCCTTAACAATCAGATGGGTTTTTGTGCTTTCAAAGTTGTCCGCACTTGAGCAAATATTGGACTTCTGATCACAACATATTTTGAAGAGAAAGAAGCCCGGCCCACGAATTCTTCGCCCACAAAACAAAGACAGGGGTTTCCCTTTCCTCTATGATGAGTTAACATTCTGTGGGCGAAGGGACATTCAAAGCCCGGTTCACGCCCGTCGCCCCTGGTCCCGGCCGCACACCCCTCACATCCGCGTCCTCTGCTGGTCCTGGGCAGGGCAGCAGGGGCGGCCACCGGCCTGGTAGCAGGACCCCGGGCAGCGCCTCCTGGCTCCTGCCCCCCTGCCCCGCACCCCTGTCGTCCCCCCTGCTGCAGGGTCTCGGCCTGGATCCAGAGCAGGGCAGAGAGCTGAGAAAGGGATGAGGGTGACCCTCCAGGGGGTGGCGGGCTATGGCTTCAGGACCCTTCCCCTCCTCCTTGCCACCTTGCCTGGGCCAGCCCTGCCACATGGACCTTCCAGGTCAGGGAGCTCCCGCAGCAGCTGGCCCCTCCCTCGGCCTCACTGCCGTGTCCCTAACCTCTGCAGGGGCTCCGCCGACCCCACTTTCGGTCCACCGCCCCCTGCACCCAGGGTTGACCCGTCCTTGGGGGCAGGTGTGGGATATGAAGACATTTTCAATTCAACAATTCAATGGAGGAACCACCGGCTTCACCCTAGAGGCCACCTCACTGTCCCTTCCTCTGCAGGGAGGCTTCTCCCACCTCGACATTCCACATGGATCCCTGGATCCACAGGAGGAGGTCTATCCTGCAGGTCCCACGTGAGAGGCCTTGTCCCCAGGCACAACAGCCTGGACTCCAGTTGCAAGGCCCCCGGCACTGGGCTGGCTCCCCACCACCCTCCCCAGACAGTCCCCCACTCCCCAGCCCTGGGCTGCTCGCCCCCTCCCCCGCCCCCCCGGATGGCGCGGCGCCCGGCCGCTGTCCACCTGCAGCTTCAGGTGTGTCTCTTCCGGTATCTCCTCCCCGTAGGTCTTGAGCAGCTCAATGGTTTGCTTCAGGGGCTCAAACATGCTGTCGGTGGACACCTGCCTCTCCTTGACCTTCATCAGATGACCCATCACCTCCACGAGACCGTCGTAATCTCCCTCCTTGAGGGTCTTGGTTAAGCCCGTCCTGGCGACTTTCATGAAGGCTTCCAGGTCAGCCAGGCTGTTGAACGAGACCCCGTGAGGGGTGCCAGCCTCCGTGGTGGGGGTGAGGACTGTCTGGGGGGTGGGGGGTGGGGGGCACTCCCCAGTTATACTGTGGGGCCCTGTTGAGCAAGCGAGAGCTCCTGTCCTCTTCAGGACACCTGCTCTTGACCCCCACCCTGCGCCCCACCAGCTCCACTCCAACTGGCCTCCCGATGGGAGCTCAGCCTGCACTCCCTCCTGGCCCCTCGCGGCCCTGACCGCCGCCCCTGACTGCGCGGTCACCTGTCCCCTGGCGACACGTGCCCTCACGGCTCCAGACACGGAGGTGCTCAATGGGTAGGGCCCACGAAGCCCGGGGCATCCACTCACAGCCAGGTGACTCCTGTCCACTGGGACCCACCCTGGACGGGGGCGGGGGGGGCTGCTGACCGCGACGCTGACCTTCACCCCCACGCCTGCCCGGCAGGAGCGCCCCACCGACACCACGAAAGCGTGTTTCCCCTCGGGCGAAGTCACGGTCGGGACGGCAGGATGGGCTGTGGGGCCGGGCACCCACCTGTTGATGACGTGGTCGCTCAGGTGTCGCTTGAACATCAAGCTCCAGCGCTTGATGATGTTGAGGAGGGCCTGCTTGAAGGGGCGGCAGTCACACTGAAGCCAGCCGTTGAACACCTTGGTGTTCTCACACTTGGACACTTCCTCGTACAGCTTCTCGTAGGAATCGATCTGGAAAACACAGCCGCTGCTCACTGTGGGGCCGCGGTGGGAGGAGGGCAGCCCTGCCCACAGGTTACTTCTTCTTCTTCTCCCAGCTCCCCTGGGACCCCTGCAGCCCCGCAGCCCAGCCCCTGTCGGAAGGGGACGGCCTCGGGCAAGGCCGGCTGGGCTTCTGAAGAATAGGCCAGGAGCTCAAGAGGTGATTGTGGTCATGGCAACCACCGGGCGCCCTAAACTCAGCTCTCTCCACGCTGCTCTGCATTCTCCGGGCTCTCGGCTCTGCCAGCTGCCCCCCACCCGCCCGTCTCCCCCGTGGGTTCTGCTCACGGGCGTCTCTCTCCCACCGTGCATGGGGAAGGGGGAGGTGTGTGTAGTTGTTGTTGTCTTATGTTCTATCTTTCTGATGCTCTGGCACCCGGGGCCTCACTGACCCTGCTGGGCCTGCCCCTCCCAGGGCTGGCGGACTCCCAGAGAGAGCAGACCACTCCCCAGGGAGCCCGTCTTTCGTATACAAACCAACCCAGAGCCTGCATCCCAACCACCCTCTTTGCACTCGGGGCCAGTATTTCCCCATCCTACTCACCCCAGGGCCAGGGACCAGACAACAAGGGGCCGCCCCTACACCCCGGAGTCCACCAACATGACTCCAACTCGCCAATCCCAGGCCCTATCTTTCCTGTGAAAACCACAACATGGGCTGTGGATCCCACCTTCCCCTCTGTCCCTCTCTCTTGGGACTGACTCTGGTGCTTCCCCCGTGGCCCTGTGGGGCCAGGCATGCCCCCACCTCCTGGAACCCGTGAGTCACAAACTCTCTTCCATGGCAGTCATCTGCTCTTTTGGGAGGCACCAGACCAGTATAATAATAAAACCCACATTTAAAAACCATTCACCCAGGGCGCCTGGGTGACTCTGTCGGTGAAGCGTCTGTCTTCGGCTCAGGTCATGATCACAGGGTCCTGGGATCAAGTCCCACATGGGGCTCCCTGCTCAGTAGGGATCCTGCTTCTCCCTATCCCCCCCACCCCACTCATGCTCTCTCTTTTCCTTTCTCTCTCTCAAATTAATAAATAAAATCTTTAGTCTTAAAAAATAAAAAATAAAAACCATTCACCAAGGTTTGAATCAAGCCCAGTGAGCAGCCCCCACCCCCCGGGGAGGGGGCAGGAATTGCAGGGGTGAGGAAGCCTGCACACACACCTGCTGCTGGAACTGGGTGAGGCTGGGTGGTGTCTTGGAGAGGGTCTCTTCAGCCCGGGTGTCCAAGTCCTCCGGGGTGACCGCACGCCCGTAGATCAGGAAGTTCTTCATGAACTCCTGGGGGTCGTCCATCCAGAGGTAGGAGTACCTCTCGAAGGAGTCCTGGTACTCCTCAGCCTCCTTCATGGCGCTGATGACCAGGTTGGACATCTCCTCCCTCATCTCTATGAGGTCCGTCATGTCTTCCAGGTCTGCCTGCGAGGGGGCAGGAGAGAAGCAGACCGGCGAGCGTTGGCCTGTGGTCATGGCTTTGATTGGATGTCTCCACCCTGGGGGGTGTCTCTCTGCCAGTGGAAGTGTTGCTAACCTCTCAAGATGGAAAACAGAGCAATTTGCCAATTGGCCATGTTCTCCCGAGAGAAGATTATGTTGAATGTGACTTTTGTCCGGCAGACTCAAGGATGGCTTGCACACTGATTCTTTCATGCAAGAGTAACTTGGCACCTGCTGTGTGTGCCACATGAGGGGGTGGGTGCTGGTCACATGGAGGGTGTGGTCCAGGCATGGGGTTAGGCATTCCTCAAAAAATCACAGACTCTGAGCCTTGCTTTCATGCGTAGCAGGGAGGAGGTCGGGGAATGTTCCCTGAGGAAGTGGCCGTTGTTCTGAGAACTGATGGATGGCTAGGCAAAGAGCAAGAGAAACAGCAAAGCACATGCAAAGGCCCTGCGCTGGGAGGAAGCAGATGTTTGAGGAACTAAAGGAAGTCTACCATGGATGGCTAGAGCAGGGAACTGGGGAGGCCTGATCCGGACAGAATTTTTTGAGTTTTGAGCTACAGAAAACCCAACCCAAGTTGGTTGAAGCAACAAGACAACTCACTGAGTCATGGAACTGGAGAATCTCAAGGTGGGGTGTGTGTATTCATTATGGTTTTTATTTTCTGTATCTTAAGATGCCTTGACATCTTAAAAACTCTTGCTGGCTGGGAGATACCGCCCTTCTGGGGACTAGCCAATTCTGAGAGAGAGGAAGAGCTCAGAAGGGAGCATACCCTTCATACGCAAACCGATCAGCCCTGAGGCTACACCTGCCCCCCTCCCCCCCTGCCCTGCCGCTTTACCCAACACTTCTCCTATCCTAAGTGGCCCAGGGTCAGGTACCCGATAACTGCAGGTGACCCCTGGAGCCCAGAGCCGCCAATTAATGCAAACTGGCTAGTCCTTAGCAGTTTCCCCACCTGCCTTGCCTTTTCCTGCAGAAACCTCTGGAAAGGCTCTGGCCTGGGCTTGCCCCTCACTCCCACCTTTGCACCTGCTGTGACCCCGTGTGGCCCTGCACCACCTGCCAGGCCTCTCGTTTCTATGGGAACTGTGAGCAGCATTAACTTTTCTCTCCACGGCACTGACCTCTCCACACGGCCACTTAGCCACCTCTGCAAATTAAGATCCCATGGGCTCAAGTGAGGCTGGTGTGGGGCGTGCACAGGCTGGGCTAAGGCATGATCAGCAGGACCCTTGTCTTGCTCTGCTCTGTCCTCCTCTACGTGTGTCTTCATCAGCAGGTGGATCCCCTCAGAGCCCACGGGGGGCTGCAGGAGCTCCAGATGTGCATCCTGCCAGACCCCAGAGCACACTGGGTCCCGCGTCCAATCCTGAGCTGATCTCTGGTGACAAACTCTATTCTGGACCCTGGAACGCTTCATCCAGGCACATCCCCTTGGCCTGACACCGTCTGCCTGGAAACTCCCTCCCACCCTTTAAGACTCAGCCAGCGTACACTCAGCTGATCTGGGAAGCTGTCCTTGACATTGCGAGGGATTTCCTCTGTGCACTCACCTCACCGCGCACACGCACACATGCTCACACGCACACACATACCTTCCTCCCTGATAGTAGAGAGCCTTTCGTTGTAAATGTTGCAAATAATTCATGCCTGTTATTATCAAAAATCTCAAGCAACGCAGAAGTATTTGAAATCAAAACCCCTTTGCATCCCTTTGTCCAAGCCCCCTCCCTCCTTACCCCCTTCCTGTTGGAGAAGTGAGCACTCCTAGCAATTTGGAGCGTATCATTGGAAGACAGATTTTTGTTTGTTTCAGTGAATGAAATCATATTCTAAACATTGTTCCACAACTTGATAAACCATAACCTGCCGCCAGCGTCTCCCCACCCCAGGCTGGTGTTGGTGACTCTTGCAGACGCTTTGTCCGGTCAGGCCAGCGTCTGTTGAACCAGCTCCCCTGTTTGATGGCACTTAGGTCTTTTCCAGGTTTTGTTTCACTCTTACAAACAATGCTCCGACACACACACCTCCAAAGACCTCCCTTCGGAGAAGCAAAACTTCCTACGCCTTTTGTGTCCAGAGAATCCGATCTGTTTTGCTTATAGGTACTTCATGTATCGACGGTACCCGGATGCACAAGCCGGCGAGGGCACGTTTGTCAAAATGCCTGCGTGCTGAGGGGACCACAGCAGTTAACTCACAGAAACAAGTGAAACACCAGGAAATGGGTACGAGCGCGCTCTGGCCAGCAGTGGGAATGAAAACCAGGCCGACTAGGAGAAGCCAGTCTGGGAAGAACGGCGGGATTTCCGGAGTGGGGAGGGAAACGCGGTTTGGCGTCCTGAGGACCTGATAGACACCCCTGGGTGGCTCCTCACACTCAGAGCCATCGGCATTTAAAAGGTAACTGACGGGGCACTGCTGAGTTAGGAAGGCAGCTGGAGCAAGGGAGCCTGGACTGACCTTGTAGCTCATTTGGCCCTTGGCCAGCCGGGGGATGAACTTGGCTGCGTTGTAGATGTCATTGATCAGGCCCTCAATCAGCGTCAGGAAGCCATGGTCCGCGCCCATCTCCAGGGATGGATGGAAGACCAGCCCGTCCTCGTCCAGCTCCATGCGGACCTCAAAGAGTGGCGCCACGCTCTCCTGAAACAGGCCGGCCCGGGGTCAATGCCTCGAGCTCGGTGGAACCACTCCCAAGGCCCTGATGTTCTCTCGGGGCTTGCCAGGGCTGACTCAGGCTGGCTGGGGCTGGCTGGGGCCACCTGGGAGAGCACACTTAGCCAGGGGCCCCTGAGCAGGGCCCAGAGAGGCTGGAGGGGGCCAGCGCACAAACGGAAGCGCAGGAGAGAGCCCACGGCCTTGGTGCTGAGCTGTGTCCGCTCGCTACTTACCAGCCACGTGGCCATGGGCGAGACACTTACCCTCCCAGTTTCCCCAGATACATAAAATGAGGATAATCATTTTACAGAACAGAGACACCAACTGTCCCCATCTCTTGGGGTTACTGTGAGGACTAAGCCAGTAACATAGGATGCGTGGGAGCGGCGGCTGGCTCACTCCCAGGCGCTGGTGGGGTCACGGCTGGGCAGGATGGGTGTCGCCGTGCTCCAGAAAGCACAACGCTCATGTCCTTAGTTCTAGGGAGTTCCACTGTGAGCATCCTCGCTGCACAACTAATTGAGAGTGAAACAATTCCGCCATAAAAGATAAAATAACTGGTTGACGGTTTGGTTTCGGGTCTCCATTGACAAGGTCCTGGGAGGCACTCACGTTTTTATCGTACGGTCGAAATCTCAGCTAGCCCTCATAGTGGATGACAGCGGATAACAACTACGTGTATCAGCCTGATCGAAAACACGGTGGGGAACTTTCTGGGAGAGTGAAACAAGACCCGGTACAGCCAGATTGCACGCTAGACTATCCTGGACCCTGAGGACGCATCAGTCACCATGCGACAAAGCTCAGTTGGCTTTCTCCCGTTGTTTCCCATGGAGCGTTGGGAGCTCATCCACGTCCATGAGACAATATGCCAGGGAGGAGCATAGGTACCGTGCTCGGTTACCAGTCTGCACCCAAGTATTTGGAAGACGGATATCTCTCATCACAAAGGAAGACATTAAGTATTAGTACTATTCATTTTTTTCACGTTTCATTGTGATCTTTTTAATGTCTCTCTTTTATTTTTTATTTTCATGGCAAAATTGCCTCGCGACCAATTCATCGAGCCCCTAAAATGACTTGCTGTGAGATGCTGGAGCTGGACAGGAGGCAGGCCGGCTTCCAAGTGCTCCATAAAGGACAACCCTCACAGCCACGGGAGTATCCCAGTCGTAAAGTGGGTACGCACAGTAACACTGTCTGTTCCTGGAGCCCCCTCGCGAGGCTGCGAGGCTGAGGGTGACGGCCTCATTTGTCAGGTGACCTCATGGAGGTCAGTCCGATACTCCAGTGATTCTCAAAGTACGGGCCAAGGCCCACAGGTGGCCATGAGATCCACTCCACGGCTACTAATCTTCCAAACACAGTCCCATGACGGCCCCATGGGCAGTTGACTCAAGAACCCACTGGTTTTTCTCTATGACCAAGGGATGGTGTTTGCTAGCATCCAAGTGAATTGTTAAGTACACAAGGTCAATCGTCACAAAGTCAGATGACCAGGATTTTCTAAAGCCTCTCCCTCAGGGGTCTGCTCCTGCTGCCAGGCCCCTTGCAAATATGGGGACTCCCTGGGATTTTTGGAGAAGGACATTTTGTCATCAGGGCATCATCATCGTTTTGATTGTGACTAATTAACTATAAATTCCTGAACTTGCTGACACTTTGCATCATTGTGGGTTGCTTGATGAGTCTTGTGGTTGGTAGTAAGGATGACTTTCATCAACAGAATTTCAGGTCTGTGATTGTCTGGTGACACCTGGCCTTTGAGACACATGCACTGGGCTCAAGCATGAATCATCCATCCTCTGTGGCTTGTACAAGGGCGTCTTGCTGTCCTCTCCCACATCTTTCCTGCGGGTGTGCTAGGTGGGCTGCGGGATCTTTGATTTCTCCTACTGGCAGTATTCAAAATCATTTGGGAATTATTGTAATGAAAAAGACATGGGTGGGAGAGGGCTCACCCCCATGGAAAATGCTGGAGAATGCCAGAATGAAATTAACCAGCACATCCTTTGCTGACCTGCTTTACACTTCCATGGAGCCCACGGACCCCTCGGACCCGAGGGTTGAGTAGGTTAGTAGCTGATGTTGCTGACAGGAGGGTACCCCCTGCCCAATCCACTTGAGTAGGGGACAGTGGTGCTTGCTTTCCCTCACCTGGCAACGAGGTAGGACCATTTATGTATTCTATAGCCGATTTATGGTGCGATAGATTGAAGGTGACCAGACGTCCTGAGTGCCGGGGACTAAAGAGAGTTCTGGGATACAGGACTTTCAGTTTTAAAGCCAGCACGCATAGTTCACCCTCTGCAGGTTCTAATGTTTGGTTATTTGTAACATGATAGCCTGGTCTTTCGTCAGGAACCTGCAAACTATAGATTCCAAGGTAGACCTTATCTTATCTCTATAACACCATATTTATAGCACAAATATATGCATATCTTATATTTATAACTCACATCCAAGACTCACAAATATATGCATATCTTATATTTATAACTCACATCCAAGACCATGTTGTCTATGAAGTAATTCAGAGATTTGCGGATGAAATGGTCAAATTCATCCAGGACCATGTTGTCAACATAGTTGACGTAGTCTTTCCAGGACTGGCTCATTGTATCTGCTCTGAACAGTTCAGCATTTTCCTGCAAACAGGACCACACAGTCAGCTGCTGTTTCACAGGGTCCCCTGCTCACTGCTTGACCAACTCACTCGGCGACTCTCTGGGCTACTCTTGTCCCTGCTTACATACTCCAGACACAAAGGGCTGCTTTTTGCTTCTCTAATGTGCCGGGAGCTTTCCTTTCCTATGTCAGAGTCTTTGCATAGGCTGCTCCCTCCCATTATTGCCAAGTCTGGCTTCTTCTAGATTTCAGCCCAAATGTCACCTCCTCACAAAGGAAAGCCTTCTTTCACCACCCCCCATTCATCTCAGGCTTGGCTTCTGTCCCTGCCTCTCATCTGTACCTACCATGGCACAGATGACAACTGTGAATGATTTTATTTATTTGTGTCTAGTCTGTACCTCCCTTTGATGTCAAGCTATATGAGGACAGGTGTTGACTGTCCTTTCCACCATTGTGTCTTCAGCATGCAGCAGGAGGCCTGGGACAAAGCAGGAACTAGTGAATGGATGGGTGGGTGGGTGGAATGATGGTGGACAGATGGATGGGTGGGTGGGTAGATGTGTGGATGAAAGGAGAGATGAATGGATGGGTGGATGGATTTGTGGATAGGAGGATAAATGGATGGATCGGTGGGTGGATGGGTGGATGAATGGATGGATGTGTGGATGAAAGAATAGATGAATGGATCAATGGATGGGTGGATGGACGTGTGGATGGACGTGTGGTTGGGAGGATAGATAGTAGATGGATGGGTAGATGGATGGGTGGATGGATGGATAAGTGGGTGGATGTATAGATGGGTGGATGGATGGATGGATAGATGGATGGATGGATGGATGGATGGATGGATGGATGGATGGATGGATGGATGGATGGAAGAGTGAATGGATGTGTGGATGAGGGGATGGATGAATCCGTAAGACACCGAGTGCCACAGGGAACACAAAGATGAATATGACCCAGTCTGCACCCTCACGCAGTTATCTTCTAATAGAAGAAAGAAGACACAGGCTTAAATAACTTCAGTGCAAGGTAGAAAGAATTGGTTTAAATAACTATCATGTGCATAGAGGACTCTGGCAAATATGATGACAAAGCCTTGTCTTGTCGGCTTACTGGCCTCTACTTCTCCTAGGCTCCTGTTCCCTGCTGCCCTGCCTCCTCGCCTGTCCTGGGGTTGCACTGCTGTGCTGTGAACCTTTCCCTTAGCCTAGCCCAATTTATCTCTCCTGTGCCCTGTTTCCAACACACCCAAGAGCGTCAACAGATTAATCTGCTAATTCTTCCAAGTAATATGTTTGCATTGTAACATTTTCATTTAGTAGGACCTTCTGGTACCATGGCAAAGGGGGAAGGAAGAGGATCTGAAAATGAGACAAAATATTTTTTGGTCCAGTCAAGTCACTCCACTGGGGCAATGACTTTCCAAGCAATGGCTGGACTGTGAGAACAGCCAGCAACACACCTTCCACCAGTGGGGCCCACAGGCTGTCTGGGGTGATGACCCATCATTGAAGTCCACATCCACGATTTGTACCAAGCACTGGGGAACCTCCCCAAAAACTGCCCTGAAAATATCTTGACCTCAAGGGAGTATTTTCTCTTTGTAGGCCAGGGCACAACTCCACCTTTCACATTTGCCTCGGAAATGAGCTAACATGCGAGCTGGATAGAAACGGCTGCCAAGTGAGGAAGGCGTGAGAACCCCCCCACTGGCAGGAACCCAGGCTGCACTCCCAGGGGTGCCCGGCGAGCGTCTGGCCTCCTCCCTCGGCACGTGCTGGCAGGGACAGAGGCCCACCGCTGCTGACCCACGCTCTCGGGGCATGCCAGGGCTGACTCAGGCTGGCTGGGGCTGGCTACCACACCATCCTGATTTAAACCATGCACGCACATTCCACGTTCCTCACTTGCATTTGCATGCTTTGTTTCCCCCTCACACTCTGGACGGGAAACCATGAAGGACACCAGATACACACTCAGCGCCCGCCCTCACACCGTGTATCTCAGGGAAACAAAATGCGTTGACCTTGTACAGAGATGTCACTTGCCTATATCGATTTTGTGCAGGGTAGGGGCTGCTGACCCCTTAGCACGGAGGAGGGCAGACTCATCGCAAGAGTGTCCGTTTAGGATAGTCTGCTTCTTGAAAATAAGACTCCTGGATTAAAGATAGTAGAGTTTCCGTGACCCTAAAGCCATTTTTATGGCATCTCTCGTTCTTCCTCTTCTACTAACAGTGAGTGCCCCCTCGAGGCCCGTTGTGGGCGAGTCCTTACCATGACCATGGCCTGGATCTTCAGGCCGGCCTCCTTGACCGCAGTGTAGCGCCTGTTGAGGTTGACCACCCTTCCGTCCAAATCCAGCAGGGCCTCCTTCTTATTGTCCTTCCTCTCAAACATTGGGTTGGCTGACCAGTCCTGCAGGGAAAAGGTGGGAGTGAAGAGAACATTTGGGGAAAATGCCTGTTCTCATGGCTTCACGGCATGCTTGTCGATGCGAATGTCCTTGTCCCTCGGAGAGGCCTGGGGGCCCCAGAGGGACAATTGAGCAGAGAATCTTGTTTGCCTTAAAACCAGTCAGGGGCTCGGGGTGGCCAGGAGACCACCGGAAGGCTTTACCCAATCAGGCCCAGAGGAGTCACCCTGGGAAGGCTCCTGAGCTGAGGGGTGGATGGTCAGAGCTGGGCGGAGGGTCCTTAGCTCCAAATAGCAGGCCCAGTAGGGACAAGTCCCTTTTGTGGGGGCAACTGAACTGCTGTGGGGGATTTTCCCCCATTTTCTGGATTGGGCTTGAGTGAAAGTCACCTCGGTGCTTCACTGAGCGGGGCTGAGACTCCGTGTACCTTCCCGCCCCTTGTCCCTGGCTCTGGCCTGGCACAGAGGGGACACTGCAAACACTCTTGGCTGAGCTCAACAGAACAGAACAGACCTGAATTCTGCAGACTGGCCTGGGACTTCCCTGCCTTGGGGCCACCTTGACATTGTTGTGTGGTCCAGAGCCTCAAACAGCAAGTTCCTGCTGCCTTTGGCACTTTCTGTGAGCATCTCCGTGTGGCCCCTTTTCCCTGGGACCCTCTCCTGGGTCTCCAATGAAGCCCTGCTCCATGCTTTGCCGCTCACTCACCTTCATGGCCTGAGAAATCCCATCTATATTCTGCTTTGCTTTCTGTATCCTATTCTGCAAGTTTTGGAGAATTTCTCGCATCTCTTGAATATATTCTAACACACCTAAAATATAAACATAAAGGAATCTTACAAAATGAATGAATCAGTAAAAGGAGAACTTCTCTTGGGCCAGCTGAAGGCTCATCATAATGAGACAGCTCTTGGAAAATACATCTACTGCTCATCTGGAGTTCCCCAAATGCAATGCTGAGCAGGACTCCCTCTCTGGGAGCAGGACTTCCTTATCCCTGAGTAGGTGGGTCATTAGTTCCCCCGGGGGACCCCGCATCCCCTGCGGCCCTGCCCCTCCAGCCACCAGCAGAGCGCTGGGGACACATGACTGGTCTCAGCGCCCTGGGCTGCGGCAGCTGGAAAGAGGTGCGTCCTTGGACAGCAGTGACAAGAAAAAGCATAGACTTCTTTGCACAGAAAGTCCAGGCTGACCCTGGTTTTAAGGAGGTGGACTGTCCCACTTTCTTATTGAGACAGTGAAGGCAGGATATGGCCAAAGAGGGCCGAAAAGATGGCACAAGGCAAGTCGCAGGTGCTTAGAGAGCCTCGGAGCTGATGCCCACCCAGAGGTGGGTCCGGGGGTGAGGGAGGTCAGGGAGGAGGTCTTCTGCCTCATGGGCACACTTCTTTCTGCTTCTCTGATAGCCACCCTGGGCCTGTCCACTGCCCCTGTGTGGGAACCCACCATGAAGCCCCAGGCCCCACAACCCCACCGTGGCAACTTTGGGACCCTTGGAGTTCCCCAGGGGGTCTTTGCCTGATTCCTTTGTAAGTGAGACGAATGGTCTCTTTGGGCAAGCAGGGGGGAACCATCCTTTGGCCTTAAACATAACCCTGTTGGAGTCAAAGTGGACCACCCAGCCAGAAGGCAGAAGCAGCCCCTCGCCAGTGTCATAGGAAGACGCTGGACAGGTTGGACACCCCCTCCCCCCCCAGGTTGAACCCACGGTGAGTCGAACGTGGCCTTGGTACCTTCGCTGTTCCAGAAGAGCGTGGTTTCAGCACTCAGTAGTTTGACATCGATGTCTTCCAGTTCCGACTTTATTAGTGGAGATTCTACTTCCATCACCGTGGTCTTTACCTGAAATACAAAGGCTGGGGTTTCAGGGCCTTCGTTCCAAATCCAACCGGATTTAAAATGGTCTCACAGGAAGGGTCTTATTACGTGGTACCAACCAAACTGATTGCAATCAGTGTCATTTAATTGGGAATTATGTATAAATCAAATTCCAGGAGATTTCAACTTGCCAAACTATTCTTATCACCAAGGGTTGAGGCATATACTTCACTCTTAGTTACCCATAGTATGGGGTAGAAACAGAAGGAAAGGTGATCATGGGACGGCAGGGACGGCAGGTGTGCCCGGGCTCAGCACCCGGGGCCAGCCCAGCTGGGCCGCTGCGTCCCGCCCACAACTCACGTGGATACTCGGCGACTCGGGACAGCCACTCATGCATTGCCTATTTCCCCCGGTGACAGCCCAGAGGAGCAGCCGAATGTCACCGTGCTGCTGGGATTGCCGGAGTAAACAAAGCTCCCGGTGAGAAGATACACGTACTAATATGTACGTCCTGTGTATTTTTTTAACAGCCTATGTTATAAATTCACACCTCTAGGGCTCTGGCCCCAGAAGTGTGATGTGGACAAACCGCACACTCGTGTGGTCCCTCGGACACCCCAGCGGATTCCTCAAGGCACCACGGCCCCCTCTCTAGCTCGGACACGAACAGATGCGAGCAGTCTGCAGGCCGGTGGTGTCTCTTGGCAACAGAAACCACGCTAGGGATGCGAAGGGCCTGGGGAGAAGGGCCTGACTTCCCGCCTCCCCACCTAGTCCAACATTTGTATTCACCGAGCGGCAGGGCTCACGGCTGAGAAACGCGCTTCTCGGGGTGGACAGCGATGCGTGTGGCTGGGTTTTGTTCGGAAATACAGAAGTAGAAGATCAAACTTTTTAAATTTTTTTATTTTGAAAAAAAAAAATGTATTTAAGTCATCTCTACAACCCACGTGGGGCTCGAACTCACGGCCCCGAGATCAACAGTTGCTCGCTCCTCTGACGGAGCCAGCCAGGCGCCCCAAGATCAAATTTTTTTAACTCGAAATAAACTTGGTTGGACTTTTTTCTTCTGGTTCACCACCATCGGAAGTCTTCTGCTCTGAAAAGAGCCCACGGACGTTTCTGGTGCCGCTGCGGCTGGGAGGGGCTCCCGGGCGGGCGAACGCAAAGGTCTCTGAGTCTGAAGATAGTTACTTCCAGGAAAAGCAAAGTCAAGGAAATGCGCTTATGGCAGACACTGGTATTTTGTAGTTGGCTGCGCAAATAAGTGAGATCGTTAAAATTTTATCCCGAAAAATGAAATTAATGAAAACGAGCTTCTTTTAGTTTCTGTTGAACCCATTTTTGTGACGTCACCACCATGCCCTAATTCGTGGAATGGAGTAAGGGACGGATCGGTCGTTGATTCTTTGCTGGGTGACACGTGTTGGTGGCAGGGCGGTGATGACCTTTGACAAATCTATGTGATGGCGCGACCTGGCCTGCTCCACTTAGCCTTCGCTTATCCCAGCGTGTTCTTGAAGGAGGTCACTTCTACCAAGGGCAGGGGGCTTCCTCGGTCTCCCCAAGGCCTCGCTCGTAAACCTTTGATGATATTCCCACTCCTCCCTTGGTCGGCACCTGAGGTGGGCACCAGATTCCCGGGCTCGGGCAAGTGCACGGTACTAAGTGGCCACCATCCCCTGCACGAGATGTTTGGTAAGCAAGCCCTGGATCCCAGAAGCGCCCCTCGGACTCACGGCCTTCCTGCTGTTGTTTCTTGCTGCCGTAAGGGAAGGTGCAGCCATGCTGTGCTCCCGGGAGCGCCAGCTCAGATGCAACTGGGCAAGGGAGCTGGGGAGGGGCAGGACAGCAGGGGGAAGAGCTCCCCGTCCACGTGCGGGATGGACCTGGGCATGTGGTACGGGGCCCTACAGGACAGGCCAGGGAAGGCAGCAGACACACGGCCCTGCGGCTCTAGGAAAGGGGCCCTCGTGTCAGGAATCCGTGAGCAGAAGCATCTTTAGGACAGAGTTGAGACACAAAGCACAAGAACAAAAATAACATTCCTGGCCCCAGACAGTTGTCCAGTTGGCGGCAAGCTGGCTGCGAGAACCATCAACCTTCTGGAGCTAGCTCAAACCTCGTGAGGGTGTGCAGAACGAGTTAAGGTCACAAACAGGAAACCCACAGACTTGGACGCATCTGGAGGAGCCCCCGGGATGGGACCCGCAAAGTCCACATCCAGGCTCCTCCTCCGTCACTGGGGGCCTTTCTGGCCGCCGGCTACGCTCCCCGGATCCCTTCTTTCTGCAGTCTGTGCTTCTGCCCTTCTCTGTTCCTCCACTTCCCCAGGACTCCCACCTGAAGGAGGCTGGCATCTCCTCCAAATTCCCAGGGCTCCAAGGAGAGGGAATCTTGTGGGCCCCTTGCTGGATTAGGTGGGTGTGGGGGGGGTCAAATGGCTCCCAGAGACATCCGCATCCTAATCCCTGGGATCTGTGGCCATGCAAAAGAAAATTTTGGGGGGTGATTCAGTTAAAGACCTTGGCGCCGGGAGGACATCCTGGGTTATGGGGGGAGGGGCAATGCAATCACAAGGTCCTTAGAAGAGGGAGGTGATAAGGTCAGGGGGAAGGAGGAGGCAGAGGCTGGTGGGGGGGGGTTGTCATCTGAAGGTGGAGCAGGGAAAGCCGTGGCCTTGAGGAGGTGGGAAAGGCAAGGAAGTAGATTAGCCCACTGGAGCCTCCGGGAGGAAGCAGCCCTGCTGACACTTTGATTTGAGCAGAAGGAAACAGATCTTGGACTTCTGACCTCCAGAACGGGAAGAGAGTAAATGTGGGCCGTTTGAAGTCATGCAGTCCGTGGACGATTATGGCAGTGGTCCCAGGAAACTCATGCAGAGCCCACATCCATCCTAATCCGCTGTGGCTTGGGCGGGAGTGAGGAGGGATCTGCAGGTGGGGTCTGTATGGAAGGGGGTGCCTGCCACGGTCCGCGGTGCCCCGCGTCCACGCCTCTCTGGGCCCCCTTCCAATCACCAACCCAGAAGGGCGTGTCCCCTAAGGCCAGTCAGTTACTCTTATTCAGAACCAGCTTCTTCACGATTCCTTGTGTCAGGTCCCCAGCTCTGACTGAAAAGGGTGGAGCCCAATGGGGGCTTGAACTCACAACCTTGAGATCAATACCTGAGCCGAGATCAAGAGTCTGATGTCCAACCGACTGAACCACCCGGGCAGCCCTGAAAGGAATTCTTGATCCGCAGAGGTGACATGCACCTGTCCCCTCCCCAGGCCCCGATCTAGCCTACCTCAATGGGCAGCTCTCCCCCTCCCCCTCCCCACCGCATGGTGCTGGGAAATTTGTCATCCCGCCCAGATTCTGGCAGATGCCCACCCCGCTACATGTTAATGGGTGTAATGGAATGACTTTGATATGACCTGGAGCAAAATACATTTAGGAGAGTAAAGCCCCTCTAAGCAGTCATGGAGCTAGAACGTAAGCCAAAGTCCAATGGAAGTTTCCATCTTCAGCTGTTCTGAGTTCTCATCATTTTTGCTGCCCCCATGTGCATCAATAGCCAAGTGGCTCGAACCACATCTCGACATGAAAAGGTACTCACTCTCTCTGTTGCCCTTGGGAGATCCTACACCTGCGTTTGCTCTCAACAAAACCCCAAACTTGGCAAGTAAAACGAAACAAAACTATATCAGCTCACCTCATTGTACCAGCCAACGATGAGTTCCAAGTTGCCCACAAACTTCCGGAAGGTTTCATGTTGTGAGAACAGATTCTCAGCGCTGCTTGGAATCTCTTTCTGTTGCTGGAAGCCCAAGTACTTGACTTCTCTCAGAACTGCCACCAGCTGTAAGGCCAATGAAGGTCACAGAAGACGTCAGGGCATGACCCCAGCCGTATGGCACTCAGCGACACAAGGGAAGGTCCCTCCCTGGTCCCTCCCTGTCCTGGGCACACGCTCGCCTCTTGGCAACCAGGACACCAGACTCTCCCGGTCGCTGCCATCGGGCTCGCTGGACACTTTGGAGATGTGCATGCCGGCGAGTCCCAGGGTGTCATTCCTCTGGATCTGCTCTCACCCCAGTGACCTCCCCCAACCCGACCCTCAGACTCCTGCATCCACCTGCCCACTCAGTGTCTCCATTCGGATGTCCACATGACGTCTCAAGCCCGACGTGGCCAGAGCAGAGCCGCCTCGCCCCACAGCCAGCTCTGCCTGCCCCCTCCAGCTGATGGCAGCTCTGTCCTTCCAGTTGTCCAGCCCAGATATGCTGGGGCTGGTCCTGTCTTCCTCGAAGACGCTATTTCCAACCCACCCAGAATCTCACAGTCTCACGGGCTCTATGACCAAAATCCAATCTCCCCTCACACCCTGGTCGCAGCCACGCTGGTCCAGGGCCACCACCTTCTGTGGTCTTTCTCCTGGATTAAGGCAAAAGACTCCTAACGGGTCTTCCTGCGCCTACGCCTGCCCCCCCACGGCCCCCAGGCTATTCACACACAGCACCTGGAGGGATCCTTGACACACAAAGACCACCTCAGGGCGTGCCTCTGCTCCCAAACCTGCCATGGCAGTCACGTCACTAAGAACGAAAACCCGAGTCCCTTCCATGGCCCTAGACCTCTCAGCGCCGTGTCCTCCGCCCTCCTCCACCCCCTCCGTCACCTCCTCCCCCCAACATCTGAAACTTCAGCCTGTGCCCCACCCCCCAGCTCTGTGGAAGCCCCTTAAACCTGCCCCTACTCATCATCACCTCCCCAGCACTGCTGTTAGCGCTCATTTATACTCCCTCCCGCCCCTCTCCCCTCCCACCTGTCCTCCCTTCCTCCCTCCCTCCCTCCCTTCCTCTCTCTCTCTTTCTTCCCTTCTCCCCATCCTCCTCCCCCAGTAAGAGGTAAGCTCCAGGAGGACAGAGATTTTTGTCTGTCTGGTTCACTAATTTATTCCAAGCACATACCCAGAGTAGGCGCTCAGTAAATATTTGTTGAATTTTTTAAAAGAATGAATTTTAGTGGAAGAGAAGGTTTCAGAGGAAACCTCACATCTGCCTCCCTGATGTCACTGCCGGGGTTTGGAGCGGGGCAGGAGCAGGGGCCTCCTTGCAGGAATCCCCGCCACCCCGCCTCTGTCTTCGGAGCAAGGCTCAGCTACCCAGGTTTTAGCCCGGGGACGCAGGCCCCGCGGCTCCCGCGTGAGTTCTCGCCACCTCGCCTGACTTAACCGGAGGGCCCATTAGTTCAGATTCTGCAAAGACCTTTCCTTGTGTGTTTTTGTCAATCCTCAAATTGATGTTTCCCCTTGGGCTCCCATGAAAGGCAACCAAGCTTTGAGGGAGTGTAGTCCCTGAAGCTGCTTTTGGCCATGCTATTTTGTCTCGTATCTTAGATACATCCTGGGGGTGCCTGGGTGGCTCAGTCGTTAAGCGTCTGCCTTCAGCTCAGGTCATGATCCCAGAGTCCTGGGATCGAGCCCCACATCGGGCTCCCTGCTCCGCGGGAAGCCTGCTTCTCCCTCTCCCACTCCCCCTGCTTGTGTTCCCTCTCTCGCTGTATCTATCTCTGTCAAATAAATAAAACCTTTAAAAATAAATAAATACATACATACATACATACATACATACATACATACATTCTGGACACGCTTTAATCCTTAAGGAATAAAGCTTTAGCTAAATATGTCACAGACATCAACCCCCACAAGTCTGCTTTGGGAGAAGGGGACCAGCCTCGGCGGCACCGGCGGACTTGGGGCTTCTCCCACCGCCCCACCTGCCGTGGGGCCCTGGTCCCCGCAGAGCCCCTTGACACGGGACGCCTTCCGGGCCCAGTGGTGGGACGGCACCCACCGCTTTGCTGAAGTTGACTTGGACGAGCTTGGTGACCGGGTCTCGCCGTATCAGGGGCTGCCCCAGGTTGAAGTGGCAGTCCTGGTCCACGCCGGCCACCCACTGCTGGTAGATCTTCTCTCGGTAGCCCCTCAGCAGCTCCAGCATCTCGTCGTACTTCTGGTAGATCAGCTTGGCCTCCGAGCTGGACATGACCCTGGAATCAGTTAGAGGGGGCGGTGAGGGGCACCCTATGTGTGGCAGTCAGCTCTCGGGGTGCTAGGAGAGGCCCGCCCCTGGCCCGCAGCCGCCGGGGGCGCGCCGCCCACGTTGGGGGGGCCGGCTGGTGCCACGACTCACGGGTGCTCTATGAGCTTCAGGTCCCGCCTGGGCGCCTCCAGCCTCTCCTGTAGCTCCAGGCTCCACTTGAGCTGCCCAGCCACGGGGGGCATGTTCTTGTGGATCGGGGGGATATTCCCATCTGCAGAGGCCGCGAGCTGCGCGTCATACAAGGTCTTGGTGTTGTCCAGCTCGGCGTCAAAGAGCTCCAGCATGGCCGAGTACCTGGGCACCACCTCCGCAAGGATCAGGGGCCGCTCCAGGAGGCCCCCGCACACATGCAGGAGCTGGGGAGGAACAAGAGACACGCCGTCGCTGAGGTCCCCGCCTCCTGCCCCGTCCCTGAGGTCCCCGCCTCCTGCCCCGTCCCCAGCATTGCTCCAGCCTCGAGGCAACTGGCACAATGCTTGAGGCCAAACTTCAGGGGCAACAACTCCTGCCCCATCAGGACAAGGAACTTCTATGCCTCTGTGATTTTCATGTTGGCGGCTGCTGAGTCCCCAGGTGCTTGGCTGCCAATCACCACCACAAAGTAGGTCTGAGGCCTGGAAGCATTCCGGGCCCAGGAGAAGTCAGGCTGACCAGGGTGGAGGTGGGTGTGGGGGCGGGGGGCCCCGGTAATGAGCACGGAGGCTGAGGGTGGGAAGCCGGAGACGCTGCCCCCGAGACCCGGAGGGAATCACAGAGGGAGCCTGCGGATGTGTAGAGGCCATGACCCTGGGGGTTCGAGCCCAGGTTCCCTGAGTCCCCGAGGAGCAGGGACAGCCCGTGTCCCCGGTCACGTCCTTTCCGGGTGAGGAAAGGCTGGGCCTGCGGACCTGAACTAATCCAGGAGGCGTCACACCACATTTCTGAAAGCAGTAACCGAGCGCGAGTACCTCTCTGCAAGTAGCTGGCTCATCACCCTCACACTCTACGTCTGCTAAACATGGGCAATTGCAAAATGAAAAGCTTAGTAGGAGAGAGGAAGCTACTTTATCTGGGTGTTTCGGTTAGGGTCCTGGCTGCAATCAGATGGAGAATTTCCTAAAAGGTCACTGTTCAAGGTCAGGGCGCGGAGGAACCTAGGGGCAGTGCAGGCCCTGGGCTGGGCTGCTGGGGTGGGGTCTTCCTAGAATCTGGAGAGAGTTCCGGAAGCTCCACAGCCAGCCTGAGGTCTGCCAGACCCAGGCCAAGGAGAGCTGCTCCGGAGGCAAACGGGGATCAAAGGTGCTCAGACCACACAGTCTCACAGCCCTGGGTGTCTGGGGGCACTGGACCCGAGTCTCTGCTTTGCCCCAGATTTTGGTGTAAGGAATAGGACAATGTCCCCAAAATGGCCTTTTCAGGCAAGAGCGAGACACAGCTGTAGGAAGAGATCTGCAGGTCCCCGAAAGCCAGACGGGGCCGCTGGACCACTGGGAGAAACCGAATTGGGACGCTCCAAGCTCAGCTCCCCGCAGGGGCGTGGCTGATGCACCGGGTCACTGGGGCCACTTCCTACCAAAGGGACCTGTCCGCTTGGGAGAAAAAGGTGCATCTTGTGGATTCGTGACCCTCCTGACATTTTGTCTGCCGGCTCCCTCCCATGCCCCTCTCTTTTTCACGTTTACATAGTTTTTGGCTCCTGGATCCTGGGAAGAAAGCTAATTTTATTTTCTATCAGGAGATCATGCAGAAAATTTCTCTAGAACTTTCCTGGCTGCGTGTGAATTCCTGACACTGAGAAGCAGCTGGGGGGCAGCTGGGGAGCTTGCAGGGAATGGGGGCACTGGGAGGGAGGGAGCCCCAGGGCCCGTCCTCATTAGGGGACGGGTTTGTGTCAAGCGGGAGAGAAAACACTCCCAGATGCGGAGGAAGAGTCGCGTATTTAGAGGTGGAAATGGTTGACAGGCACTCTTTTCTTTGCTCCCTTGGCTTCCTTTTTGTTTTTTTCTTTTTAATCTAGCACAAGCACAAAGTTACAATTTAGGAAAGAACCTTTCCTCTATGTGTGCAGAAGCCAGATTGGGGCTATAATAGGAGAGAGGATGAGCTCCCTGAGAAGGCCGAGATTCAGGCTTAGCTCCTGGTGGGCCGGGCGCAGGGCTCAGTCCTGTAGGTGCCTGGGGGTCGGGGCGCGGGGGGGCTTCCTGCCGGCCACCCCACCCCTCGGAGTGCTGACCCCTGACTCCTGATCACGAAGGGGACGGGCTTGTTGGTTTGGCCCCAATAGTCCAGCTGCTTCCCCTGGACTAGACAACAACACAGAGTCAGAGCCCACGGTAGGGAGTGCGGAGGGGCTGCCTCCCTCCACGCCCCCTTTCCCCCCCTACAGGAGGTGAGACGTGCTATCCGCCCACTCCCCCACCCTCCGTGAGCTCTAGTGCTGTCTTAGTTTTGGAGACCCCATCGCGGGGGTGGGGGAGGGGGGAGACTGTTGTTTCCAGGTTAAAGGCCCGGCTGGAAACGTGTGTTCGGGGACCCTTCCGCACTTGGGTAGCCCTTGGAGCTCTGTGACCCCAATACAACTCCCCTCCCTTAGCTGGAGGCAGTTCCCTCCACGGGAAAGCTTAAAAGCACCTACTATGTGCCCAAATCAAGTACCTGTCCTCAGGGAGTTTATATTCTAGTTGGGAAGACAATGAACACAGAGAGATCAACACACAACAGAATAGCAGGGAGGGCCAGCAGAGAGGCAGGGACGGGGAGGCCTCGCCTGCAAGGTGGCCTGAGACAGCTACTTAGGGGGAAGGATGTCCCAGTGGAGGGAAGAGCATTGAGGTGCTGTGTTAATTCGCATTCACTGATAATTCTGCTTAGAGCACCAACGCAATCTAACTAAGACTTGATTGCTCATCACATTGCAGAGTTTCAAATTTCCTTGCATTTGCATTTTAAAAAAACAATGTCTAAAAGGCAAAGGAATGTCCTGGCATCTGTGTTGGGGAGATCCAGGAAGACGGCCCGCACCCTGAGCTGCCCAGGCCATCCCGACTGCCTTCCCGTCTGGCCACACTCTGGGATGGTTTGGGGTCCTGGCTTCTCTAACTGGCTAATTGTGTGACTCTGGGCAGGCTTCTTGACTTGTCGGAGTTGGTAAAAATGGGATGGATAATGTAGGTAATGAGTTTAGCAAACACCATGGGACCCAAGATCCTATAATAATTATTGGGTGTCTCCTGTGGGCACCAAACTGCCTGCAGCAACCTAGAGGCTTGCCAAGCAAAGGGAAGAGGTAGCTCGGACCTGCAGGGTGTCCTAGTCGGCAAACATGCATAACACTAGGCAGATAGAAGAAAGCTACTCAAGTATATACATATATTCACTCATTTAAATGCTCAGTCCCTGTTCTCCAGAGGAGCTATAGATCGATCTTCAAAAATCCCCCCTCAGTGGTTTGTCCAGGGCAAGGCAGGCCACAGAAATGCAGGAAGAAGGGCTGGGCTGGGACAATATGGAGTGGTGGGGACTGGGGCACACTGGACTGCCCAGCTCCTCACAATCTAACCGGCTGGGTTGGTGGCAGTTGCCACCTTCCTGTTTTGCCAGGGGCTTTTCTGGGTGCTCTCGAGGTCAAACTTAGATGTACTCATGCATTGGCCGTTTGTGTTTCTCTCTTGAATTGATGATCTCTAAGGGTTTTAGCACTTCCCGACTGTCCATTCTTTTAAGATTCTTTTTTCATAGCATCATTTCTTTTTTTTTCAGTGTAAAAGTGCTGCACGCTTAACACTTGCAACTTGGCCAAGTGTAGTAAAGTACACAAGAGGCAGACGAGTACCAGCCAGCTCCCTGCCACCCAGAGGTGGCTCCTCAGTAACGAGGCCAGGCTGCTCTTGGAGTCTCACGTGTCAAAGAGGGTGTGACTTCAGTGCAGTGGGTCTAAAAGTGTATGTGCTTTATTGTCACGGCCACTTTGCCTCTAACTTTCGGTCCTTTTAAGCAGGGGGAACGATGAATCAAATAAGAATGAATGGACACCCTTCTGTAGTGAGAATCAGTAGAGTAACTGTCCTCTTAGGCTTAGTCCCTTTTCTTACTCTACAAGGCAGCCACCAAACCCAACGGGAGCTGCCTGAGGTGCTCGCGGCCTGAGAGAGGCCCCTGTCCCCCCCGCCCCCCGGGCCGGCTCCTCGTCTGCAAATGAGGTCAGCCCTAAGGGGGCCCCGGCAGGCCCTGGGCGCTGCTGTAACAGCTCGCTACCCGAAGGCCCCTGCCCGCACCCACCTTGGCACAGGACTCGATGGAGCTATAGCCGTCAAACCCTTGGCAAAAGATCGTGGCCAGCCGCCTATCCAGATCTTGAATTTTGGTCTCAAAATCAGCGTAATCGTCATCGAAACTCTGAAAGTGAATTAAAACGTCCACCTGCGAATCAGCATGCAAAGCGGGGGTGGTGCTCGCTCTGCCCCCACCCCTGCCCCCGCCCCCACCCCTGCCGGCAGGTTTCGGGGCTCCATCTGAGGATGCTCATTGTCATGGGGATGGCCCCAGGGGCAGTTAGTTTCTGGGACGTCTTCAGAACGTGACCAACACTCCCTCCACATGTCTCCCCACTCCTGGGGCATCTGACATAGGTCCAGCCGAGGGCCCCCCCCCCCCGACTCACTGAGTCTCCAGGGTCCAAGGGGTCATATTTGCATTCAGCAAAAACCTTCACCAGCTCAAAGACCTCATCGTAAATCTGAGTGACCATGCTTCCGAGGATGTTGGCCCTCACGCCCCCGAGCTCGATCTTCTCCAGCTTCAGAAACTCAATAGCTGTTTTATAAAGATCCTGGTGGAGGAAAAAAAACAGTAATCTTCATAACTAAACACAACGGATCAGTCACTGATCTAGCTCTGACCCCAGCAGGGAGGAGCCAGGGAGTGAGGATGGCCCTCTGACCTGGGGCCACCTGGCAGCAAAGTTGGGGGGGGGACCCTCTGTTTATTTCTGTCCTCTAAAGTCCTCTCTGGAACACAGAGAGAGGGGACGGAAGGAAGGGCCCCATGAGTCCTCTCCAAGCGTTGAACAGGGGAATGCGGAGATGAGGTGGGGCTCTTATCCGGACCCTGCTCTGGAGTGATCTAAATAGATCACGCTTTCCTGGGGCCCCCATGTCCTCAGCTGTGGGCGGAAGCAGTTGGAACCTCACATGGAGGTTTCTGGTGTTGTGACTAAGCTTCAAATCCTCTGCTTCCTGGAAGGCCATCAGCACTTAGAGCCCGTCCCTGACCCACCGTGACCTGTGAGGATGCCCTCCTGCAGGGGATGCCCGCCCAAGGCACTACTTCCTCTGAGGTGGGGCTCTCCTGGAGGCTTCTCCTGGAGGCTTCTCCAACTATTCGGGCCCCCCAGGGGGGCTTTCCTTTCCAGAACTCTCCCGCGCTCTTCCTTTTGACATTTCCTCACACCCGGTCCCCTCACGCGTTACCTCCCGTGTCTGTGTGAGGCCCTCGTTTCCCAGTGGATCCTGAAGGCTCCTTGTGGACCCCAGGCAGCCTCGGGAGCCTGACCCAGGGCCTGGCACCCAGGGCCTGGCGAAGCAAGATGCGCACGTGGTGCTCACGCCACGCCCCTAAGCTGGGGCCGGGGTTGGGGCCGTCTTCCCAAAATGCCATCACCAAAGCAGACCCAACGAAAAGCAGCAGCGGGGTCAAATGTCCTGAGCTCGGGGCTCGTGCCGCCAGAAGGAGGGAGGGGACAGCGGGGAGACATCCTTTCCCAGAAAGCTCATCCCGATTCAGGACCTGGGAGCCTCTGGGCTTGAGGAAAACCGTGATGCAAATTTGCAGTCCTTAGTGGGCCTCGTCCACCTGTGGACGAAACTGTGGAGACCAGACAGGCCTGCCCAAGGCCACTGCTGACGGTGGTGGCCATCGGGAAAACCAATGCTCCAGGGTTCCGGGGTGATTTTCCCCTTTTGAATGGTGTGAATAGTTGGTGGGCAAAGGTAAAGGACCATACAGAAGATCACAAACAAAAAGCAAAACTTTCTTGCCTTGACCCCGTGTTTATGCCCTGGCTCTTCTCCTCAGAGGCAGCCGTCTTGAACCAATTAAAAACCAATTAAAAATGCTCATTTGCTCTGTGTCACTCTGTGTATCTGACCGTGCAGGGCCCTGCCCCTGCCCACACTTGTCCTAACCGAGCCGGCTAACCCTCGCCCACGGCCGCCCAGCTTCCTGCTGATGCCCGTGTAATTTGTCATCAGCCTGCTCGGGACACAAGGCATGGATGGGGGAGAAGCCCCCCATAACGGGGCACTTTTGTTCTTGGCCAATGGCTCCAGGCATGGAGGAGGCCGGCCCCTGACTCGGTTTCCCCGCGACACGGATGCTTGGGTGTGGCTTTCATCCTCCCTACCGGGAGATGTGGGCGTGGGACAAGGATGGGAGACGCAGCTCTGCTAAGGGCAGTTTGAGCCACATTTCACCTTTACCTCAATGGTCTGGATGCGATGGAAGAAGGAATTCATCCTGGAAAATGCCAGAGAAGAAGGGAATTCCCAGGGCACCGGCTCCTTGTCCTACGGGAGACACAGAGAGGAGGTTGTGCGCGCCTCAAACACTCCTGCGGACGCCTGGGAGCCCGCGCCCACACGTCCTTGATCTTGCTCTGAAATCAGGCCGGACCTTAAAGAAAAGCTTCATGTTTGCGCAGCAGAAATCATAGGCGCGGTAAAGCTCCTTCAGAACGTTCACGGACAGAGAGATGTTGCTCAGAACCTCCTCTGTTTCTCCCTGCAAGCCTTTCAGCACCTCTTCTGGGCTCAGGAAAGTGCGCGTCTGGGCAGAAGAGAAGACATTCCAGTCCTGAGAGCGCTCTGGGGTGAGGTCCAGGGTCTGCTCGGCGGGCTACAAACAGCCCGCCTCGGGGCCCACAGTCGGCTCCTTCAGACACGTTAGCCGTCCCTGAGGTCCAGGTCCCGACCCGTCTGCCCACTGCCGGCCCATTTTCATTCGGGAGACTGAGCTGCTTCCCTGTGCGGCCCCACACCCCCTACGGCTGCAGCCGAAACAGATCTGGTCCCAGATGACTGGGGGCCCTTCAGGGCCCGAGAAATCCAGTCCTGCCCCGGGCGGCGGGAGCCTGGACCGCAGGGCCCTTCCGGGCAGCAAGCACGATTTTAACCCATGCGGGATGCCCAAACAAAACGCTCGCGGCCGGCTAAGGAGTGCTTGGGAAAAGGAAGGAAGACAGGGAGTCTGCGTTGAGGAAGACAGGAGGCAGGTCAGTGTAGGAGCAGATAAACCCCACGACCCTGGCCGAGGCCTGGGGTCCTGGGACTCGGCGGGTAGCCCCATTTTTTTCCTCCTCCCTCCCGCCGTGGGGCCGCTTGGGCTGACACTGCCCAGTCTCGGGAGAACTGTGGGTGGCCACCAAGCTCAGCCTCGGGCCTGGAAACCCCAGTGCCGACATCTTTGCCTGTTTTTAAACTGCCAGGGTGGCGTCACCAGGTAAGCGTCCGACTCTTGAAGATCTCGGAGTCCTGGGATCGAGTCCCCTATCGGGCTCCGTGCTCCGCAGGGAGTCTGCTTGGGATTTCTCTCCCTCCGCTTCTCCCCCCAGCTCATGAGCACATGTGCGCGCTCTCTCTCTCCCACTCTCTCCTCTCTCCCCCAAATAAATAAAATAAATCTTAAAAAACAAAAAACAAAAAACTGCCCAGATACACGGGCAGGGGGGAAGCCGAGCAGGCAGGGAGAGGCCCCAGTCGGGAGGCAGAGGGCGGCACGGTGGGGCCAGGTTACCATCTCGATGATTTGGTTGCAAAACTCCTGCAGGATGACGATGAGCCTGGAGGGCGTGTTGTAGTGCTCGGACGTGGCCCAGATGAAGCAGACGGTATAGAGCACCTTCGCAATGAAGGTCGGGAGCTGTGGGGAGATGGGCGGGTATGCAGCCCCTCCGCCCTCCGCTTCGCAGGGCCCCGGGAGGGCACCCCAGAGGGGAAGGAAGAGGCGCTCCCCAGGACCACGCAGCCCCTCCCGGCCAAGAAGCCCACAGCCCCCACGCCCCTAACGCAGCAGACCAGCCCCTAAGAGTGGCCTTTCTCGGGCTGACACACCATCGTGAAGTCGGCCTGCTCCATCTCCTCCAGCAGGATCCGCAGAGGCTTCAGATACAGAACGATGTCGCTGGCCTCCTTCAGCCCTGCACGGAAGGAGAGCAAGCGCTCGCGCGGCCCCGACGGTCAGAGACGGGGACCGGCGGCTCCATGCTCGTGGACACCTGCTCCCTCAAGACCCAGGACCTTCCCCAGAGGAAGGTGCGTGTGGGCAGGCGCCGCGGCCCCCGCCAAGGACAGTGCCCCTTCCTCAGCTCACCCTCCATGACGTCCGTGTACACGTTTTGCAGGGCTGGGCAGTAACAGCTCTTGGCTTTTTCCAGGATCTCAACTATTTTGTTCACTTTGGGCCTATTCAGCTGAGAAACAGAGAACAGGAAGCTCGGGGAAGCTCCAGAGAGGCTCGGAGACCCTACACAAAAGGCACCTGACCCCGCGGCCGCTGGAGCCCAGGACTTTGTGCAGGTTATCCGGTCCCCTCGGGGGCCCTGGGGGTCCGCACAGAGGGGTGGACGGGTCACGAATCGGCCTGGCCAGCACGTGGGCCCTCTGGCTGCAGAGCCACGGAGGCCCACTCACCACTGTGGAGAGGAGCTGTCACCTGCTCATGGATGCACTTGAGATTCATCAGCCGGGCATCCCAGAACTCAAACTCAACTCGGGGCAGGGGGTGTAGCCCATCCAGCAGGGGCTGGGCCGAGTCTTTGCTCAGCACGTCCCGGATCTGGTGGGACCAGTCGATGATGATGGTTTCGATGGCATGCAGCAGTGAGTTGTCCAGAGAAGGGGGGATCCTGCAGAGCAGAAGGTCAGGCAAGATGCTCTCCCAGCCGCAGGGATGGGGTTCTACCAGCTCCGCCCCTTCTGGGCAGGAATCATCCCTCCCCCGTCGCCCTCGGGACAACCTCCCAAGCAACCACCAGCAGCGCCCCATCTCACCCCATGTCCCAAGCTCCTCGCAACCACTGTGGGGAGGCAGGAGAAGTGCCCAAATCTCCCAGCTAAGAGAGGCCAAGTGTGGAATAAGAGCCATGTTCAAGGTGGCTCCTCTCGGCCGTCCTTATTGGGGTCACACAGGCATGTGCTTGGGGTTTTGTGGATGACTCCCAGTGGGGCTCAGTGTGCTGGGGGTCACAGGTCAGCGACTCCTCCAGCCGGCCAGGTGCCCAGGCTGGGCCACCTACCTCTCCATGGACTCCAGCGTGCCATCCAGACTCCCCAGGTGCTCCGGGATGGGCAGCAGGGTCTTCCCTTTGATCTTGCCCCCCATCACGAACATCTCATTCTTCAGCTTGTGGACTTGCTTCATGATGTCTTCCGAGACCACCCGGGGCCATCCACTCAAGTTTTCACTTTGGTTTAACAGGGAGTAGAGCACCTGGAAGGGAATGGCTCTGTTCATGTGCCCAGACCTCCTCCGACCCGGTGGCTCCCAGGAGGAATGGGGAGCCCTGGGTGCCTGGAACCCACCCAGGGGAACCAAGTCCATGCCGGAATGAGGCGTGGCCAGTGGAGGGGCACAGACGCAGGATGATGGCCTAGCAGCAAAGCTATCTCTGAGAAGGGGACTCACAATGTTTGCTGAAAGCAGATGGCCCGTGCGGCCTTGGAGAGCTGTCAGGGGCTGAGCCGGGTCCCCCAGTGTCACATGTTAAAGCCCCAACCCCAGCACCTCTGGGTGCGGCTGTCTTTGGAGACGAGCTTTTCAAGAGGTGACTAAGTTAAAATGAAGTCCCGTGGGTGGGCCCAAATCGCATGTGACTGGTGTCCTTATAAGAAGAGATGAGGACACAGACAGACACAGAGGGACAACCAAGTGAGGCCACGGGGAGGTGACAGCGTCTACAAGCCCAGGGGAGAGGCTACAGAAGGAACGGGTCCTGCCCACGCCTGGATCTGGGAACTCCAGCCCCCAGGACTGTGATCCCTTGTCACGGCAGCCCGAGCAGACTCACGCAGATGCCCCAGCATTCCCGCTGCAGGCCTGCCAGGCTCCTCTTCCCGATGGGAGGGGAGGCTGGCCTGAGTCCTGGAGGAGGGGCTCCTGTGCTCCAGGTTCGCACAAGGCAGGGAATTAAGTCCCCATCTCACGCATGAGGACAGCAACGGCCAGAAAGCTAGGTCACTCGGACTCTGGCTGGTGTGGCTGCCCAGAGCGGGCCGCACCTGCCGCCCCTGCCGCCCCTGCCTGGGGTGACACTGGCAACAAGGTAGGACAGTGGGGAGATGCACCAAACTGCACCCTGTTCTTTCTCTTTCTTCACACAAAGTCTCAGAACTGGGAAACCCATCTACTGGGACTCAAGTGGCCCACACCCTCTGACGCCGTGGGCAGGGGCCATGCCCGGTGCATCCCGAGGTCCCACGACACCAAGAGAGGATGAGGTGCTGGCTGGGGCCTCTCAGCCCTCGGGTGCACAGCACCGCCTGGAGGTCTGGGCAGAATGCAGATGTGTCCCCGCACCAGGGTGGGCAGGGCCTGGGCTCCTGCATTTCTGATCGGCTCCCTGTGGGCCACTCTCTGGGCAGCCGGCCTCTAGGCCACTCACCAAAAGCACGAGAAACAGAGATTGTCCCCCCGGCGCAGCCTCCCCCACCCCGGGCACCCACCTCCTCCACGACGGCGATCAGCTGTTCCACGGGCGCAGGACTTATGTCCCCGTAGATGAGGCGGTCCTTGTAGGTATCCTTGCTGATGTTCTCCCGTCCCTTCTTGATGAAGTAAACCCCTTTGGACTTGAGGGAGGCGGGGAAGCCCAGGCAGGGTATGATCATGCCGGCGGGGCTGAGCGTCAACACCAGAACCAGGACGTCTGGCTTCTCGAAGAATTCGGTGAATAAGGCCATGTTCTCCTCGGCCCCGACCAACTTGCTCCACTTGTCTGGCTTGAACTTCAGAATGAGGGAAGCTACTCCCTCTAAATACTCCAACCTGACGTCCGGTGTGATGGTCATCGTGGCGCTTCCTTACAGCACGGTCCTCCGGCCGGCGCACGGAGACCCTGACGCAGCACCGTGTGCGGGGGGCTCACTCCCCACCTGTCTCTGGAGCCGCTCGCAACCTCTGTCCTGACCAAGCAAGGCGACGAGGTTCCTCGCGAGTGTTCGCTCTTCCACTGGGTGTGGGCTGGGGGCAGGGAGGGACAAGGGGGTCCTGGCTGTCTGCCCTGGCTGGACCTCTGTCGTCGTGGGGCAAGGGCCACACAGCGGCGGTGGTGTGGGCTTGTGTGAGTTGTGACCAGGAGGCTAACGGCTGGGCGAGGCAGAGATGGGCCCGGGGGAGAAGGGGAGGCAGGAGATGGTCGCAGCCAGGTGGCCTGCAGGTGGTGGGGTGGGGGGAGGCCAGATGAGATGAGAGCAGGGTCAGGTTGAAGGGTCCCGGGGAAGACATCGCACACCCCTGGGGTATGGGCAGAGCTCCGAAGGAGCTCCCTTCACACAGAGAAAGGCTCACCAGCTGAGCAGATGCTGCTCCAGTCGTAGGCAGGGCCAACGGATGGGCAGCTCTTTTCCAGACCAGAAAGGAAATGGCTCCTTTTCCTGGAGGCGCTCCAACTGCCATGGAACTTCTGCAGGTCTCCTCGGCACCGGGGACTTCTAGAACCTTCTCCTAGGGACCTGAGTGACCAGTGGTGGGGCAGCAAACGAGCAAGCCTCCATGGCCCGCCACAGGGGGGAGGCTCTTGGACTGTAATATTTTTTATTTTATTTTATTATTATTTTCTTAAACATTTTATTTATTTGTTTGAGAGAGAGAGCGAGAGCAGGTGAGCATGAACAAGGGGAGAGGCAGAGGGAGAGGGAGGATAGACTCTCCGCTGAGCAGGGAGCCCGATTCGGGGCTTGATCCCAGGGCTCTGGGATCATGACCTGAGCTGAAGGCAGACGCTTCACCCCAGGCGTCCCGGGCCGTAATATTTTTTAAACTCAGTTGAACAATCTTTGCCTTTGAACTGGAGCATTCAGTCCACGTTCAGTTCCTGTAACCCCCTACTACATTGGGATTTATGTCCATTGTCATATTGAGTGCTTGGTATTCTCCTTTCTCACCCTTCTTCTGGATTATATAGTTTTTATTATTTCATCTCCTCTCATTACCTTGGTTATTATCCATCTTTTATTTTCCCTTTAGAGGCTTGGAGACATCATAACGTGCATCCTGACTTACCCCACTATAATATTCACTGCAACCCAATCATGAAATTCAGAAAACAATTTCCATTTACAATAACATCAAAACAATTCTGCTTACAATTCCATTTACAAGAGCGTCAGAAAGAATAAAATACTTAGGATTAAATTTTAAAAGGAAGTGCAAGACTTATAAGCTGAAGACCACAAAACGTCACTGAAAGAAATGAAATACTTGGGTGGGTGAAAAGGCATCCCTTGTTCACAGCTCGAAGACTTAATCTTGTTAAGATGACAATTCTCCTCAAACTGATCTGTAATCAATCTAGATTCAGGAAAATCCCTGTCAAAATCCCAGCCACCTTTCTTGCAGAAATGGGAACGCTGGTCCTCCCTATCACAGGGAAATGTGAGGGACCAAGAAGAGCCAAAGCAATCTTGAAGAAGAACAAGGTTGGAGGACTCGCGCTTCCCAAGCATAACACTTCCTACAAAACCACAGTAATCCAGAAGGAGAGCTTCTGGCCCAGGGATGGACGTCCAGATTCAGGGACTAGAACAGAGGGCCCAGGAATCACTGCACACCACATGGGCAGTTGGTGTCAGACAGGGGTGCCAGGACGGTCCAGTGGGGGAAGCAGCAGCCTTTCCAAGAGATGATGCTGGGACAAGTGGACTGCCACACGCACCCCCACCTCACACCATCTACAAAAATTAACTAAAACTGTAAGAGCTACAACTATAAAACCCTTCGGGTAAGACATAGGAGTAGATCTCCATAACCTTGAAGGAAGCAGTGGTTTCTTAGAGAGGACACCAAAAGCATGAGATCAAAGAAAATAGTGGATAAATGAGGCAACATGGAAATTAAAAATTGGGGGGCTTCGGGGTGCCTGGGTGGCTCAGATGGTTAAGCGACTGCCTTCGGCTCAGGTCATGATCCTGGAGTCCCTGGATCGAGTCCCGCGTCGGGCTCCCTGCTCAGTGGGGAGCCTGCTTCTCCCTCTGACCCTCCTCCCCCTCATGCTCTCTGTCTCTCATTCTCTCTCTCTCAAATAAATAAATAAAATCTTTAAAAAATTGGGGGGTTCCAAAGGGCACTCGAAAGTGAGAAGACCACGCACAGAATGGGAGCCAATATTTTCACATCTTCTATCTGATAAGGGACTTGCACTCAGAATACATATGTAACTCACAATACGAGAATAAAAATACAAACAATATAATTAGAAATGGGTGAAGGACATAGATTGACTTTTCTCCAAGAAAGACACACAAATGGCCAATAAGCACATGAACAGGTGTTTACATCATTAGTCGTCAGGGAAGGAACTCGTGTGTGGCGCCCAGAACCTTCGAAGTCATGGAGACGGAAAGTTCCCATCGCCCAGCCCTCTGGATGGGCACTCCCCTGCAGCACGTGGCACAGTCTCTGGGCCGTCGCAGGCCTTCTGCAAATATTACTGAGGGAACAAAGGCTCTGAGAAGTCCTGCAGAAAGGAGGTCCGTTTAACCTCATCCAACCCAGTGTTGGGTTGGCGGCGCTTTTCTTTCCTTGAGGCCCCATCCCTTGTTTGAAATGCTAGATCCGGGTCTAGATGGTCCAGCTTCCTCTACGATTGTGCTTCCCTGGGGTCTGTGGGTCCCCGAGACACAAAGGATTGAATGTCTCCTGCTGAAATCATGCAGGTACAGGGGGCTCAGGGAGCTGCCCCCGCGCCCTCGAACCACCACCCTAGGGCTCCAGGGTGGGTGCTGTGCCTGCTTTGAAGGAGGGACTCATGGGTGATCCGGAGCTTCCTGGCGGGTCACACCTGAGGTCCTACCCGAGCAGAGAAGACACAGGATGACCCATTTTCTGGGTGGCTCAACCAGCTTTCGATATGGACACACTGCCCACGTTGCAGCAGGAACAGCGGGCCCTTGGGAAATGGCCAGGGCGCCGTGTGAAGCTTCCGGACTGGCTAGTGCCCTCGGAGCAGAGCAATGAGAGGCCGACTGCAACCCTCCCCGCCAGGGCCACCAGCTGGGCACACCATTCCCACACTTCGTTTGCCCTGACAGTCAAAGACCACTGCCCTGAGAGTTCAGCCTCTGCTTACGGTCCCCAGGGAGCACGTGCTCCCCGCCCAGCTAACTCGGAATGCAGGTGCCCCACAGAAATGACCCATCACTACGCACAGTTGCAGGACGACACCCCCCCCGCTGGGGACGCTTGCCCACAGCAGGAGGCCGGCCATCTGGGTCAGCCCTCGCCACCCCACACGCCCTGACACGTCCTCATGCCGAGGTCCCGGCAGAGGGGGCGGGGAGGACAGTCAGCCTTTGTCTTGCTGCCCAGGCACGACCTTGCCCTGGCGCTGGGCAGAAAGGGAGGGCCGAGCCCTGCCCGCCCGGCTGACCCTGCCGGGCACTCTTCTTCCTTCGTGGGGATGACAGTGTGGCCAGAGAGATGTCTCGGGCCTGCGAGGTTTCCAAACGTCGCAGCAAGGCCCTGCACCGTGGAGCCAGGGGGCCTTTTCTAGCTTTGGGGCTCTCTGCATAGCTAACCCCAGGGAGGAGGCCCCAACGGGCCACGGAAATGTGTGGGTTGCAAGCTGTCCAGGCTGGGAACGGGGCGGGTCAGTGTGAGCACTGCACAGCCAAGTCTGCCTCTGCCCGCCCAGGGGGCCGTGGGCGGTGTGGGGTGTTCCCTGAGGAAGCAGGCGGCTGCCAGACAAGCCTCACGGGGGTGGGCCCAAGAGAAACAGAGCCGACTCGAGTCCAAGCCCAGAGACAGACTCTTCGACGCTACTATGATGTAGGAGAGAGCCGGACCCCACTCCAAACGCAGCCAAGACAGCGGCTCTTCCAGCCCCGAGCAGCCACAGGCCACGCTAGGGGACCGGGTTCTAGCTAGCGGCAGCCAAGGACTGAGACGCACGGGCGGGCGGGGGACGAGGACCTTCCTCAGATATGGAGGGGGGCGGGGACCGAGCAGGATGCTTTGCTCAGAGGGGCTTAGGCAGACCTAGAACCTGGCCCAACACCTAGAGGCAGCCTGTCGAGGAGAAGGCTCAGCGGGACCTGTCCTCAGTTTGGTCAAGAAAAGAATCTTTTGGCTTCAGCCTAGTGAGGGGTTCTGAGCTTGGGGGGACAGAAGGAGTCGATCCTCGGGGCTGCAGACAGAGGGCTCCCCCCCGCCCCGTGGCTCTGGCTGGACACCATCAGGGCACTTTGAGGGACAAGGTTTATCACTCACGAGTCCTGGAGGGAACGCAGCATGCCCAGGGCCACACGGCAAGGTCATAGGAGATGGGCTCTCCCTTTATTAGGGTCCAAAGGTGGGGCGTCTGGGGTTTTGCGGGGTTGTTCACTATTGGCTAACTCGAAGGCTGCGCATAGAATCAGGGTTCAGGAGAGCGGAGCCCGGGTCACTCAGGCAGCTCGTTAGTGAGGTAGCCTTGTGTCGTCTGAAAGGGGAACTCCGCGGACGGGGGGCCTAGTACCCCATCTGGTGGTTTTGCTGGTGCTTATTCAAGGTGGAAGTCTTACAGCCGGAGCCTCTGCATCCCATCTCAGTGTGAGGCATGCCTTCGAGTCCACACTGGGACCCATGCCCTGTCCCCCTGCCAGCATCCCTGTGTTCATCGGAACTGGCTCTGGATGATGCCAACCCAGCTCTTTCACGTGCTGGCCCTGGGCTCAGCCCAGCTGAGAGCCTGTGAGCTTGATCTTCGTTTAGGGCAGTGGTTCTCGGGTCTCCGAGTCAGGTCCCTGGAGCTGCAGGGGCTCCTGGGAGCAAGTTAGGGACGCAGGCTCTCAACCCCGCCCCAGAGTGGTGGGAGCGGGGATCTGGGGCCAGGCCCAGCAGCCCTTATTGTAACGAGCCCCCAGGAGATGCTCATGCACAGCAGAGCATGAGAACCACTGGTTTAGAGTAGAATTTTGCCTCTGCTTTGAGTCCCGTCATTTGAAGTAGCCCTCCTGGGCTTCCTTTCTTTCTGGTCACTCACGCTTGAGGAGAAGCCCTCCCCAGAGCCTGCCTTCCCTTCGACGAGCCCCACTGGTGGGTTCCTTGAGGACCAGGTGTCACCTCACGTGGTGGTTGTCCAGTGACCGCACCGTGGAATCACGTGGGAAGTTTCTGGAACTAATGGTGCCTGGCCCTGCCGCCCCAGGGTCAAGGCCAAATGTCCAGGTTTTAAAAGCTGCCCCATGGGTCTGAGTGGGGAATCCCTGCCCCCGGAGGCTTCAGTGCCCCTGAGAGGTGAGTCTCGCTGCCCTCCCCCATCTGCAGCCACGTTCACCCCAAAGCCCTTGCAGCTGGTTCATCGCTGCCTGTCTGTCTCCTAACAGGACAGACCTTGGAGGTCCCCTGCAGTTCTTCCAGGAGGGGCTGGTGCCAGGCCCGAGGTCTCTGCCCAGCTTCTGACCGTTCCTTCTGTGCTGGCTGCTCATCCGTTACGTCGCGTCGGCACGCTCTGGACTCGGGAGGCCGGGGGAATTCGAGGACAGGCTGGCCTTCCAGAGACCCATGGTCGCCCAGCTCAGCATCCACCAGAAACTTGGAAATACCAAATACTGCTTTCTTAAAAGGACAAAGACCTCTTTTCTCTGGACTAGTTTTTTTAAAAGTTGAACTGCGTTAGTGAATAATCTCCTCTTCGATGACTTGGTTTATAATATCTCAACCTGGAAAATGAAGATCTCCAAGGTGAAAATCAAGTGCTCTGAGTCACCCCCGAGGGTCAGAGCAATGGCACGAGGCTGTAAGACTCTGGGCTTTTCCCCCTGCAAACTCCATCAGCCTCCTGATCCATCCTGCTTTGCTGGAGGGCTCAAGTTCAACTCTGAATTTCAAGGGAGGGAGACAAACACAGCCCTGGGGGCTGAGCCCCTGCTGGAAAGGCTTCTCGGCTTTGTTTGCAAAATTAAATGTGTTTTGAGTGTAATAAGTCAGGAAAGCGGAGTCTGAAGGTCTGGAAATGAAATTTCCTGCCTGTGGTTTGACTCACGCCTGTCTGTCTCTAATCTACCCCAAGGACATTTGTTCCAGTGTGACAGGGCTGGACTCTACCTCCCCTAGACTCCTCCAGGGAGGGAGAAGATGGTCCGGGCTGATGGGGAAGCTTTGCGGAGGAGCCTGCGCGCCCGCAGGACACCTTTCCAGACTCCCCTCATCAATCATCCCCGGGCAGCTGGGGGGATTTATCCCCCACGGCAGGCTCCCTCAGCCTGGCCTCTGAAGGCTGCTCAAGAAATAGGGAACTATGAATCTCAGCAGTCCCTTGTCTTTTCTGTCTTCTTTGCTAGTGGTGTGGGAAACAAAGGCAGAAGGAAATGTAGATAAAATTAAATGTCCTTATAACCTGCAGCCCATCAACAAATACTTGAGGCGGGCAGAGTATAATGTTCCTCCAGGAAAATCCCAACTGTCTTAATGTTAATGCCTCACGAGAGGGAAAAACATCCTCAGTTTGACCACAGCCAGGCCCCCAGGATCCTGTGAGTCTTCTTTAGCAGATCAAAGTCCTTTTGGAACTTCCCTTTGTCTTGATTTCCCCCCAACCCCAAAGTATGTAATCCTTGCTCCTCACAATCCCAGGATGGGCAGCTATTTCTGCCCAGGGGTCCTGTCCCCCTGCTTTAATGAAGTCACCTTTTTGCACCGAAGACGTCTCAAGAATTCCTTTGTGGGCTCCGGATCCCCAACAATGCTATTCCAAAAAAACTCCATCCCTAGTGATGTGGGAACAAAGGCAGAAGAAAAATTATTAAATGTCCTTACCACTTACAGCCCATTGACAAGTCCTTGGAAAAGGCAGCATGACCTTCCTTTAGGGACACAACTGCTTGGATGTGGACACTTTGCTAAGGGCAAAGGCAATCTTAGCCCGACCCTCCAGGACCCTGTAAGTCTTCTTTAACATAAAAATTCCTTTGGAAACTTCCTTCATCTCTACCCCCCAAGATACATGTTGGCAATCATCCCCCAGGCATGTGGCCCACTGATAGACATCTGATGGGTCTCATGACTCAGGTTTTATTAGACGGTAGTAAATGACCTTTTCCCAACAATAGCTAGCCCCTCAAGGTCCTGCAAACCTTGCTTCCAAAATTCCTTAAGGACTTTCGCTCTCTCTAACCCCCTCCCAACTTGAAAGTATGTAATGGGCCACCACTCACGACCCCGGTGCCGCTCTTTCTGCCCACAGGTCCTGTCCCCGAGCTTTAATAAAACCACCTTTTTGCACTGAAGAAGTCTCAATAATTCTTTCTTGGCCATCGGCTTCGAACCCTCACCGCTTTCCTACATCACGAGCCCACAAGCACTGACTGTCCCGGTGCGCCTGGGGCCAAGGATTTCCCGGGACCTGGGACTTCTGGAACTAGACCCTGCAGAGTCGGGGACACTGCGGCTTGTTAGTGACCCTCATGCTGTTGCCAGTGCCCCACCGACTGCAGAAGGGACGGGGCTGGCTGTTTCTCCGGAACCTTCCAGGAATCGAGGAGAATTCACTGTGGTTCTCGGAGAGGTGGGGGACTTTCTCAGGACCACCCATTTTGTAATGAGTGGAGCCAGGTTTAGAATCTGATTTTCCAATTCGTCAAATGCTGCTGGTTTACCCCTCAAGGGACCATTTTAATTGCAAAGCTTTATTTTATATTCTTGGGTGGTCCTCTGACCAGACCACCTGGGGATCTGGTGGAAAGGAAGTCCCTCCAGCCCCTATGCCTCTCATCCCCTCCCTCCCACTCCTCTGCACCCCCCAGTTCCCTCTTGGTCACACCTTGCATTCCTGTGGGATGCATGTTGCAACTGATGAGCCAACACTGACACATTATTTATTCTGTAACTAAAGTCCACAGTTACCTCTTGGTGTTGCACCCTCCCTGGGTTTGGATGAACGTGTGGTGATGACAGGTATCCACCACTGCAGCCTCACACAGAGGGTCTCACTGCCCTGAATATCCTCTGTGCTCCCCGCTCCCCCCTCCCCAACCCCAGCTGTCCCCATAGCTCTGCCTTTCCCAGAATGCCATGCAGTTGGAATCACACCGCAGCCTTTTCAGATGGGCTCTTTTCACCGAGCGACATACATTTAAGATTCTTCCATGTCTTCTAGTGACTGGCTAGTGCTCTCAGTCTCTTAACCACTGAACAATATCCCACTGTCTGGATGGACCAGTTGATTTATCCATCACCTACTGAAAGGCATCTTGGTGGCTTCCAAGCTTTAGTGATTATGAATAAGGCTACTATAAACATCCGTGTGCAGATTTTTGTGTGGAAGTAACTCTTAAGCCCCTTTGAGTGGACATCAAGGAGTGTGACTGCTGGATCGTATTGTGGGAGCGCGTTTGGTTTTGTAAGAAACCTCCCCACTGTCTTGCGAGGTCGCTGCGCCGTTGTGTGTCCCCACGGCGGCAGGTGAGCTTCTCCACGTCCGCGCCGGCGGTGGGTGTGGTCGGTGTTCGGGATCTTAGCCCCTGTGATAGGCGTGCAGTCGTGTCTCCTTGTGGTGGTAATTCTCTCGTTAGGGACTTGTAGGACATGGAGTCCCTTTTCATAGGCTTTTTAATCATCTGTGTATCTTCTTGGATGAGGTGTCTGTTTAGATCCTTCGCCCAGTTTTTAATTGGGAAGAGAAATCTTAAAATGAGATATTTTTAAAAAGCCACAGCCACGTACTGTAGGAATCCATTTATATGAAGTGTCCGGAATAGGCAAAACCATAGAGACCGAGGGCTGACTGGCGGTTGCCAGGGGCAGGGGGAGGAGGAGGAGGGATGGGAAGGGACGGCTGGCGGGGTGTCCTTGCGGGCTGATGAAAAGCTCTGGAACTCGATGGGGTGGCCTCATAGCACTGTGAACGACCCAAACGCTACTGAATGGTTCTCTTTAAAACGGTTAAGAGGGTAAATTTTGTTCCATGTATATCACAATAAAAAAAAAAGAGAAAAACCCCAGCTCTGTGGCAAGGGTGTGAAGAACACCGCATCAAACAGGGACCTGCCCACGGTGGGGTCAACAGTGACCCGGACGAGGCGTCTCCCCCGAGGACCCCTGCTCTCAGCACGGAGCAGGGATCACGGAAACCTCCCTCCACCTCCCCCTGCTCTGCTTGCTCCGTCTGCTCGGGAGGGTCCCAGGCTGCCCCCTCCCCGCCTCAGGTGACAGTCGCTGGGGTGGATCACTCCCTTTGTACCAGTCTGTACAGATGGGATTCTGACACCACCAAGTCACCAACAAGGCTCCCAGCCAAAGCACCCTGTCCTCAGAGGGTAAAACAATTATTGCTCCCTAATCCCGGCCTCCCCCCTGCACTGCCCTGTTAACTTGCTCACCCGCTCACCCGCCCACCTGCTCACCCAGTCACCAGCTCACCTGGTCACCTACCCACCCACTCACCCGCTCACCCACTCACCGCCCACCTGCCCACCCGCCCATCTGCTCACCCAGTCACCCACTCACCCACTCACCCACTCACTCACTCACCCGCTCACCTGCTACCTGCTACCTGCTCACCTCCAGGCTCTCGCTGACTCCTCACTTTGGGATGCTGAAGGCCAGCTCCCTCCCAGCCCTCTCCCCCATGCCTGGCTCCATTCAGGGTCCTCAGTCACTTGGGGATGAAAAAGGGAGTTACAGCTTCTGTTTATTCCTCTGCTGTGATTAAAAACAACTCTGTATTCAGAGAGCTCACTGTAAAATGAAAGATCTGCACTGTAAGGACACTTCCATCCAGCAAAATTCAAGACACAAACCCCAGCTTCCACCTGGCTCCTCATCGCAGCACCGTTTCCCCAGCTAGGGTCCACGGTGGCTCGCTCAGCTCCCGGGGGCTCGGAGCCTCTGGGAGTGAGTGGATTCCCTGCCTCCTCCCCAAGTGGACGGTCTGGCTCGCGTGGGGAAGGCCGAGGCTCTGAGGGCAATACGTGGATCCCCCAGCGCAGCCGGCTCTGTCTTCTCTGGGAAAGAGTATCTGCAGGGGAACGGCCCGGACCCCCACCGCTGGGCGGGCTGACCGGCGATGCTCTGCCTGGCCTCCACCGCATCCCACCACCCTGTGAAGCAGGTGTCTGCGGGCCCGGGTACAGATGGCCCCTGGGCACGTGTGGCCCCTTGTCACCACTGAGTAGTGAAGGCCTCGGTACGTCCCAGCCCTCGGCTGACGTTGGGGTCCCAGGGTGATGAACCCGAGCTTCTGTGCTTAGTCCAGCTCCCTGAGATGCTGAGTGCCGACAGAGCTTCTCTCTCCTCCCCGCATCCCTCCTGCAGCCCCTCGTCCCTCCTGCAGCTTCTGCCCGGGGCCCAGGCCCTCCAGTGGGTCTCTGTCCTCGTCCTTCTGCCCAGACAGGGAAGAAGATGACTTTCCTGTTTTCGAGGGTGCGGCCCGTGATTCTCGGGCCTCCTGGTGAAATGGTTTCCTGAGAGGGGAAAACACGATCACCGGGCCGTGCCGGGAGCTCCCTGCGGTCCAGTCGGGAGTCCGTGAAGACCGAGTTCTCTGAGATGTGAACCCGTGTGCACCGGCCTCTCCCATCTCATCAGGATTCAGAGGGCATGGGGCCCGAGCGGTTGGCAACCTTGTCTGCAGGACCAGACGGTCAACAGTCTGAGGGCTGGCTGGGGTCGGTGACGCCTGCTCACCTCCGCCACCGGAGCTCTGAAGCAGCCACAGACCACGTGGGCACGGGCACGGCCGCGTGCCCTTGAACTTCACTTACGAAAACAGGCGGATTTGGAGGCCGTGTTGCTGACCCCCGGCCTAGAGAGAGGGGAAAGGGAAGGTAGTAACCAGCTTCCTCTGTTTCCTTCAAGGCATCCCCTGGCCCCAGGGGCGGAGTTGCCACTGACTCAGAAGCCTCCGCGACCCCCCCCACCAGCTGGGCCCCGTGAACCGGGCGGCTCCCAACCTCCTTGCAAGAGGAGGGGCAGGTAGATTCTTCCACACGATCCACGCGAGGGTGGGGCATCTCTAAACCACAGCAGCCCACGTATCTTCATGCTGCTTAGGTTCCCAACTATGACAATTTAAAAAAACAACTGTCGGGCGCCTGGTGGCTCAGTCGGTTGGGCGACTGCCTTCGGCTCGGGTCATGATCCTGGAGTCCCGGGATCGAGTCCTGCGTCGGGCTCCCTGCTCGGCGGGGAGCCTGCTTCTCCCTCTCCCACTCCCCCTGCTTGTGTTCCGTCTCTCGCTGTGTCTTTCTCTGTCAAATAAATAAATAAAATCTTTTAAAAAAAAAAATAAATAAATAAAAAATAAAAAAACAACTGTCCTCGACACCCTTGCAGACAGGGACTGGCCCAGTGCCGGCTGTGGACGGCGAGGCAGACAGCAGGACATGTGGCAGCCCCGTGTAGAAGGTGGCTCTCTCTGAACCTGCCACGCTGGAGAGCAAATCAGCACTGACTTCTGGGGTTAAAGCTTTGACCCTGACACGCGAGTGTTGCTGCCCCAAGTGGGCTGGAGCCTCTTCAAGTCGATTAGAGACGCTGTGCCGGCCCTGCGTGCGTCTGCGCAGGTCCCGGGCCTTCTAAGCCTCTTACGGGGAACTTGAGAGCGACCGCTAGAAAGCACGGCGAGGAACGGCGCCTGTCGTACTCCGCTCAGGCTGCCGGACAAGGTGCTCAGGCCGCGCGGTTCCCTAGCAGACACTTCCTATTCCTCGCGGTTCCAGAGGCCGGGCGCCCACAGTGATGCAGTCCTCACTCTGTGCTCGCTCCCTTGGCAGACAGGGAACGCTCTGGGGTCTCCTCTTCCAAGACCCCACCCTGGGGACCAGCTCTACCCCTACCCGCCGCCCCCAGGCCCACCTCCAAGTGCGGCCACCGTGGAGCTACGAAATCTGAGGGAACGGTCCGTGGCGGCCGGCGCTGCCGCCGTGGAGACAGAAAGGGATCCTGAGAGACACTTACTCCAAGAGCAGGCAGGAGAAGCGTAGAGGGAACATGGGAATGGACGGGACACGCGGAAAACAAACCGCGAGCTGGCAGGCCTGAAGCCGGTGGGCAGCCCCTGAGCCAGCGCCACGAGCGGGTGCAGAGAGACGGGCAAGGGCGACAGGCCGGGGGGGCTTCTGGGGAGGGAAATCAAAGTTGCAGTTTAGACCTTTGGGCCTTTTTTTTTTTTTTAAAGATTTTATTTATTTATTTGAGAGAGAGAGAATGAGAGACAGAGAGCATGAGAGGGGGGAGGGTCAGAGGGAGAAGCAGACTCCCTGCCCGACGTGGGACTCGATCCCGGGGCTCCAGGATCATGACCTGAGCCGAAGGCAGTCGCTTAACCAACTGAGCCATCCAGGCGCCCGACCTTTGGGCCTTTTAATCCCCCCAAATGAGGCATTTATAACCCTGGAAAGCAGCTCGCACAGCCCAGGCACCTGCGCCGTGGGCCGCGTGCAGCCCCCCGGGGAGCGAGGGGGGTGCCCGGGGGAGCAGGCACAGAGGTGCGGCTCAGGCGGAGACTTCAACACTGTTAGGAGCTTGTGCGGAAGGACACCCCCCCATTTCTGACTCCCCGTGAGGAAAAGAAGCTGGGAGCTCAGACTCCCTCCGAGGCAGACGGAAGTCATTCCCAGTAAGGAGCAGAGCGGAGCCAAGGCAGTTCATACTCCTGCCCTCGCAGAGCCACGACTCCTCCAGGTTCAGAACGGGGCGGTTTCCTCGCTGCTCTCCTTCGCGGGTGTTGGCCCAGCACGAGCACGGGGGGCCCGCCTCTTGTGAGGTCCTACCCTGGGGGCCGTGGGAGCGTGCTTACCGAAGAGCACCCCCTCACGCCGGCGTCCTGCAGGCTGGTTCCCGGCACCTGGACGGAGGACCTGGCCCCACCCCGGCCAAGCCTACACCTGTCCCGGGGGAGCCAGAAGGCAGCGGCTGGCTCACTCCCCACGACACGTGGGCAGCCCCCGCCCAGGGACCCTCTCCCTTAGCCCTTCTCCTCCACCCCTCCACCCGGAGAGGAAAGCCAGCCAGCCCGGGATCCGGATGGAGGGCTGCAGCGTGGGGGGCCCGGCGAAGGAACGGGCTCTGTCACGGGCACTGTGCGCTCACAAGGACAGAGCCCACGTGTGTTCTGCTCGCTCTTGAATCCCCAGCACCTGGCACATCCTTGGAACAGAGTTGCCTCAGGAAACACTTGTGAAATGAATGAATGAATGATTAATTATCAAAAAAGAAGCGGAAGCCATGACAGGGATGTAAAAGTCCATTCAAGCGTGTCGGGCTTTCCCGCCAAGCACAGGGCACCAGGCTGGAATGCAGGGACGGGAGGCATGCACCTCGGGTGCAAAATTTAAGGAAGGCCCCAAAACTCCGTGATCAAGATAAACATCACTAATGCAATTTTTAAAGAAAATCAAAGTGCACGCAAACAATTCATGACAATCTTTAAGTGAAGACAGGATTAGTAACGGTGCTATGGAATCAAGGGCGAGAGGAAGAACCTATAATACTGACCTTGGCCCCAGCCCCTACATTTTGCGCCCAAGCATCGTGCTCCGCTGGCCCCAGCCTTGCCCGGCCCTGCGCAGAAGAGACCTGGGAGACAGAAAAGAAAACCCTGAACCTCCCTTAACTCAGCAGACGGTAGAACTAAGGGACCTATTAACTCCAAAAGGCAGTACTGGCTGAAAATAGGGTTCACGAAGGGTTTTGATAAAGCCAAGAATAGGTTTAGGACAGAAATTAGGGATGCGCATTCGTCCAGAGAAACAGAACCGGTAGGATATGCGCAGAGATCACCGGAAAGAGACGTCCGACGAGGGGCTGGCTCCCGCGCTGGTGGAGGCTGAGAAGCCCCACGGCCTGCCGTCGGCCAGCTGGACACCCAGGGCAGCTGGGGGTGTGGTGCGGTCCAAGCCAAAGGCCCGAGAACCAGGAGCGCCCGCATCCGAGGGCAGAAGTTGGCGGTCCCGGCTCAAGCAGAGAGAGAGAGAGACTTAGCCTCCCTCCGTCATTTTGTTCTCGGCACCACCTGCTGGTGGCAGCGGGGGACACCTGCTTTCCTGGATTCAAATGCTAATCTCTTCAGGAAACACCCTCACAGTCCTGCCCAGAAATAGCTTACCAGCTGCCCGGGCATCCCTTAGCCCAGTCAAGCGGATGCATAAGATCACCCTCCACAGGACACTTGGGCGTATTTGTAAACTTTTGAAATTAAGGTCATGGAAGGTATGGAGGCTTGCCCATCAAATGAGATCCATTTGTGGTCCTGGAGGCGCAAGCCGCCTACCCCGCGGGACATTTCTTACTTTTAATTACAACGCAGCACAGGAGAGACTGACCTGATTACCAGAACGAAGCAAACGAAGTGGGTTCCCTTCCCCTGAACCCCCAACTCCAAGCTCCCAGCCTTTCTTGAGCGAAATGGACAGAGAAGTGTGGGGGTTCAGCTTTGTCCCCGCCCCGGAGAGGCCTGGGACAGGCCTCGTCCGTAGCCACTTGGGAAATGACCACGACACAGCCCTCTGTCCCCACACCAGGGTGTAAAGTCGCCCAGCAGCCGGGCCTGCGGGTCCATCTCCAGCGGCACAGCAGACCCTCAGGCCCTAGGCATGCTGCCCGCCAGGGCGCTGCAGATTTCATGGGAGCCCGCTTTCCCACTGAGCGCGAGAGGTGGAGCATACAACATGGCCAACAGCCAGACCATCCATGGCAGCAGAACCCTGACACAGCCCTTGCAGTGACCAGGCCAAACGGCCAGGATGGGGTCCTCGACCACCAGCTTCCCCCATCTTGCCTTTGCTTTCAACCCAGGACCAACCAGGGAGACACAAATATGCCCCCCTAAGCAACCACAAAGGATGTCCTGCTTCTGATTAGCCCACCACCAGCTGCCCACGCCCACGGCCCCCTACTCCAGTGTCTGCTCTCCCATCCCTGTGCCGGACGCAGCGGCGGTGGCCGGCTCCCCGCCCGGCCAGCTCTGAACAAGGAGCCCATGCTTCTCTCATTTGCAGGTCTGTTAACCTGCACAAGCAGACGGGGCGGCAATCCGTGAGACACCGAGCTTGTCAAACCACCGCTGTCTAGCCGGGGCAACTCCCTTGCATTTCTGGGCCCGATTCCTGCCCTGGAATCACTGAACGACATTTAAGAACCTTGATTTTCAGAATGACTTGACGAAGCTTCAAGCCTCACCCGAGAGCACAGCTCCCTTTAGCCGGGGCACGCTGCGCCACGGTGTTTCTCTGCATTTACGGGGGCTGGTAGCCACCCAGTCTTGCTAGGGCCGGTATCCGGGGTCCTTTTTCAGCCTGGTGCTTCCCAAACTACCTGTGGCAAAGGATGTGGTTTTTTTTGTCAAGGACACACTGGGAAATGTCTGCCCCATCGGAAGGCTTTTAAAGCTGCCGATTGCCAGAAGGGCTCTTCCACACGGAAATCGGATGCCTGCCCGGCGTGGGAGACACCTTTGGAAAAGCCCACACCGTGTGCTCCCAGGACCCAAGTCACCACCGCCTTGTACTTGGCCTGCCTACTTGCGGTGGAGGGTGCCTGATGCTCTTGTCTTCACCCCACTGTTTTCCAGGGAGCTTGAGAACCAGCTTCTCCTCTCGCGAGCAGGTTACGGAAACAACCACAATCCTCAAGAGCTTGATAATTCAAGTTATGTCAAGGAATATCACAGTAGACGAAGCTGTCCATTTGCTTTGAATGTGCTCAGATATTTGACATAAACCACAAAACGCAGAGGAAATCTCCAACTTTCCAAACCTAAGGAAGGAGACTCTAGGGAAGGGACTCCTGCCCGGCCACGTGCGCTCGCCGCAGGGAGCTGGCCGGGCCTCTTCCACCTGGAAGGGGTGGTCAGTGATAAAAAGCCAAGGGCCCCGGGGCCTCTTAGAAATCAAAACAAGGATAAACCGGAACGGGAGAGTGGGATTTCAGTTTTCAGACAGTGCTGCAATTCGTCGTGGGATGGAGACTTTTTCAGATTTGAGTTTGTGTGTGCAAGTCGTTTTCACGGACTGGAGAACACGGGTGTTGGTGAAGACACAGGGGAGAGAACAGTGCAAACACCAGACAGGCTGGGCCTTCAGGATTAAAGTGGGTTCTTTTCTGCCCAGAATGTGGCCACGCTTTAAGCTAAGGAATCAGGGGAACCTGAGTCCATGGACACGTGATTTCTGCCGTCGGGCTTTGCCTGGGCTGGTCTTTCGTAAGGACTCTGTGCTTTGAGACTAGCTCCTCTGAGCCTCCCCAACCCCTCACTTCACCGTGGGGGGAAGCGGTTTTGGGGACGAAGGGGTGAAGTAGGATACACCTACCTCTGTTCTTCCACGACCAGGGCAGAAGGGGCCTGTGGCACCAACAGTTCTCACAACGGGTCAGACCCCAGCGTGCAGGCATCACGGGAACCAGACCAGCCAAACCACAATGAGACACCACTTCGCACCAGGAGCCAGAGTCAAGACGGGTAACAGCAGGTGTTAACGAGAAATTGGAGCTCTCGCGCACTGCCTGTGGGGACATAAAATGGTGCCGTCACCGTGGAAAACAGTTTGGTGGCTCCTCAAAAAGCTAAACATAAAATTACCCCATGACCCAGGAATTCCACTCCTAGATACGTGCCCCAAAGAACTGAAAACAGATGCTGAAACAGACAGATGTACCGGCACGTTCACGGCAGCATCATTCACCACGGCCGAAGGTGAGAACAGCCGAGCGCCTGTCCGTGAGTGAATGGATACCCACGCTGTGGTCTCTCCAGACCACGGAATGGTGTTCGGCCACGGGGACACCTGCTAGAACACGGACGGACCCCGTAAACATTATGCTGAGGGAGAGGAGCCAGGCACAAAAGACCACATATTATAAGATTCCATTTCTGGCATAAAATACTCAGAAGAGGCGAATCCTAGAGACAGAAGGCAGGTGGTTGACAAGGGGGTGGGGGGTTGGGGGAAGGGCAGAACAGGAAGCCACTGCCCACAGGGTCCAGGCTTTCCTTCCGGGCAATGGACACGTTCTGGGACTGCAGAGAGGTGCTGGTTGCACAACAGTGTGATTGCCCTGATTGCTACTGAACTGTTTAAAATGGTTAGTTTCATGTTATGTGAATTTTGCCTCAATACGAACATTTAAAAAGAAAAAGATCTGTAAGTCTCCTCTCATCCCGTCGGCGTTTGCAGGTGTCATCAGGGAAGTGCTGTGTTTGAAACTGAGACACTGTCTACACGTCCATGGGACGCGGCTGAAATCCAGAGGGATAAGTCCTTGTGGGAGCTGGGGCGAGCTTCCTGTCACTGGCACGGAGCACCCAGCCTCACGGGGGCCCTGTGGGCCCCGCACCAGAGCAAGATGGGCCCCTTCCGGGGAGAGAATGAGAACGTTCCCCCAGAAAAAGGATCTGGAAAGTGGGTGACGGGTCCCTGACTGGTTTTCCACCGTAGACTGCGATCGGGGGAGAAAGTTCCAGAAGTCTCTCCTGAGGGAGGATTAGCAGGATTAGCAAGGCCTGTAACATCACACTCTGGCCTGAGAAACACCTGTGGCTGTGCTGGACCTCCTGCCTCAGGTCAGAGGACAGGTGAGGAACGCGAGCCACAGACGTGACAGCTGCATCTGGGCCCGCCGGCTCGTCAGCAGAGGGCCCCGAGAGGGGGACAGCGTCAGCACGCATGCCGATCCCCGCCCTGTCCTGGGCTGGACAGTGTCCCCCAAACCTGTGAGGGAGACCTTATTTTGAAGTCGGGTCTCTGCAGATGTGCTTAGTGCAGATGAGAGCCTCCTGGATCAGGGTGGGCCCTCACCCAGTGTGCTTGGAAGAAAACAGACACGAGGGAGAAGGCCACACAACATGGGGACAGAGATGGACAGGTGCAGCTGCAAGCCTGGGACGCCGAGGAGGGCGGGCACCACCAGGAGCTGGGGGAGACCGGAAGGATCCTTCCCCCGGCCCTGCGACACCCTGATTTCGGACTTCTGGCCCCCAGACGGTGCAAGAATTTTGTTTCGTTTTGAGCTGTCCAGTTTGTGGTTCTTTGCCGATCAAAATGGGATTTCTGTGTTGAGCCAGTGGTCTCGATGCCCAGGCTTTTTTTGGGAGAACAGAAGTCTCGCCTGTTTCCCCCTCATCCCGGACAGTCACTACTTCTGTGTCTCCCACCCAGAGCTGGTTCCGGGCAAGTGGATCGTAGGGTGACCCCTCACCGAGCACAGAACAGGAACGGAGGAGCGAAAAAGGCTTTGAGGCGAGAAGCTGCCCCACGACATCCTGCCTTTCCCTTGGCTTTTAGAACGTGCGCCCTCGAGGGGATGCAGACGCCTGTGCCCCTGGGTTGGACAGAAATGGTGGGAAAGAAAAGCACACCCACATTCCACACGGAACGTGCTCCAGGCAGTGACTCGAGACATTGTCCACTTGCTTTCTCTCTCATGCCAGCGCCCTCCAGGGATGGCCAAGGGTGACAGGGGGCAGCAAGGGAAACTGTGTGTGTGTGTGTGTGTGTGTGTGTCGGGGGTGTGTGTAAACTGGGAGGCTGGTGGGGGATGGGACCCGAAGACCATCAGATGAGGCCAGATGTCACCATGTAACTCCAGAATCGGATGAGCAGCCTTCACCGCCCCCAACCTGCAGGCAGCCACCGACACACGTCTCTGGGCACTACCCCACTGGCCGGCTCCCCAGGCAGGCTGCAGGGGTGCGGCCGGGACAGAGAGCTGCCACAGCCTCCCCGCTGCAGCTGGCCGCCGGGGTTTGGAGAGGAGCCTGGGCCAGATGCAGGCTGCAGTGCTCACACCTGAAGGGGGCAGGTGTTTACCGGAGAGAGACGAAGCTTTAAACTGGGCCATGTTAGAGAAAAATGCCCGACGGAACTGTTTATCCGGTTAAGCTGAGTTAAATTTAGTCTTCTTGTTGCCAAGCGGGAATGGGCTTGTCAGAGGCGCGTCTGAGTGGGGCTGGAAATAGAAGTGCACGTTTGCACACGGCAGGCTGGTAACAGTCAGTTCACACCTACTCCAAGACAAAAAGATGCACACTACATGAGCTAAGCACTGAGCCCAAACTACAGGGATAAAGAAAGAGCAAGGAATTAATAAAGGTGCAGGCACGAATGCATCCGTTCTTCCCGCCCCCAGGGAAAACCCACTCCAGACCGGACAATCAGGCCGAGAGCCGGCTGTTTGAAAGGGTCAGCAAGACAAGCAACGTCCAGCAAGATGGATCCATACGGGGCAGGGGAACGTAGTTAGAACCACAGATAGGAAGATTAAACGTTATAGATCTACAGGTACCATTTCATGCCAAGAATCTGAAATTCTAGAACAATGCTTCTCAAAACATGACCTCCTGACCACACAGTGTTCCTGTGGCAAAGGAAAGCACAGGGCAGGCAGGAGGCCCATGGTGTCCACAAACACGTGTCCCACGCCTGGAGCTTCCACGGTGGCGGGCGGCAGGGGCACCGCACTCCCACGTGCCTCGTGAGTTTCCATCCTGGTCCTTCTCTGTAATTCCTCACTCGGTCATCCACCCGACACCCCACTCACTGCCCTTATGTGAGGCTGTTCTCACCACCACACCTGACACCAGCCTGACCCCCAGCGTCACCTGTATACGCGTGTCCCCACCCTCTGCCTTCCCGCCCACCTGCTTGTTCTGGTCACAAGAAAGCAGAGTCTGGAGGCTCCGAGTCCTCATTTCCCCTGAGTGTGAATGTGTCTTGTTGGCTCCGACTCACCCCTCAGCTCACTCACCTGATGTCCCACTTCAGCTCCTACGTTCTAGTACAATAGAACTTTCTGATCCACATTGGCCAACAGATGATTTTATAATGCATAGCTCAGAAAAGACTCTCCTCTCCTGGATTCTTAAAATTAGATTCTTAATTAGAAAAAAGACCATTAAAAACAGGAGCTGAGCTTTGGGGGGGGGGGTGGGGGGGTGTGTGCGTGTGCTCATGCACGCATGGGTTCTGGGGGAGGGGAGCTTATAGAATAAAAAGGAGAGGGGCGCCTGGGTGGCTCAGATGGTTAAGCGTCTGCCTTCGGCTCAGGTCATGATCTCAGGGTCCTGGGATCGAGTCCCGCATCGGGTTCCCTGCTCAGTGCAGAGCCTGCTTCTCCCTCTCCCTCTGCCACTCCCTCTGCTTGTGCTCTTCTGTCTATCTCTCTGTCAAATAAATAAATAAAATCTTTTAAAAAAATAAATAAATAAAAAGAAGCGAAAAAAGCTGATTAAAAAAAAAAAAAGAATAAAAAGGAGAAAGAAGGATTTACCCACGAGGTATCTGACTCCAACCTGAGCCGGGCTGTGCTCCCCACACGGCATTCCAAGGACGCCTGTCATGAGCTCTGGATACGTGAGGCTTTAAAAAAGTGTTCTTTAGGGGCGCCTGGGTGGCTCAGATGGTTAAGCGTCTGCCTTCGGCTCAGGTCATGATCCCAGGGTCCTGGGATCAAGCCCCGCATCGGGCTCCCTGCTCAAGCGGGGAGCCTGCTTCTCCCTCTCCCTCTGCCATTCTCTCCACTTGTGCTCTCTGGCTCTATCTCTCTGTCAAATAAATAAATAAAATCTTTAAAAAAAAAAAAAAAGTGTTCTTTGTCCCAATACCTTTGGGACATGCCACAAAGCGCAGCCCTGGCTTGGAGACCCAAGGCCCCAAACAGAGAGCTAGCTTTGTTCCACCAAGCCCTGCCCGGCCGCACGCGACTGCAGGACCGCCCCGTCACGTCAACCTACTAACATCCTGCCCGCACGCCTGTTTCCCGGACCGCAGCTGGGGAAGAATGGGAAAGATCACAGGGGAAACACAAGTTCAGAATGTCTGGGGGACAATCCGAACCTCTCCAAACATCCTGCCTCCTAAAAGCGTAAGATGGACCCGCAGCACAAACGGGACGTGTGCCTTCTGGGTTACTGGGAGATGCAGGGAAAACCAAACTTCAAATTACCTCTGCAAAGAGTGTCACACTCCAACGGCGCTCTGGCTGCCACGCCCCTAGGATGGCCAAGCGTGTGGCTGGGGTGTGCTGCAGGTCCCGGTGAAGACAAAGCACAGACGGAATCATCCCCAGGAAAAGGAAAGTCCGCCATGACATCCAAAGACACCTGAGGCTGATCCAGCACCTGGTCGTTCAGAGCACCGCTGCAATACCGTGAATTATAAGACACAGAGATATTTGGTCTTTGTCTGAAGTTCCTGGCTCACAGCTCCTGGAGCCCTTGGGACTTCCTGAGTGAGAAGAGCAAGAGGCACATCTTTTGTCATATTTGGCTACTTGTCCTCAGTTACTGAAATGCTTCATTCGGAGCCATGACAGTGAAATGGGTGTTTTGTTATTCATAACCAGCCCCTTTCTTACCACAAATAGGCTTATGTTAATGAGGTGACTTAGGGAGAACACCTAAGGATGGGGGCTGGTTGCCAGGGGAACCAACCAGGAATACAGGGTTGAACTTTCAGCCCCACCCCTGACCTCCAGGAGGTGTGAGGGGCTAGAGGTTTAATCAAGCATGCCTATGTAATGAAGCCTCCATAAAACCCCAAAGGACAAGGTTCAGAGAGCTTCCAGGCTGGTGGCAGGTGCAGGGACAGGGAGAGTGGAATATCTGGAGGGAGCATGGATGCTCTGCACCCTTTCCCCACACCTCACCTTAAGTTTCTTTCCATCTGGCCCTTGACCTGCATCCCTTATCATAGCCTTTAATAAACCAGTAAACGTGTTTTCCCTGAGTTATGTAAGCTGCTCTAGCAAATTCATCAAACCTAAGGAGGTGGTCATTGGAACCTCCGATCTGTAGCCAATCTGCAGGCTCTCAGCTGTGCTTGCAACTGGTATCTGAAGTGGGGGTGGTGGTGACAGTCTTGTAAGACCGGGCCCTTAACCTGTGGAATCTGATGCTATCTTTGTGTAGATAGTGTCAGAATTGGGTTGAATTAAACTGAATTGCTGGTGTGCAAGAATTGCTTAGTGTTTTGTGTGGGAACATCCCCTCATTGGAATTGGATCCAGGGAACATTAAAAGATCAGGGTACTCTTGAATTAGGAACCCCATCCACCAAGAGACCTGGGGATAAAAAACTCAAGAGAAACTCTATACAAAGTTACTCTAAGAGGTAAATGGAAAATCTGAAACAAAGCATTTCTGTTGATGGAAATTCTCTCCCCCAAATCAACTATGAGGTATAAGAAAGCTATAATTTAACCCTCCAGACTAAATAAATATCCCCAAGCACTTGGAGATATATGAAAAAGAAACAGGTATAATCAGAAATCTAAAACCTAAGAACAAAACAAACAAATGAAATGTAGAAAAATATGTTAAAATTGGGAGATGGGGAAAGGTGTATGGGAATTCTCTGTACCGTTCTTGCAACTTTTCTGCAAGTTTGAAAATATCTGGAAATAAAAAGTTTCAAGAGCACTGGGGATATTTTCATGGCTGTCTCAGTGGGCTGAGCAGTGATGGAGCTGCTGAGAGAGGGCAGTCAGGGGGGACCACGGGACACAAGTCATTGGAGGGCCCAACACAGGGTGACAATGGAAACTGGAGCCTTGAACATGGATTTCACTCTGGGGAGTTAGAGAAGGCTGATGCTAGAATCATAGTCTATGGCCTCAGGGTTTGGCCAAGACCACATCAGCCAGAGAAATGAATGCAGAGTCTGTCTACACCGTGTGCTGGCTGGAGCCCCTTTGCCACTTAGCTCACCCCAGTGTCTTGACTATGCAAATGTCTGCCGCCAAGGAGCGTCACGGGCTTACTTAACCTCAAGAAATAATATATTTATTGTAATAGTAGGAATTCAGTAGATAATCATGGTTTCTTACAGGAAATGACAAACAAAAGGCTCTACACGTAGCAGAGTGACAGCCACGTGGTATTTACCCAATAAAAGACTCGGGATTATGACCATGACGGTATTAGCATGGAAGCTGACTTTTACAGTCCCTCTGCAACGAGAGAGGAAGCTGCCCAGCCTTCAGTTTGTTCAGACAGTGGGCAAAGATGACGCAATCGCACCTGGATCCACCAGGTTTTTAAGGGAGAATTTGCAGCTGCCTAGAGCCAAGCGTAGGGAAGGGAGTTCAGTGGGCAGGTAGCCTGCTGTCAGGTGGAAGGAAATGGGTCAAGGACAAGAAGAGAGAGGTGGCACCCCCAGAAACAGGCTTTTTCTCCTTCCTATGCTTCTTCTCCCTCCTACAACTTCAGAGCACCTCCACCCTGACAAGCTTGAACCACCTTAAGAGTCAGAACAACTACCCTGATGTGTTAACACATCTGAATCACATTCTCCTGGCTTACAGAAAACAGGTGCTGATAAACTATTCACATGATCCTGTCTGGCATAAAGCAACCTGTGGTTTGTTGTCATGCATCCATTTATTAAACAGACATGTCCCGAGGGCCCTTCCTGTGCCAGGCACTGTCTGGGAGCTGGGAACCCGGAGATGACCTCGAGAGACAGAATCCCCATTGTCTCAGAGCTGACAATCTGGTGTGATGGCTCAAATGACCATATCACCATATCCCTCATGAATGCAGATGCAAACAATCCTTGACAAAATATTAACAGATTGAGGGGGCGCCTGGGTGGCTCAGTCATTAGGCATCTGCCTTCAGCTCAGGTCATGATCCCAGGGTCCTGGGATCGAGCCCCATGTCGGGCTCCCTGCTCAGCAGGAAGCCTGCTTCTCCCTCTCCCTCTGCCCCTCCCCATCCCCCACCCATGCTTGCTCACTCTTTCTAATAAAAAATAAATAAAATCTTGGGCGCCTGGGTGGCTCAGTTGGTTAAGCGACTGCCTTCGGCTCAGGTCATGATCCTGGAGTCCCGGGATTGAGTCCCGCATCGGGCTCCCTGCTCAGCGGGGGGTCTGCTTCTCCCTCTGCCCCCTTTCTTCTCGTGCTCTCTGTCTCTCATTCTCTCTCTCTCAAATAAATAAAATCTTTAAAAAATAAATAAATAAATAAATAAATAAATAAATAAATAAATAAAATCTTAAAATAACATATTGAATACAGTAATATATTCTTAAAAACCCATGACCAAGTGGGTTTTACCCCAGGGACGCAAAGTTGATTTACCACTAGAAATGTTATTCAGTGGATCACCATATTGTTATTCTAAAAGAGAAAAATCACATGAGCAAATGTATCTGTGCAAAAAAAGCCATTTGACAAAACACAACACTCGTTTGTGATTAAAGCTAGGTGAAAACTAGGAAAATATGTAAACACCTTCCGTCTGATGAAGAGCATCTCTGAAAACTCCACAGCTATCATCCCACCTAAGGATGAAAAACAGAATGCTTTTCCCCTAGGATCAGGAATGGGACAAAGGTGCTCACTGTAGCTCTTACCTCATCCCACATATAAAAATTAACTCGAAAGGGATCAGACCTAACTGTAAGACTTAAACCTTCTCTGGGATGGGGGCTGGTCACCAGAGACACCAAGCCACGACCAGATGCTTGGGACCTCAGGGAGAGGCAAGGGGCTGGAAATGGATCAATGATCGATCATGCCTACGTGAGAAAGCCTCCATAAAATCCCCAAAGCACGGGATTCAGGGAGCTTCCAAGTTAGTGAACACATCCACGTGTACTGGGAGGGTAACACACCCCAACTCCACAGGGACAGAAGTTCCTGCACTCGACAGCCCCCTGGACCTCGCCCTACATATCTCTTCCTCTGGCTGTTCATTTGTGGCCTTTATCATATCCTCTAATGAACTGGCAAGCATAGATGTTTCCCTGAGTTCTGTGAGCCCCTCTAGCAGATTAATTGAACCCGAGGAGGGAGATCATGGGGACTCCAGCATGGAGCCAAGTCCGACAGAAGCTGTGGGTTACCTGGGGACGCCCTACTTGCAGCTGAAGCTGCGGGGTGGTCTCGTGGGACGGAGCCCTTGACCTGTGGGATCGGATGCTGTCTCCAGGTAGATGGTGTCAGGATGGAGTTAAACTGTAGGACACCCAGCTGGCGTCACAGAGCATTGCTCCGTGTGTGTGTGTGTGGGGGGGAACCCGGAAGGGACAGAAGTGAAGTGTTCTATGTGAAGGTAAAGGAGAGACATACGGGAGGTGGAAAACTGACTTTTTCTAACACACTATCTATAGAATATTCTTCTGTCTGTGGACATTTCCAGTCCCAACCCTTGAGTCACAAGCTAAAGGTGAAGTCATAAGCATCGGGAAGTTTAACAAGTTTAACACATGTACCAACAAATCCCATTTGCACGTAGGCACATCCTTGTTTGCCCAGAATCCGTACTTGCCTATGAACATACAAAGGCTGTTTATCTGC